GGTCGGTCGGTCGGGCGGGCGGGGGGGGGGGGTTCGGCGGAACGTACGGATTGGCGTTTGGTGACCGTCGCGGCAGTTTTCAGCCTCGCAAACCTGCACCGATTAGCACCTAGATCATCATCTCCTCGGAGCTTATATCTGCACAGCGTGTCATCTCTCACGTACCTGGACACAGTCTTTGAACTCGGGCAGCCGGTCGCCCACCGACGCGGTGACGGCACCTGCAAAGAGCACGAGCGCGAGGAGCGCGGCGGCCCAGATCCTCCGCCTCGATGCGAGCATTATGACGCTATCATCCAATTGGAAAAAACCCAAAACAGAAACCAAAAGAAAACAAGGGCAGGATGGGATGGAGAGTTGGTTGAAAGTGACAGGAAACAGGGGTCGTGGAAGATGTGAGGGGCGGGATGGGACGTTGTCGTGGCTTGAGGCTAGAGGTTAAGCCCTGTGGCGCTCTAGGCGGCGATTCAGGCACGCTCAGGTTACAGTGATGATTTGACACTAGTAACAGCGATCTTGCATGATTAAATTGGATGACTTGGGTAAATTATATTTATTTTGCGTGTGGTCTACTGGACGGTGGTATTGGTTCCCCGTGATATTGCTATCATCGGCCTGATATTAAGGCCTCGTTTGTTCATTGCTATGTTTTCCTTTTTACCACTAGTTACCGCGGAATAAACGACTTTGAAGGACCATTTAGCTGGGTAAAAAGAATACTGTCGAGTAATGCCAAACGATAATAAATATGTAAATATGAAGATGAGAGAGCCCCTCACCTGTGCCGGCTCGGTGTACCTATTAACAGCTACAATAGAGTCGTTCACACTTCGATCATTGTCCCAGAGCACGCCACCTCGGCTTTGGAAGCGGAATCCACCGAATGTCGCGGAACGAAGCCGCTCTCCAAAGACAATTGACGACATCTGTTGCCAGCTGGCCATGGCCATCTTGGGACCAATCTCATCCTTACAATTCTATTATCGCCAATTCTGAAAATGCCTCGCATCACCTGGATTGGACTGGGAAGCATTGGCGAGGTACAATACGTATCCTACCACTGCATTGGTTCAATGGCTGACCGTCCGTAGGCCATCTGCACCAATCTCGCGCACCATGCGGCGCTGGAGAGGCCTCTGCTGTTGTGGAACCGCACCCGGGAAAAGGCAGAGCGGCTGGCGGCTGCGACCCAAATGATGAACGTGGCGTATTCGCTCGAAGAGGCCGTCTCGAAAGCGGACATTGTCTGCCTCTGCCTGGCCGACGATGCAGCTGTGGCAAGTGTTGTCGAGGCGGCGGCGCTGGCGTCTGTGTCGGGCAAGTTGTTTGTCGACTTGTCGACTGTGCATCCGGATACCAATCAGGCTCAGGCGGACAGGTTTCAGAGTCTCGGAGCGATGTATATCGCCTGCCCTAGTAAGTGCTTTCTGGAAGTTCAAGACACAGACGGCTAACAGGACTAGTTTTCGGGGGTGTGGCCATGGCTATTGAGAGACAGATAACTCTTGTCCTCGCCGGTCCCTCTGACGCCATTGCCCGATTCGAGCCGTTTACAAAAGGCGTGTAGGTACAAGACGCACCCGTGCCGACTTGCCGTCTATCTGACAACCGCAGAATATGCAAAGACGTCATCAAACTCGCCGACCAGCCGCTGCGCGAGGCCGGCATGCTCAAGCTCGTCGGCAACTTTGTCCGGTTCTCCGCCATTGAAGTGCTCTGCGAAGCCAGCGTCCTCTCGGAAAAGATTGGCCTGCCCAAGGAGACGCTGGCCAAGTTTGTCGGCGCCTTGATTCCGGGCCCGAGCGCGGGTCAGCTCGCGATGCTGCACGCGGGCGCGTATAGTGACCTCACCACGGTAAGGAAATTTATGCAAAAAGTGGCACCGCACTGGTACTAATTTGATTTATTTTTTAGAATATTGCGCCGATTAGCATGGCTCTCAAGGAAAACGGCTACTTGAATGACCTCGCGAAGCAAAACGGGGTCAGACTGCGCACGCTCGATACAGTGACGGCGCATGCGGAGCGCGTAAATGAAATGAGAGGACCAGACGCCAAGTTGCTTGCTATTTACGGCTCGATTCGAGAAGAGAATGGCCTGTCGTTTGACAATCAGTAGCCAGTAGAGCGTGTACAAGATAGCGATATTTGGGGTTTGGGCTACTTGGGTATATATCTGTTATACGTTCCATGTCGATAGCAAACTAGAGCCTGTAATTTGTACATATTCTCTAAATAATTACTTGGGACAAACCAACGTTGCAGGTCCACAGCTTATCGATCGGCCAGGAAAGCTGTCTCAAAGCCAAACCTTGACTCAATCGCCGACGAGCGTCCTTGGCGCACATGGCAGAGCTCTGAACGAGCCTGGAAGAATTGTGGCGCCAGAGTTTAGGTTCGGCGCCACCGTCGGCCAACGGGCTTCTCGACGGCAGGCCCGTTCGGGGGGCTCGGGCCCGACTCCGCAAGGCTGAGTATTTTGACAACTCTGGCGCCATCAGATGGAAAACTTGCCCTCGCCAGTCCATTCTTACCAAGAAAGCCTCTTCGTTGTTATCAAACACCCAAAATCAAAACGGTCAGCGATGACTCCGTGTGCCGAGATGAACGATCCCTTACATCCATCCTTCCGCCCCACGACCCGTCGCCGCACTTGCTAGCCCTACGAGGCGTCTTTTTAGTTAATAAGAATGGGCTTTTGGCGTCGTAGCTTGCGTCACGTTCCCCAATTTAACTATGAAATGAAACCTGTCCGGAAGAGGTTGTAATTCTCACCAGTGAGCGTTGCGCGTTGGGCTGTGCAAAGCCCACAGGGCGCAGGGCAGCAAGAAAAAAACAATAGTTAGTCAGTCGGTCGGGCGTCGAGTTGGCCGAAAATCAGGGGATTGAGAAGCCGCTGTGAGTTGCCTGTTTGGGAAGGGTTTTGCGCCTCCTTTGTCGAGCGTTGATTGGGATGGCTTGAGCTTGAGACACTATGCATGAAAGGATTTCGACAAGTTCCCGCCTTGTCGGTCTTGTCGCTTGTCGTCTTCGTCATCCTTTCCCCCTGACTTGTTCGTTATCGAGGCGAAACCCGACCGTTAGCCACCCCGTAATAAGCAGCAAGATGGGACATGGTGTTGGGATTGGCCAGGGTCCGCTGCAGCCCCGGCATTCGCCGCGATGATTTGGGCGATCATCTTATTGCGGAATTCTCATTTTTGCCGCATCATTTAGTAAACTAGGTCTGACTACTGACTATGGAACACAGGACTTGGCAGCCTGCGGCCCAACCAATGAATCCTTTGGCGAGTCGAGCGGCTGGACGGCAAAGAAGCTGCAACAGGCTTACAGCTTCCGTAACCCCCCCTCAGGGACTTCCATGTGAGAGAGGCTGTGAGACAAGTTCTCGTTCTGGGCCCTGTGGGACAAGTCTTGCACTAGTGTATGAGCCCCGATACAACTCTGGAAGCGGCGCTGCGGCAGTGCTTCCGTGAAGATGACTCGGATGAATTTTTTCTGCTTCGCTTTTCGTATAATTAACCTCGGGGCACGACCTGTTTACATCGCTCGCCTTCGGACCCCCCCCCCACGTTCATCAAGCCCGACGCCCGCAATCATGTCGAAAGAGGCGCTCTACGAGCCCGTGTCTTCGACGCGCCTCCACGTCTTTTCCACGCCCATCGTCTCGGCTGAGGACAGCAACAACACGCGCGACGAGGAGGAGAGCCGCAGCATCGACAATGGCCGGCAGTACGCGCCGGACCACCGACGACACCCCGACAACTTTCCCCGACTGCAACGGGTATGCCGCCGCGAGAGCAGGGGGAGAAGCCCTTTTTTCTTCTTTAGAAAACTGACGAAAATGGTAGCACGAGGAGCCGACGCTGCTCGAAATCTTTTACGATTTATTCTTTGCCGCGACGTACAACGCCTACTGCGATGTCCAGACAGTGACCAACCATGCGAGTTTCAAAGCCTCGATTGGCTTTTTCTGGTACAAAACCTTGCACAGTGAATTGGAGAAGAGTGAGAACAACTCGACTAACTACGGCTGGGCATAGCTTACTGTGGCTGACGTGGTTCAACGTCACCATGTTTGATGTCCGCTTCGCGACCGACTCCATCTTTTGTTCGTGAACTCTTGGCCAGTGGTGACAACAAACTCGAACCCATGGACTAACAAGAAACAGCACGCCTCAACACGGCCATTCAGCTCGGCGTCCTCATTGGCTTCGTCGTTGTCGCGCCCAAGTTCAACCCGACCACGCAAGATGTGCCCACGATGCGCGCCATGTGTATGTAGAGAGCCTCCCCCCCCGTCGGTGAATCGCTAACCTCGTATTGTCAGCCATCATCCTGGCCATTTCCCGATTCAACCTCATGGGCCAGTACGCCTGGATGACGTTTCACGTGCGCCGCTACCGCACCACCCGGCTGCCCTTGCTCCTGCAAATGACCATTTACCTCGCCGCCGGCGCCGTGTACCTCGGGCTCACGTTCCGCTTCGCCGCGGCGCGGCACAGCCGGGCGTACGTGACGTGGTACTGCGTGTCGGCAGCCGAGGGCATCGCCAGCCTGCTGCTGTCCAACCACGCGCCGATTCTCAGCGTCGGGCGGACGCACCTGATGAAGCGGCTCGGGCTGCTGACCGTCATGATCCTCGGCGAGGGCATCGAGTCGCTCGCCAAAAAGGTCCTCGTCATCGTCAAGCACAAGCACGCCTGGGACGCCTCCACCATTGGCTTCGTCACGGCCGCGGCCGCGACCGTCTACTTTGTCTTCCTCGTCTACTTTGACTGGCTCGGCGGCCGGACGCACCTCCCGCCCGTGCGCCGCAACCTCTGGGTCGCGCTGCACTTTCCGTTCCACCTCGCGCTCGTGCTCTTCATGCAGGGCTTCACGCAGATGCTCATCTGGAGCAAGATTGCGCGCCAGCTGCAGCGCGCCTTTGACTTTGCCGACCCGACCAACGACGCCGACGTGCTTGCCGGCCACGCCACCAGCCTGTCCGTCGCCAGCAGCATGAACGCCTCGGTGCACGAGTTCGTCAAGGACTACCCGTCTAGCCTCGAGAGCACGGGGCTCGTCATCGACGCCGCCATCAGGAATATCTCGTCGCTGCCCGACAGCTTCTGGCCGGTCGTGGCCCGCTTGAGCGGAGACCAGACCAGCAGCGGCATCGCCGGCGCAAACTTGACCGACGCCGACTTGAGTAACCTGGGCCAGCTGTACTACTCAGGCATCAGTCTTGCCGTCACCATGGCCAACAACGTGTTTCGCGCCTTCAACACCGAGGTGTTTGGTGAGATTGAGTCCAAGCACAAGGACCTGGAAGGCAAGGATCGTGAGGGCTTCCAGTTCCAGCTGCAAGAGGACAACTGGAGCCGGTATGGCCTTGTGGTAAGTTGAACTCTTGTCCAGTCTAGTGGGAAGTGTGTGGCTGACATTAATTAGTTTACCTACACGTACATCAGTGCCGCCTGCACCATCTTGCTTGTTCTCGTTCTCAAGCAGCTCACCGATGGCTACATCCCCAAGGGCTGGGGCATCATTCGCCAAATCATCATTTTCGGTCTTGCCCTCGGCACCGGCCTGGCCACCATTGTGTGGTTCAACAGCGACCGTGTGTTTAATTGGCTACAGACACCGTGGGTCATGCCTACGTTGTGCTTTGTCTGGATGGCTATTGTCGTGTTGACGCACGTGAATCTTGGTGGTGTGAAGCTCAACGCGAGCCACCTAAAGTGGCGGTTGCGCAAGTAGACGCCGCAACGTAAAATAATGTAGCGACTAGATGATACCATTTGCTTTTGCGGCTCTGAGTGTATTGAGAGTCGTTGATCTTCCAGGGTTACTTAGATTGGCGCCGGACTTGGACCGCGCCCCTTAAGAAGGAAAATAATTTAAGTGCACATCCCATTATCATGCTAAAAGACGTAGTACTGTGCATTCTAGTCGAGCTCTGACAAACTAGAGTCGTTCAAGCTTTGACTTTGTACCACATGTCTGGCTTGGCGCCGGGACTTTACCGTCTACTATGTACATACAAAGTAGCCCTTGTTAGTATATTTACCCTAGCCCTTCTAATACCTACGCGGATTGGTATTTTAGGGCATACTAGAAGGGCTATGGAAGCCAGGAAAACCTAGAAAATCTGTTCCTTGGTATCTAAAGAGCAGTAGTATTGCGCTAAGCTGCTAGATTGATCTCTGCAAGACAGCGCCGACAACTTCGTCCTCGCACAGCCTCTGAAGAGGTAAACAACCAAGTCGCGGCGGCACCAGCTCACTCACGGGCGACTGGAAGCTGGCGGCGGCGTTGCTGTTGTGTGTTGCGGCCGATTACTTGTGCATGTTCGTGAGGGAAGGAGAACTCTCTCAATCCCTTCTGGTAGACCCAAGGCCCTAAATAGGTGCGCTCCTGTTAGCCGACACCCCAGCAAAAAGCTAGAGTTGGTGTAGGAAGCGAGTTGGATGTAAACTGACAAAGACATATCTGCTAGACCAGCCAAGAAAAGTACTTAACCGGCACGAACCCCCCTCGCTACACCCCTCTCCGTCGTAAAATAACCCAGTTCCAAATCCAAGCAAAGCGTCATGTTCTTGGCCAATATCATCACTCTCTTCGTACTCGCCAGCTTCGCCGCTGAGTTTTGCGAAATCGGTACCACCAAATGCGGTCACCAGGAAGGCTCCCCCAGCAGTGCCATATACGTCTGCCAGGCAAAATTCTTGATGGGTCGCAAATGGAAACTGAAAACCAAGTGCGGGAACTCTCATTGCTGCTACCATCTGGTGCGTGATCGCCCGAAATGCATCTGCTAAGTAAGTGTCAGTACTTTTTCAAGTGGCCTTTAGTCTGGTCTTCCCTAACGAGTGAAACAGTCGCAAGGCAGGTTTAACCCGGCTAAGGAGGGCAATATGGATTTATATGCACATCTGGTCTGAAGGATCTGCTCCTGTGTTGCTCTGAAGGCGTCTTTGATATGGTAGATGGTTCTTCACATTGGAACGAATCATTTTCAGATCTGGATTTATACTTGATCAACAGAAACAAGATAGATTTGTTACAATCGACGCTAGGCACATTCTGACGTATTCTCAAAGTCGCCCCTGTCAGCACGCAGCTTGTCGTATCCGAGTACCGCGCCAAGCAAGACGCTTGCTCCAAGTGCACTACTTTTGTCAGCAATCTTCGGGACAGAAACGGAATCCAGACTTACCAATCCTCTGCAGAGCAGTATTCCGTTGGATTGTGGCTGATACCCTCCCGCGTCGGCGTAAAGATCATGCTCGTCGGGCACCGCAAGTTGGTGTAGCAGCTGTCATGGCCGGCACCGCTAATCATCGGCTTCCACAGCGTCTTGGTCTCGGCGCCGGGCAGCCGCGCGCACACGGCTTCGGCGCTCGCCTGCACCGCATCGATGCAGTCCTGGTGGAACACTACGGCCGGGCTGTCGACCAGCAGCGTCCAGTCCACATCGCAGCCCTTTTCCGTCTCCGCCGCCACGGCTTGAAAGGCAGCGCGGCACTCGGCGAGCATGGTCGCAAGCACCGCGTCGCTCGTGTGCCGCAGGTCGAGCGTAAAAGTGGCCGTGTGCGCCATGGTGTTGACCGTGCCCGGCGCGGCGGTGAAGATGCCCGTCGTGGCGAGGCCGGAGTGCGCCTTGGCGACGGCGTTGGCGGCGACAATCATTTTGGCGGCTACGAGGACCGCGTCTTTGCGGGCGTAGAGTGGCGTGGTGCCGGCGTGGCTGTCTCTGCCGCGAACGGTAATGTTGAACCATTTGAACGCTTGGACGCCTGACTTTTGTTAGAGTTGCTCCTCCTGTCATGTCGATAGTGCATACCTTGGACAACACCAATCTTGCGACCCTCGTCCTCGAGAATGGGGCCTTGCTCAATGTGTAGCTCAAAATGGGCTGCAAAGGGGTTCGACGTGTACGATGCAGGCGCCTCGCCACGATAGCCGATCCTTTCTAACTCTTGCAGCATGGTCTTGGCCGTGCCCTCGTGTGGTGTCACCTCTTCGAGGTTCCAGGCATCAGCAATTGGGACGGCACCAGCCCACACACCCGACGAGACGGCCATCTTGGGGAAACGAGCACCTTCTTCGCTGGGAGTTGTTAGAAAATGTTGCGAAATTCAGCTTTGAGCTTACTTTGTCCAGTTCACGACGCCGACACTTCCCTCTGTTTCGATCTTATTCTCCTCTAGGACCTGCAGAACCTCGAGGCCCGCGAGCACACCCAGGATGCCGTCATAGCGACCACCCGTCGGTTGGGTATCCAGGTGCGAGCCCATCATTATCGGAGGCGCATCCGCGTTCTTCCCCCGGCGGACCGCAAACAGATTTCCCATTTCGTCAATCGAGGTGGTGCAGCGCAGCGACTTTGCCTTTTGGAGGAACCAGTCGCGCACGGCCTTGTCCGAGTCGTCCAGGCTGAGTCTGGCCATGCCAGTCTCTGTGGACAGTCTGCATTTTTCAGTGATTAGAATGGAAATTTCAGGACCCAAGAATCGAAGACCAGCTTACTTTCCATAGCGGTGATCAGATCCATACTGGCAGCTCTCGTGAAGGGACGCCGCTAGACGGTCGGCATTGACACCAAGAGTCGGCAGCTCAGATTCGTGTGCGGAGGGCATGGTTGAATACAATAATACAATCGTAAAGCTGCCCCGGACCCGTGTCACCTACTGAAGCACAGGGGCTTAAATAGTTCCGACGGTGGCTGGTCGCTCGCCGGCGGCCGAGTGTGGGGGTGGCGTCAAGGGCCAAGACCACGGCCGACGGCGGACACTGACAGCATGTCCGTGTTGATTGGCGCTGCGCCCTGAAGATTATCTGCCGACGGCATCCAAAACGTGGGGAAGGGCCATTCCATAAGTATACATAAATAGCGTGGGCAAACCGTGGGGGGACGCGACTCTGAAGCAAGACATCCTTTCCTTGTTCTTGACAACATGAGAAGCTGTGAAAAAGAAATCGACTCGGGCGACAATGCCTCGACGGCCATGGGCGTGTCGGCCCAGATTGACAAGGAGTCGGAGAGGCGGGTGCTGTCCAAGTTTGACTGGTTTGTGATGCCACAAATGTCCATCCTCGTGCTCTTTGCCTACCTGGACCGAACCAATATTGGTATGTGATTTTTGTAAAAAGAGAAAAAAAAACCCTTAACCTCCGTCTTCTCTTCCTCTCGCTTCTCTGGCCTTTTGCTAACTTGACAGGAAACGCACGCGTGTTTGGCTTTGAGGAAAGCACTGGCATGCCAGGCACCGACTTCAACAACATATCCATGTTCTTCTACATCACCTACATCATCTTTGAAACGCCCTGGGTCATGGCCGTCCGCCGCTTCGGGCCCGGCCGCGTGCTGGCCGTCGCCATCATCTGCTGGAGCGCCGTCACGCTCGGCACCGGCTTCGTGCGCACCTACCCCGAGGTCATCGCTTGCCGCGTGCTCCTCGGCGCGTTCGAGGCCGGCCTGTTCCCGGCCCTGACTTTTGTCATTTCGGATATTTACCCCGCCGCGTCGCAAGGCAAGCGCATCGCGGTGCTGTATATTTCCATCGCCCTCTCGGGCGCCCTTGGCGGGCTGATTGCGTACGGCATCCAGTCCATGGGCGCGCAGCACGGCCTGGCCGCCTGGCGATGGCTGTTCATCATCGAAGGCGCCGTTTCGTTTGCCATTGGGGGTCTCTGCTGGGTCAGCCTCCCGGGCACGCCCGAAACGGCCTGGTTCTTGAACGAAGCGGAAAGGAACACGATGACTCTGCTGAAGCTTCGCGACCACCCGTACGAGGTGACTCACAAGTTTTCGTGGAAGCAAGTCGGGTTGGCTGTTTCCGATCCGTTGGTGTGGCTGGCGTCTATTGCACTGTTCTGCTCGTCGATTGCCATGTTTGGCTTCAGCACCTTTTTGCCCACGCTCCTCAAGGGCATGCAGTACGTGAACCTCTCGTGTCGCGCTTCAAACGCTAATTATTATGTAGATATACCTCGCTGCAGTCAAATTATCTCAGCATACCAGTCTACGTCGTGGCATCCATCGGCACTGGCCTCACGACCTTTGTCTCGGATCGGATCGGTCGTCGCGCAATCTGTCTCATTCACTCGCCGATTCTCGTCATGATTGGCTACGCCGTCGGTATTGGCTCGAGCAATCGATCGGCTGCTTATTTTGGCATGTTTATTGTCGGCGCCGGCGTCTATTCCTTCAACACTGTCCTCTTGACGTGAGTACCTTGTCTGCAAAATACTGCCTCTCACTAACAAGGAGCAGCTGGGTGGCGAATAATATTCATCCCGATTATAAGCGTTCAGTCGCCATTGCCATGGTTGTCTCGATTGGCAACGCAGCAGGTTTGGCTGCCTCGCAAATTTATCCAATCGCAGATGCACCTCGCTATCTCGTAGGAAATTCCGTATCGCTCGGCTTTGAGTCGCTGGCACTAGTTTGTGTGGCTCTTATCTCCATGCTGTTGCGATATAGGACCAGGCAAAAGCAGCAATTGATTAGCCAGGGTGTAGAGAGCAACGGTAGAGAGGGAGACCAGAGCCTGGACTTTGACTATGTAATGTAGAAAGGATAATATATCGTTGTTGATTCGACGAAAATCTTTTTGTATCTTGTGCAAGGTGTGCCCTCTCTTCTGTTGGCTGCATCTTTGTTTGTTCAGCGTTGTTTGTTTTTGGTTCGACGCCTCTTTCTGGCTGCACGCGGGGCTCGCCGGCGCCGACCCCGGACAGCCACATGCGGCCAGCCACGTTTGTACGGAAATTGCAAGCAGCAGCAAAAACATCAAAATTGCATTGCATACCTTTCATTGACATAATCATCAATGTCGCCGCTGCACACATCGCCGTCTGTGGCACACATCACCCACCACGCAGCCGCCGGCAGCAGACGGTACCGCTCCAAAGCGCAGCGGCCATGCGACCTCTGCCGGGCGCGCAAGGCGCTATGCAATATCCCAGATCCCACGCGGCCATGCCAGCTGTGTGATCGCACGGGACGACCGTGTACATTTCTTGCGGCGGCCAAGAGCAGACCCATGCGCGCGAGCCCAAGTCGCCACTCTGCTGACCGAGGGGATGGTTTGTCGCATCAAGGGCAGTACACAGCGTCGTTTGCACATGACGCCCACAGTGCCCTGGGAGATGGCCTTTCCCCAACTTTCGTACAGCCGCTCGGCGACATGATATCGACGCCGTGGACGCCGGATATGCCGCAGCTGGGGCAAACCGAGGAATTTATGCACGACATGCCCGACTTTTGGTCCTTTCCGTATGCTGTCGCGGAAACCGTAGCCACTGCCGAGAACAGGGACGAGATCCCTCCACGTCCAGAAGCACGGGCAACCCTCAACAGGCATGATCGCTCTACATCATTTATTGGCTACTCCAACGAATCCGACCCGTTTCTGCTTGAGCATTATCCGTATGGCGCCGCTGACGAGCTAGACTTTTTCATGGTCACATATCGTCGGCCGTCACCTCAAAACGTGGCCGCTGGTCACCCTCCCATCCATTTCCTGCAGTCGAAGCCGCAGGCACCACTGCAAAACCAAGAAGCAATGGCGAGTTGTCTTGCACTGCAGAATGAACGCCATCTTTTAAATGACCTCGTCAGCGTTGAAATGGGAGTGGCGTTGCTGCGACTGTAAGTCATCTGTTCATGACCACTTACAATGGCAGCAGCACTAACACCTCTAGCTACGTCCGTTTTGTATTCCAAAATCTTCCCATCGTGTCAAGAGTAAAACTACAAGATGAGAAGGAGTTTGTTCATTCCACTTCTCCTGGCATCTTGGCAGGCATGTATGCTCTTGCGATGCCATTTACGTCCTGGGACGAACAATTTTGTCTCGACAGCGCCTACTCCAAGCCCGATTTGAGCAAGCTATGGCGAATTTCGTATTCCTGCTTACAGAAAGAATTGCATTTTCCGAGCCTCTCCACGGTGCAGATGAGTCTTCTACTGCTGAACACCACCACCTTTGATCCAGTCGCCGTTGAAACTCCTTTTGCTTGGTCGCTGGCTTGCTCCGTGCTCGGCATCGCACAATCTCTGGGTCTTCACATTGAGCCCAGTCGGTGGAAAATTCCGCAAGACGAAGTGCGGCTGCGGCGAAGACTGTGGTGGACAGTCGTTGTCGAGCACAGCTGGCGCTCTGTTACTCATGGCCGATCAAATATGCTGCGTGAGGACGACTGCAATGTGGCGCCCCTCTCGCATGAGGACTTTTCGGATGTCGAAAGCTCCAAAAATGCAGCAGCGTATTTTATCAGCTTTTGCTCCCTCACAAACATTGTCACCGAGATCTATCGGAGTTTCTTGTAAGCCGCCCACGACCGCCCTCTCGCGGCCAACTCTAACCTTTGTAGCACCCTTCGAGCCGTTTCTCGGGTTCAAAATTTTCAAGACCTCATGGACAGGGCAAAGCCGCTGCAGCGCGCCCTTTTCCACTGGCTGGAGGCTTTGCCACCGTCGCTCTGCCTAGATCAGCTACCTGACACGACCGATGAGATCCCCGATTGTCGCGCATCCCTGCACATTGCCTACTTTACTGCGCACATATTACTGTTTAGAGCGCTCCTGCGCCCGATTGTGCGTCAAACTCATCCGGGCGACGAGATGGTGCATGAGGTACTCCAAGAGTCTCGCGACTTCATGAGGGCACTGATTACTGTGGTGCGAAATCTGGACCTCAAATACATTTCTGCCTTCTGGCCAGCATATACCCGACACTGTCTTTGCTACCCTGGGCTGTTCTGCTACCTGCTCTGCTTTCAGAAACAGTCACCACATCTCCTACCCAGCGATAAAGAATTGTTCGCGACGTGGCGCAACGTCTTGCGAGCTCGAGTCGCGTCGTGGCCATTGCTTCGTTTCGCAGTTGTAAAGGTGGACGCGGTATTTTGGAAGAAGATGGACCACACGAGCAAAGAGCAATGATAGTCTAGGACGAGGTAGTACGACAGCCAGGCCAACTAGGATGATACAATCTCTAGTACACTCGGTACCATCCTTGTCTAGAACCACGCCTAATAGAAAAAAACAAGATATCTATAGCACTAAACGTAGTGTTTTTAGAATCATATATCTAACTCTTAAAAAAAGATATAAAGAAATAGAAAAGTCCTAAAGATAAAATAAAGGTAGGGCTTTTTTCTTAATATTATCTTAGAATATTACCTACTTTTATAAGTGCTACTCTCTTTAAAAGAACTAGATAAATTTAAGGAGGGTGTAGCTGCTTTGTGGAGCCCTAACTCTGAATTTAACTTAGGTGCGTGTATATGCGTGCGCCATCGTCAATTAGTGGATTGAGGTCGTCAAATATACAATACTTACGTCAAGCACAAATGGCCCATGTCAAGAAACAACCAACAGTTCGTAGCCGCTATACTCGACCTGCGCATCCAGAAGCTCCCCTTACTTCTGGAGGAGAGGAATCGAAGAAGATCCGCCTGCGCCACCCTGGCTATGCCGACTCTGATAATATCCTCATTTCGCTCGTCGCGCTTGATGATGGTGGCCTCCACCACGAGACGGCACGCGTGGCCTGTGCTGTGCTCGCAGATTTTCGATGGAACGGCTACTTATCCCTGACAACAACAGGCGAGCCGATCGAAGAGGGCTCAGACGATATACTGACCGAGGGCAACTATTACTTTCACGTGCCCGACTTGCCTAAATACGACGTCGTCGCCAACTTTGACAGTTGTATTTTTCCTCATGGCAGACTGCCGCCGTCATGGCTGTCTCCCTTGCTGCGACTCCCGAACGCCATCGATCAACCTCGCGAGACAAGCTGCAATAATGTCGTGCTTACTCGTGACGTTTCATGCCGCGTGACGAACGCCACACTCTGTACAGAAGGCGCGCATCTTCTTCCAAAGTCTGAAGAATCATGGTATACGAAGAATTCCATGTTCCAATACTCTGCCTGGGAAGAAAAAGGAACACCGGATGATCCCAGAAACGTGATACTACTTCGATCCGACGCCCATACTCTCTTTAACGCAAAGCGCCTCTTGATTGTACCAAAAAGGGATAAGTGGTTGACACACGTCCTGTACGGAAAGCCTCAGGATGAACTCGCGCAATCCTTTCACAACATCCATCTGCAACCGCTTACGGATATCTCGGTGGAATTCCTATTCGCGCGGTTCGTCTGGACAATCCACGCTCTCAGCACCTTCACGCTTTCAGGCGGTAAGCGGGCATTGCTAGTGCTGAAAGCTGGCGAAACGCAAAGGCAACGGATCGAGGTCACAGGGATGCAATACAAAACTGAGCTCACGGCACGTTCAAAGACAGCAAGTCGGACCCCAAGCCCTAATAAACGTCGCCGGGATGACACAGGTATAGAAGCCGCTATGTCTCAGGATTTCGATGATCAAGAGAGAGGTCGGCCACGGAAGAGGAGAATGTCATCCGAAACTGCATCTACAGTATCCCTCGAGGAATACGAACAATATGCATCAGTGTTTATTTCACTTGCGAACAGTGACGAGGAGGAAATCGGGTGTAATGTCACTACCACCCAAGGTCCCTTTTAATTGTCATGTGGGGTTGTTAGAAGAGCTACCGGTTTTGCAAGGTCTAATAAGTGTGTGGTGCCTGCACAACATGAGCGGCTCATTCCAAAATGGTGGAATGCACTGAGGGGAAATCTAACTGAAACAGAGAAGCTCGAAAGAGTCATCGCATTGAATTTTAAATCAACATTTTGTTCGGGTTCTTCTCGTTATCGAGCTGCACTGTGAAATTAAGCACCAAGTACCGGCAAGTCCCGCGGTTGCTCGGGGCAACCGGGGCTTCGCTGATTGGCCGTGGAGCAAAGACGCCAAAATACCAGCTGCTCCTCCCATCATCGACAGCCTTTCCTTGATAATACATAGACGCGCCGATTCAAACAAGTCAATTCTTACTGCAGCCTCAAGTATGCAGCCACATAACGCGTAAAAATTTGCTCCGACTTTGATTATTGGCTGATTGCTTCGCACCGCGGTCTGGAGCCGACGTCAATAATACCGGACGGAACGCGTTCTTGGAGCTCCGCCATTGCTTCAACACCAACAACAACATTTGCTCCTGTGCCATGGCGACTGCTTCTCCAACCCCAATGGCTGCCGCGCCAATCCGAAGAGCTTCACAACGTCAGCTGCGACGTCCTCCCAGGACTGTCGCGACGCGGAGCGAGGCGCAGGCCGTCCTGGCAGTCCGGTCCAAGCCCCAATCGAATCAGTACGATAACGACAGCTCCGAGGATGAGATTCCTGTACCCATGAAGCTTAGCGCTCTCACCAAAGCGCTTCTGAATGATGAGGGTGATCACGAGGCCGGCCCGGAACCCCGAGCACCGCCCTCGCCGCCCCGAACCCGCCGCCAAGCAAGTGCGACAGTATCTGGTCCGGCTGCTGCGACTCGACGAAACACCAGAGCCAACAGCTCTCAAATAGAGGACGCCTCCAGGAACTCGAGCCCCTCACGCGAGCACAGTCCGTCGAGGAAAAGAGTAGTACGCTTGAGCAACACGCCGCAAAGCCTGCATCAGATGGGCAGCTCTGCATCGAAGCGTCGATCCACGTCTGGTTCCCAGCCCCAGCCGGCCACTAGACCTGGATCAGGCTCTCGCCAAGACAGTGCCGACGGCACACAAGACGGACCACAACAGGAGGCTGGTATCAACACGCCTGCTCAGGGTCGTGTTGTCCGTATTGTGACCGGTTCCTCTGGAAATCGCAGCCGCCTCGGATCATCTGGGCCTTCCTCTGGGCGTTCCGACTTTGGTCGATCGGTCGTGGACCGGTCTGCCGTCGAGGCAGAAGCTGAGCACATGGAAGCTCCCGACACAGCTGCCCGCAACACGGCTGTTGGTAGTACCAGCGTATCTCGCTACCCGTCAACGAGACACAGGGAGGATAACCCGAATCCCCAGGGCTCAATGCGCGTCAAGCGTGTTGGTAAGCTATCTGGTAGTTTTCTAAGCGGACCTGCTCGCCGCGGTCGCCGTCGGCAAAGCGAGGAAGAGGGGGGATTCGGTGAAATGGGCTCACAAGAACCCGAAGGCCAAGCCCAGGAGGAACCTGGACAAGCCCCGTACTACCCCGGCTTCAATTCTGGTAGTCCCGTTAGCGGAAGCGCTGTTCGTGGCAACCACCGCCGAAATGGCTCCAAGGTAGAGATCCGCGCCGACTCCGCCAAGGCGTCACCTCAACCCTACGAAAACCGTGGTGCGCGTCCTGCCGAGCCCTCCCGCATTGGAGACATTGGCCACCTTGTCTCTGTCGGTCGTCTTCAGATGCCCGCCAACAGTGACAAAGAAAACGAAGTTCCTTTCCATCAGAAATGGGGCAAGTCGTCTATTGGAGGTGACAAGCCAGTCATGGCACCGCCCCGTATCGATATTGCTATTGACAGGGCCGTATCTCCTGATCGCAAGCCCCTGACAGCCATCGCTCGCAACACCACACCACATCGAGCAGCACCTGCACCGCCGCCCAAAATGTCCGTCCTAGAAGCCGCCACTGCTACTGCTGGCGCGGCGGTGACTACCCAGACGAAGCAGCGCCGAAACATTCTCAAGGTTAATAACAAAGTATATACCCGCCTTGAATGTCTTGGACGCGGTGGAAGCGGAAAGGTCTACCGAGTCATGGCAGAGAATGGCACCATGATGGCTCTCAAGCGAGTCTCACTTGAGAATGCGGATGAGTCGACCATCAATGGCTACCTAGGCGAGATTGACTTGCTGAAGAAGCTTACCGGTGTTGATCGTGTCGTGAATCTCTATGACTCGGAAATGAACCAGGAAAAGCAGATGCTGAGTTTGGTCATGGAAATGGGCGAGAGGGCTTTGGACAAGGTCTTGCAGAACCACCAGTCTGCTGAGTTGGCTAGACTCGACCCTGTCTTTATTCGATTCTACTGGAAGGAGATGCTCGAATGTGTGCAGTCTGTTCACAACCACGCCATTGTTCATTCAGACCTGAAACCTGCCAACTTTGTTCTTGTGCAAGGACGCCTGAAGCTCATTGATTTTGGCATTGCCAATGCCATTCAGACCGATGTGACTGTCAACGTCCACCGCGAGACGCAGATTGGCACACCCAACTACATGTCGCCCGAGTCACTCATGGATTCCAACAGCGCCCGTGGACCACGTGTCCCTGGCCGTCCCAAGCTGATGAAGCTTGGCAAGTCCAGCGATATTTGGTCACTTGGATGTATTCTCTACCAGATGGTCTACGGTGTGCCGCCGTTTGGTCACATTGTCAACCACATGGCTCGCTGCCAGGCCATTATTAACTGGGATCATACCATTGAGTTTCCCACACGTGCCACCGGCGGCTTCCTTGTGCCGCCTTCTCTGATTCGAACCATGAGACGCTGCCTGATCCGCGAGCAGCATATGCGTCCTACTTGCGAAGAACTTCTTCACTACTCTGACCCCTTTCTCTACCCTGCCGAAATGAGTGACAAGGCTCTGCCCATCGACGAAGAGCTTCTTGGCCGCATCATTCAGAGCGTTACTACCCGCTGCCGCGAGCGCATGCCGACTGAATCGGAAGCATCCAGTGTTTGGCCCCAAGCATACTGGGCCAGCATTCGCAAAGCCATGGTTGGGAAGATGTAACACTAAAAGCCCACAGCCACGGCCTCGAGATTGAACGAATTGGGGACTATAATTTATTCTGGAAGGTGTTCTTTATGTTTACTGGTGGGAGTTTGTACTATTTCATATTTTCCCGCACGCATCTAGCGTCGCGGACGTTTTTTTTCAGAGCTTGGAGTTGGGGGGTTATTCTCTTTCGACTGCACTCGTTTATACCATACCATTGCTGTTAGCGATGATTTCTGCCACTGATAAATTAAACGTTTCTCGTCTCTATACAACGCACAGCTAGAATGGCAAAATGACTCTTCTTTGATGCTTGAAATTGTTATACACTGGACCCTAGAACCCTGATCTATATGGTACAACCGGTTGTGACCGGACACGGGCACGCCAACTCTTGTTGCTTATTGACCCTCAATATCCTCCACAGTTTTGATTGTCAAGTCGGATATTCTCAGGATGGTATATCGATGCTTGCTCGTAGCGCGGCGTGAGCGACGCTGCCTCCTCTTCTTCTTAATCTTGACCCGTAGGGGTTCCGATTCCGTACCCAGCACCGTCGCGCGGCACTCAAAGACGTTTTCATCAATGTGCGGTGCGCCCTTCATGGTGTAGTCGCGGCTGCCCAGAATGCTGGCCCGGTTCAACCGCAGCACATCGCCAGGCAAGACGCCGGGCATGCGAAACGGCAGCCGGATCTGATCGCCCTCCTGCACGAGGTACGGGAAGCCGTGGATGTGGACGGTGATGTAGTGGCCCGGCTGGGCGGCGAGAAACGGGAGCAGGTTCTTGACCGAGTCGGGGATGGCCTGGGGCGGCGGCTGGGGATGGCTCTTCTTGAGAGAAATCGGCCGCGGCTGGTTCTCGGACGGGTTGGTGGCATTATTGATGTGCTTGGCGGATATGGGCTCGACGATGGGGGCCGTGGTGTTGAAGGCGCGCGCGGCGGTCGAGATGATGGAGGCGGTGGCCGGCTTGGGGAAGAGGCGCGGCAAAGGGGCCCGGAGCTCCAAGACGGAGCGGAGGAGTGCCCGGCTCATGGTGATGGTTGTGCAGCCCCGACTTGGAGTTTGCGCTGAGCTGAGAACTGGCGACGAGGGACGAGGTCGGTTTGCTAAACACACGCGAGCTAAAAAGTTATAACTAGGGACACTGGGTGGTACGCTTGCTGGAAGAGCGCAGCTCGGCGGATTAGTGTAGCGCCGGGCTCCGGCTGCAGCGAGTTAGTTTTTGGCTGGTTCCTAGCCACCGAATTTGAGTCTAGTGGAGCCAACCTGCATGGTGCCTCGACTTTTCTCTCGCCGTGAACTTGCTCCACTCAGAAATTTCAAAAAGTTCAAGCGGTCGCCGCTCAACAACCCAACTTACCAGTACATTTGTCTTGCGCAAATACCGACAATATGGTACGTATTGAATGTCGGGGACGAGCAGCAGAAGGACAATGCTAACAGTCCCAACAGCCTCAGAACGAGTACATGGAGAGATGGCGCAAGCTGCATGGCCGCCGTCTCGACCACGAGGAGCGTCTCCGCAAGAAGACGGCCCGTGAGGGCCACAAGGCCTCGCAGGATGCGCAGAACCTGCGCGGCCTGCGGGCCAAGCTGCACCAGAAGAAGCGGCACCACGAGAAGATCCAGATGAAGAAGCAGATCAAGGCGCACGAGGAGCGCAACGTCAAGACGGCGGACGAGAAGGAGCCGTCGACGCCGATGCCGGCGTACCTGCTGGACCGGACGAACCCGAAGAGCGCCAAGGCGCTGAGCAGCGCCATCAAGAACAAGCGCGCGGAGAAGACGGCCATGCACAGCGTGCCGCTGCCCAAGGTGCGCGGCATCAGCGAGGAGGAGATGTTCAAGGTGGTCAAGACGGGCAAGAAGATCCAGCAGCGCGCGTGGAAGCGCATGGTGACCAAGCCGACGTTTGTAGGCCCCGACTTTACGCGCCGCAACCCCAAATTCGAGCGCTTCATCCGGCCCATGGGTCTGCGGTACAAAAAGGCCAACGTGACGCATCCCGAGCTTGCCGTCACCGTGCAGCTGCCCATCATCTCGGTCAAGAAGAACCCGCAGAACCCCATGTACACGCAGCTTGGTGTCCTGACCAAGGGTACCGTCATCGAGGTCAACGTCAGCGAGCTGGGTCTCGTCACCGCCGGTGGCAAGGTCGTCTGGGGCCGCTACGCCCAGGTCACAAACAACCCGGAAAACGAGGGCTGCATCAACAGTGTCTTGTTGGTATAGTGTGCGCAAAAAAAAAAAGTGTGAAGAAAGCAAATGTTGGGGGAAAAAGATGGTCAGCTTTGTTTGAATTGCATGTACAGGCGTTTGGGTGTTTTGCTTAGGCTGATTTAGAGAGCAGAAGCTTGAGACAGGCCATGGTGCGACCAACAGATCATACCATAAAATATACAATCTACCACCTCAGTGCAGCAGTACCTACCCCGTCTACGAAGAATTTGTGATTTGCTTGCATCCGTCCGTACTGTACCTGATGAAGGACCACTTATGCGGCGTGGCCGGCCCAAAAAAAAAGTCCCTGAATCGCACCATGAAAAACCAGTTAGTTGTCTTGTGATGACAACAATGAGAAGTAGACGCAACGCTCAAACTATAATGAAGATTTATTTTATGGTGCAGAGACAGTAGAGCGATAAAAACATACTCAAGCCGAAAAAAAAAGAAAAAAACTATACACACAATAGATCACGCAGTAATTTGTACTGAACGTATAGATACCCGAGGCGGGGCACGTCGAGGTGGGGTTTTGTGTCGCCAGCGGCGCCAGGCGGTGACCTTGATAAATTATTTTCTGCCCGCAAACAAAAGCATTCTTACCATCCAACCATCCAACCACCCCGCTGCTGCACTGTTGTTGTCCGTTGTCGGTTTTTTTTTTCTCTTTCCCTTTCAAGACGGTGTTGCCTTATTCCTCTGTGCCGAATATCATTCGCTTGAATATCTTTTCCCCCGCGCCGACCTCCCCTGCCACAATGAGCTCCGACAAGATGGAAGTTGAGCTCGCCGAGCAGAACCTCAAGACCATGGATCACAGCGAGCAGCACTACTTTAAGAGGTAAAGCGTCGAGTTCCCTGCGCTGTTGACAATTTTTAAAATAAAGAATCCTGCTAATGCGAAATTCTATAGCTACGACCACCATGGTATGCTTTTGATCGCTTGGGATCTTTTGTGTGACGGACGTTTTTCTTTTTTTGCTAACCCGCCTTTTGCGCCAAAACAGGTATCCACGAGGAGATGCTGGTACGATTGATTACCTTTGCTTCCCTACCACGATAAGACAACCTCTAACAAGTCCACCTCTACAGAAAGATGAGGTTCGCACCCGATCCTACATGAACTCCATCGTCCAGAATAAGCACCTGTTTAAGGACAAGGTCGTTCTCGATGTCGGCTGCGGCACTGCCATTCTCTCCATGTAAGCAAAAATCTCGCTGAGAGCTCGGGTTGATATTGCCATGCGCCAAGAGACGTATTAACCTGGCCCGCCGTAGGTTCGCCGCCAAGGCTGGCGCCAAGCACGTTATTGGCGTCGACATGTCGACCATCATCTTCAAGGCCCGCGAGATTGTCGCCGACAACGGCCTGTCGGACAAGATCACCCTCATCCAGGGCAAGATGGAGGAGATTACTCTGCCCTTCCCCAAGGTTGACATTATCATCTCCGAGTGGATGGGCTACTTTCTCCTGTACGAATCCATGCTGGACACTGTCCTGTACGCTCGCGACAGATATCTCGAGAAGGACGGTCTCATCTTCCCCGACAAGGCCACCATTTTCTTTGCCGGTATCGAGGATGGCGACTACAAGGAGGAAAAGATTGGATGTAAGCTCAACCCCCACCACCTTCTTTGCGCCTTGCGTGTGAATCAACGTCTGACGCAATCATAGTCTGGGACAATGTCTATGGCTTCAACTACACCGCCATGAAGAAGACGGCACTCTCTGAGCCCCTCGTCGATACCGTCGACATTAAGACCGTCGTCACCGACCCCGCCGCCGTCCTGACCCTGGACCTGTACACGTGCACCGTCGCCGACCTGGCCTTTGAGGCCGCCTTCAACCTCACCGTCAAGCGCGACGACTTTGTCCACGCCCTCGTCTCGTGGTTCGACATTGACTTTACCGCCTGCCACAAGCCCATCCGCTTCTCCACTGGCCCGCATACAAAGTACACCCACTGGAAGCAGACCGTCTTCTACCTCAAGGACGTCCTCACCGCCCAGGAGGGCGAGGAGATTCAGTGCAACGTCAAGGTCAAGCCCAACGACAAGAACCGCCGCGACCTCGACATTGACCTCGCGTACAACTTTCAGAGCACCGACGGCAAACGCTCGGCTCAGGCGGTGTGTGACTACCGCATGAGCTAAGAGCGAATATGAACATCTATGAAATTTTTGTTTGTGTTTTCTTATTTATTTGTTTGGGTTATCTATGAAAGGGAGAGGGAAAAAATAGGGCATCATTTCCGGTTGAATACAATGAGGGATTCTTATATTGTTGCGACCCCATTCCGAAATAGGAGTGGCCCTGGCTCGCAGTACGGGAAACGTCATGGATGGAAGAAATCTATTAGAGGCGCATGGATGATGATTTTGTTTATTTTATGACATGCTGTTGGGAGCGGAATTGACCACAACAGGTACTGCATGTGGCGTGTGCAAAACGTTCAAAAAAAATACATCTGCTTCAAACATGCCGCGCCCATTTGTGCGTGACTACTAAACTTTCGCCTTGGTCATGAGCTTCCCATCTCAGACATAGTCGCCCCAAATCTCCGCAATGCTCTGGCTGAGATTCCTGCTAAACTTCTTCCTCCCCACGAGGTGGCCCAGCTCGGCAAAGACCAGATCCGCCTTTCGCTTCCGGCCGGCCTCGCCGTCGCCACAGCTCCGGTAGGCGTCGACCAAGGCGCGGGGCGTGGGCCACCGACGCTGCATCTCGAGGGCGCGCTCGCCCGTGACGCGCCGCGTCGTCATGAGCATCTTGAGGTAGACGTCCTTGAGCGTCATCGTCTCCGACTTGGAGGCGAGGGACGCAAAGGCGGCGTACGTGACGTAGTGGCGGACGGCGGGCTGCGTCGCGCGCAGGTGCGCGAGCAGCGGCGCGTAGTTGCGCGCCGTGAGCACCCGCGTCGGGATGACGTGCAGCGGCGCGCGCTCGTACCGAGCCGTGAGCATGCGCGTCATGCGCGCGAGGTACTTGATCGTGTCGTCCATTTTCGCCGTGCGCTTGACAAAGTAGCCGTTGACGACCTGGGTCGAGGCAATGGCCGACTGCACGGCCTCGTCGTAGCGCGTGTACGAGGCGGCGTCCATGGCAATCTCCTCGATGATGTAGACGACGCGCGTCGCGCCGCAGCGCTGCAGCCGGAACTTTTGCTCGTGGAAGCGGCCGTCCTTGATGCTGCCGATGAGGTCGTCGAGGCGCTTGCGCTCCACTATCCAGTCGAGGACGATCTCGTCGCCCTCGGCGCCGTGGCGCGCGAGGACGGACGGGTCGCGGCACTTGGCGATCCACTGGGCGTCGCCAACTTCGAGGTTGCGCATCAGCGCCTTGATGCCCTGCTTGGCGAGCTCTTCCTGCATGTAGTCGCGGTCCGTCTTGGCGCGGATTTCGCGCACGTCGAGGAGGAGGTGCACGGTAAAGGAACCGGGCGCGAGCCGAATAGGCGTAAATTCAGGGATGGAGCTGTCGTCGGCTGCTGGTGGGCCATCTACTACTGTGTCGCGGACGAGTTGTTGAGCTTCGGATATGATTGTCAGCTCTGGTGAAAGCGACGGTGTTCGCTCTGCAGGAGGTGGTAGTGATGGGATATTTCCTGTGACGGTATTGCTTCCGGATGGCTCGACCTGCATCCTGCTACTTCCGGGTGCTTCGTTCTGCATCCCATTTGCTTGCTTCATGCGTTTTGCCACTTCCCAGCCTTCGTCCGTCAGGGCATAGCGACGAAGAGGACGCCCCCGCTCGTACACCATTTCTTTTTGCAGCAACGTCTTCATCGAGCTCCATGCCGTGTAAAATTTGGTAGGGTCACTCGGAGCACTGAATGAGGCATCGCAATGCGGCTGTGCGATTTCAATGAGCTGCGTCTTGGTGATGCCGGTCGAGTCGTCCTCGGACAGAGTAGCCAGCGCTAGAATCAAGGCATAAGGCCCGGAGCGAAGAGTCGGCACGTATGCTTTCGGAGCGCGCTTCTTCTTAGTTTTGCTGCCCTCTTGCTGCGCGTCGTCTTCCGCTTCTTGCGCTCGCTTTTTTCTCAATCGGGGATGCTCTGGCATGGGCAGTCCGTTTTCCTGGCAATGCTTCTTGAGCTTCTCCTCCAGCCGCTCGCAGAGCTTGGGACCGAACCCCTTGAGCTGCTGTAGTTCAGAGGGGTGCTGAAATGGGAGGGGGCACGCTTTCAGAGCATCGTAGGCGCGCCTATAGGTCGTGATTCCCTTGGAGTTGCGCTCCCGGGCTTGGTCAAGCCATTCTTTGACCCAGCCGAGAAGCTGGGGGTTGGCGCAGTCCTCATCCATCGTCTCGGCTAAACAGGGTCGCAATCTATGATGGCCGAAGAGTCATACTATATCGAGTGTTCCAAGTGATGAGCAAAGATTTCACTTTGCTCGTTGAAATACGCATAGCGACCGGCGCGATTGCGGTTGACGGATGATGCTTGTGGAAGGACGCGTGAGTGGATCTTGCTGTGGCGCCAAGTTGACACGCATTCACGTGCATCGTGTGAGCGAGGTATAGTTGATTCCAAATTCCAAATATCCCAAACTGATTGCAGCCTTCGAATTCATCTGTTAATTCTATACAATTTTCTAGCATTTTGCTCTATTTAGTCTCTTGAGATTGCTGTCGTTGCCGTTACCATTACCGTTGCCGCCACTAGTCTTGCCGCTGATTTCGGGTAATGGCGAACTAGGTGGCTATTGGCTTATGCCTGCACACATCAACTTGAAATTTTGGCTTAATCATCCCTTCTATCTGAGTCTATTGCTTCAATTTGCTGGCGAGAATCTTCTCAACAATCTTCTCCAGTAGCGGGATAGATTCACCGTCGCCGGAGCCGAGGATGCCGGCCAGCGACTTTTCAGCGTATTTGGCCATCATGTCGACCTCAATGTTGACACTGTCACCAGCAACCTTCTTGCTCAAGATGACCTTTTCTTGTGAGTAAGAAATGAGCATAATCTGGAACCACCCCTCCTTGTCGTTGACTTGAGTCACGGTAAGGCTGGTTCCGTCAATGGCGATGAAGCCCTTGTAGACAATATAGCGCAGCATATCGCGGTTCTTGGGCTGGAAGCGAAAGGTAATGGCGTTGCCGTCTTTTTCAGCGAGTAGAACCTCGGCAATGGTGTCGACATGGCCCTGCACAAAGTGGCCACCCATTCGGGTATCAGCGCGGACGGCAGGCTCCAGATTCACTCGGCTATTCTCGGACAGGCCACCAAGGTTGGTGATACGTAGGGTCTCGGGGGCAACTCCGACATCAAAGTGGTCATCCTTGAACGACGTCACAGTTAAACAGACACCGTTGACGGCGATAGAGTCGCCATCGCGGCAGCCTTGGAGAAGAGATGAACCAGGCGCAATGGTAATGGTCATCTCGGCGCTGCCAGTGGCAGCATCCTTGGCCAGGCGTGTAATGACTAGAGTACAGTCAGTCACAGGCCAGTAGTGCTTGTAAATGAGAGGTCCTACCGCCAATATCTTCGACAATACCAGTGAACATTGTGGCGGCAAATGCGGCGGTATCTGATGGAAACACGAATAAAGAATCGATCAATAGATCTTAATGTTCACTCAATGTGTACATCAGGCAAATCGGCTGGTTGAAGTGGGATGGTCGGCAAGACCCCGCGACCCAGTAGGAGGGAGGTCCGCTTATCGATTAGCACCAGCCAAAATTTTAGCCCAATGTTCCAACTGAGGGGACCAAGCTGAGCTCGCCTCTGTCCTGTAACACATTTCTTTGCCTTGATAAAATAAATCTCAAAATGGCGCCCAGCCGACCCGGAAAGAAGGAGAAGCCCGATGCTGGGGCCCTCCTAGACGACGCCGAGACCCTTTTCGAAGTCGGCAATATCGAGGAAGCGATTGGCCTTGCCGACAAAGCCTTGACGACGACCGGCGAGGGCGGCGATTTCGAACTTCGCGCCGTGAACATCCTCGCTCTGCTACACCTCGAAGACGGTGAGATCGACGAGGCCCGCTCGCTCTTCGAGCGCGCGGCCAGCATCGACAAGAATGGCGACATTGACGAAAAGGTCGGCGGCGGCCCCGAGAAGTTTCTCTTCCTGGCCGAACTCAGCGAGGAGGGCGGCGAGGATACCGTGAAGTGGTTTGACCGCGGCGCCACAGCGCTGCGCAAACAGATTCAGACCCTAAGTGCCATCAGCAATAAGACACCCGAGCAGCAAGACGCATACGAAGAGAAGCAGAAGAAGCTAGGTGGCGTGCTCTGCGCCGTCACCGAAGTGTACATGACAGATTTGTCGTGGGAGGAAGACGCAGAGAAACGGTGCGAGGCGCTCATTACTGAAGCCATGATGATTGCGCCAGGTTCGCCCGAGACGTGGCAGACGGTGGCCAACGTGCGCATCTCCCAGGAGCGCAACGACGAGGCCCGCACAGCCCTCAAGCGCGGCTTGGAGCTCTGGCAGGACCTGGCCCCCGAAGACCCCGCGGTGCCCGACTTCCCGACCCGCATTGGGCTGGCCCGTCTGCTCCTCGAGACGGAAATGATGGAGGAGGCGCTCGTCGTTCTCGAGCGCCTCGTCACCGACGACGACGAGAGCATCGAGGCCTGGTACCTCGGTGGCTGGGCGCTGTACCTGGCGGGCGAGAAGCTTCGCGACGCCAAGGGCAGCACCAACGGCGCGGAGGCTTCAGAGGACCTCCAAGTGACCTGGAAGTCGTCAAGGCGCTGGCTGGCCCAGTGCCTGAAGTTGTTCGAAGTCCAGGAGTACGAGGACGAACGGCTCGGCGAGCACGCTATCGAGCTGGTGCTCAGCATCAACAAGGTGGTTGGCGAGCCTGAGGAGGGCGAGGATGAGTGGGACGTTGCCAGCGATGATGACGATGACGAGGAAGAGGATGAGGAAATGCAGGACTAAAATACGAGTCGGGCTTGGACATGGCAATGAAGGGATAGGATACACAAAAGGACAAATATGGACGGACATATTGCGCATTTAGACGGCGTTGAGGCAGCCTATTATTCAATTCCTGGCTTTAATGATAGGCACAATAATTCAAGGGCGTAGACCTGTAAGCTTACAAGTACGTACGCGTGAGACCATGCAGCGACACCTTGGAGCATCAACTTATTTTACGATTTTTTGGTATTTTGATTCTCGTCGTTGGTCTATACCGCCTCAACTGCGAGCTTCTCCATCTCTTCCACAGGCGCATCATCATCCTCGTCACCCTCGTCAACCTTGCCCACCAGGCCACGCTCCCACAGCTGCCGTCCCGTGAGCTTGACCGGTTCCTTGATCTTTGCCTTTTTCAAGTCCGCCAGCCTCTCCTCCTCCTCGCGCGCGCTCTGCTCCTCCATCTCTTTTATGAAGCCCTCGCGCCACTTGAGGAACGTCTCCGGGTTCACGGGCGTGCCCTGAAACTTTTTATTCTCCTCCTGCTCCGCGGCCGCGCGGCGCTCCTCGTAGGCCTGCGCCACGGCGTCCTTGCGCTCCTGCACCAGCTGCTCCGCGGCTTCCTTGAGCGCGGACGCAATGGTAAAGACCATGGCCATTCCCATGCTTTCCTGAATCGTCTCTTCAACGCTCGCGAGCAGGGCGTCGCGGTCGTCGGCCGTGTCAAAGTGCTCGGTGGTGCCGCCGTCGGGCGCGGCCATGATCTCGAGGTCGGGCGCTACGTCCGGGTACTCGGCCGGGTACCGGACGGAGAGGAGGAATTTGGGAGGCTCCTCATCCTCGGGGTAGTCGGGGATATCGAGTGCGATGGATATTCTGAATTCCGTCTCCGAGACATCTGGGCAGAGTTAAGATGGGTTCGAATGGGGGAGAGGTTGATTTCTGTGGTGGCCTCCGTACCTGTGATTTCTTCTGGGAAGATGGAGTCGAGAACCTCTCGCTCCTCAACCTGCTCTTCGCGACCCATGATGTAGAACCTGGTAGTCCAAACAGCTATTGGCGCGTCGAGCTGTTAAGAAATTGCCCCTCCATCGCAAGGCGTGAAGTGGGTTGTGCGCCAGCGCAATGCTTACTAACCTCACAGCATGAATGCAACCAAAGAAGGACAGTTTCGGCATATTTTTGAGACTCGCTAATCCCTACGAATATGATTGTAATAAATATTGAACCTGATAAGAACAGCGTAGCGTTGATACTAGTTCAAGCCGTATTTCGTTGCCGTTCGGCCGACGCAGATATCAGTAACCAGCAGACGAGACTACACAGTGTATATGTTGGGAATTGGAGAAGCAAGCTAACAGTCGGCAAAGCAAGTCTACCACAGAGAAAAGTATTTTCCTCACCGAAATCAGTCATGGTGAGCTTGCTTCCTTCGTCGCGCAGTGTGGCATCGGGTGAGATGATTCTTCTGTTCGGCGTGGTTCTGGTTGATCTTACAGAAGGCCTACAGCGGACGCCAGCCCATACAAACCGCGGGGGTCAGCGTTCCTGTTTAGGCTTAGTGTCACTTCACCGCCTGGCAGATGGACAAAAAAATTGGGAAGCCGCCGCAACTTTTTGGTGCAGACGCTGGATCCGCTGTTGAAAAGTCCATTCTGCTACGCCGAGCCTGCTTTTCACGCAACAATTCTCCAGAGAAGCAATCAGATCCGAAATGGCTACAAAAATCTCCGCCGTGGGTAGCAAGAGAAAAGCTACCGCAGGGGACAAGGGGAAGTCTGGCGCCATGGTGAAAAAAGCCCGTCTTGATGGCAACAAAAAGGCTGCGCCTGTCCGCAAAGACGTGGACGAACCCGAAGGCTCTTCGGATTCTGAGGATGGTGGCGTCCAGCTTGAGGATAAGAAACAGAAAAAGTCGGCGGCCAAAGACTACCAGAAGCCTGTTGATACAGGTATGCAGGAGAAAATTGGGTTGAGTCGAGGACATTGGCTAACATGGACACTCAGGTCTATCCTCGCGCGAATCACACGCCAAACAGAAGCAACTTGCGGCCGAACGCAAGGCAGCCAAGCCGCTCGCCGACGAAGTCCACCGCACGAAAAAGATTTGGGAGCGACTGCGCCGAAAGTCTCACGTCCCCAAGGAGGAGCGCCACGAGCTCGTCGCCGAACTCTTTACCATCATCACCGGCCGCATGAAGGAATTTGTCCTCAAGCACGATGCTGTGCGCGCCGTCCAGACCGCCCTCAAGTATTCCACGCCCGAGCAGCGCAAGCAGATTGCCCACGAGCTCGACGGCAGCTACTCCCAGCTGGCCGAGAGCCGGTACGCCAAGTTTCTCATCGGGAAGCTCCTGGTGCAAAACGACGACGAAATTCTCAACCTCGTCGTCCCCAACTTTTACGGCCGCGTCCGCAAACTCATCAACCATGCCGAGGCCTCGTGGATCCTGGACGACATTTACCGCACGGTCGCGACCAAAGAGCAAAAGGCGTCCTTGCTGCGCGAGTGGTACGGCCCCGAGTTCACCCTCAAGGAGCTGACCAAAGGCAAGGCCGTGACGGCCGACCTCAAGGAGATTCTGGCCGACACACCCAGCAAGCGCGGCCCGATCATGAAGTCGCTGCTCGAGATGATCAACTCGCTGGTGCAGAAGCGCATGACTGGCTTCACCATGCTACACGACGCAATGCTTCAGTACTACTTGGCTACGGAACCCGGTTCGGAAGAGTTTACCGAATTTCTGGAGCTTATCAAGGGCGACGAGACTGGCGATTTAATGAAGAATTTGGCCTTCACCCGCTCAGGCTCGCGGTTGGTCTGCCTGATGCTTGCCTACGGAACCGCCAAGGATAGAAAGCAGCTGCTCAAGAACTACAAGGATGCATTCCAGACCATGGCGGGTGACCAATACGCCCATCTGGTCATTCTCACCGCTTATGACGTTATTGATGATACCAAGCTTGTCGCCAAATCCATTTTCCCGGAGCTGGTCGGCGAGAAGAACGAAGAGGTGGTGGAAAATATCGTCGGCGCTGTCAACAACCCACATGCTAGACTGACTTTCCTGTACCTCTTTGAGGGCATGTCCAAGTCTCTTTTCCCTCCTGGCACTTCTTTTGCCCAGGATCTGCTCAAAGAAGTTGACGAAATTCGCAAGACAACAAGTAAAAAGGATGCGGATGCTCGTCAGCAGGAACTTGCTTCCACGCTCACCCCACATCTCTTGGAAGCCATCGCCACGGCCCCTTCGGATCTCCTGTCGACGGCATTCGGCTGCCAATTTATCGCAGACGTTCTCCTGTCCAACACGGGCGACAAGGCTGCCGCTCTGGAAGCTGTCGCACAGGCCGCCAAGGGCAGCCCCAACGAGGCGGTGCCAGAGGACGAGCTGCAACCTCCGACTCATGTTTCTCAAACGCCATTTGGTGGCCGCACGCTCAAGTCTCTGATCCAAGGCGGGCGCTTCGACAAGGCGGCGGGCAAGATTATCCCCCTCGAGCCCGCGCTGGGCTTTGCCAATATTCTATATCCCGTGATTGCCGACTACATTGTGGACTGGGCGACCGGGCCGAGCTCCTTTGTGGTGGTGGCGCTGCTCGAGGCGGGCGACTTTGGCGAGGCTGAGGCTGTGCGCAAGACGCTCAAGAAGAATAAGAAGCTGCTGAGCAAGGCGGCGACGGAGCAGACGCCGGAGCAAAAAGCGGTCCATGAGGCTAGGGAGCAGGCGGCGGCAGCGGCGGCGGAGGCGGGGGACAAGTCGGTAGGCAAAAAGAAGAAGGCTACAGGCAAAAAGAAGGCTGAGCCGTCGGTAGGAAACAGCGGCAGCAAGCTGCTGCTGGAGAAGCTGTAGGGGAAGGGGCTTTGACGTGAAACATGACGACCGTGGCTGCGTGTGTGTGCGTCTAGCGGCTAAGACTCTATTGTGTATTAAACGGAAAGAACATAGGCGTCCTTGATAGGAAAGTTTTGGTTTCATCTGCATCATTTTTTCAAAAGAGCTACAGTACAATGCATGTCATCATTTTGTCTCTGCTTATTTGCCAGGTGGTTTGTCGTGCAAGTGTGAGTGGGTTTTTTGCGTGCTGCATGGGCGGCTGTTGGGTTCGGCTGACCACCCTCTCTCTCTCTCCCTCTTTCCACGTTGGCTTCTGCGCGCCGTCTTTCCATCTTTGCAGTCAATGTGTTGCAGGGAAGGGACGCTCACCATTGGTCGCCTCTCGTAAGGGCATAACCCGGTGTTCTTGGTCGGGGGCCCGAAATGACGGAGCCTGGGGGGGAAGGCTGGGTTCTTCCGGCAAACCACCTCCGCGATGTTGCTTCCCCTTCATGCCGGTGTGACATCCTGCATATGGTAACCGCCCGTCCCTGTCGCTATGTGTGAAAATTGCGTCTGGTGCTGGTTCAGCATCGTCCCCGGACATGGGCACCCCTCCCAGGAATAGCAGTTTGCACGTCAAGATGCGTGTCTGCCCTATGCTTTCTGCCTGTCTCTTGGCCCGGCTGCATGGTTCGGAAGGCGTTGCGAGGGGGCGGTGGCTCCGAAAATAGCAGTCGGTATTCTCTCCCAGGCAGGTCTTGTTTGCTTCTGCTGCTGACTGCTATTGTTGTTGGTCCGTGGCCGTGCTGACGACCTGTTGCATGTGGTAGTCGTTTGGCGCGACTGCGGCACCCTCCACGCAGAATTAGAGAGGAAGATTTCGATTCAGGCAAGGAAGGCTGTTTCGATTTGCCATCCGCATGGAGGGCGAATGGCCGCTCTCCCTGCATTTTGCGTGTTGGGTGTGACCAAGCACATAGCCACCCAAGCTGTTGGGCGAGCGCCTATTCATGATGTGCGATGGATATTTCACTCCGCGGATGCCCAATTCTGCCTCTAGGTTTTGAAATGATGATCACCACCATCACATTGCAATCCCATTATTCGCCGTGGTACTTGGCTTGTGAAGAGAGCAGGCAAAGCTGAACTTGTCTACAGCGTGCTCCACAAACGACTTACACGATCTCACCTGCTGCTCACTTTGGAGTCGCACAAGTCCAACACCCCCCCCTCCCCCCCTTGGCCACGCTGGTTTCAAAATCGAAAAGAAGGTATGAAGCAAGCGGTCTGCTGCAGCGTTGACGGCTGCAACCTCGCCAGCTGCCCCGACGAGGCCCCGGGCGGAACGAGTGCAGTTTCAACAGCAGACCCGTATTTGAAACCGACTTCATCTTCAACAACAACAACAGCAACCATGACGCCCAGCTCGACGAGTGCACCGCCAACCACTTTCATAACCACCAGTCGACCCGCCGAAGACGAAAATACGAGCACAGAGTCGTCGTCGTCGTCTTCCACGGAGCCACCTCTTCCATCCTCCTCCTCCTCTTCTTCTTCTCCCAGAACCCTCTCGCCCATTTCAGATTCCGGCACTACACGCACCATCCCCAATGATTCCACCGTCACCATCACGAAGCATACCACCATAACCCGGGAGCTGCCCAGCGCGACGACGGACCCATCGCTCACCACTGAGGCGACTCCGGAACCGACCTCGTCGACCGCGTGGGGGGCGCCGACCCCGACGGACTCTTCCACATCCAACCCAAACGCAAACAAGCCGCCCCCGGCGGCGGCGGCAGCGGCATCAACACGGGAGCGGTAGTCGGCATCGCCATGGGCGGGGTGTTTGCGGCGGCCCTCCTTGTCGTCCTGCTGTGGCTGTGGTGGAGCCGCCGCAACCGCGGTGCGGCCGACGAGACGGAAGACGGGAGCGCGCCTGTCGATGTGGATAAAACGAGGCTGCATGACAGCATCTTTGGACGGCGGCCCACGTCCGCCTCGCTGCCGCGACATCCTACTCCCCACCAAGTGTCCGGACCAGGATACGGCTATGACCCATTTGCGCCGTTTGGAGGTAAGCCATCCTTTACAACACACACGCACACACCCGCGCATCTGTCCATCACGGCTGGTAGTTAGTAACACAGCACTCCCATAGGTCGAGCCGATCAACCAGCCAGGGCCGCGACCCCGCGCTATCCCGACGCATACGAGATGGACGGCCGCGCGATTCACGTCGCAGAGCTGCCCGGCACGACCGTGACAACCGCGGACGGGGGTGCCGCCGCGGACGACCAGCGGCCAGGCACGCGGTCCCCGTGGGCGGTTAAGCAGCGCCCCAACTCGGATCCGCGCGCCACCCTCAAGCATCTGCCGCGGGAGAATGGGCGGCCGACCTACATCAACCAATGGAACCAGTATAAGACGCTGGCGGGAGATACCCGTACCAGGCAGTAGTGACGGAACCACCCCCCAAGGCAGAGAAACCCCCCAGGCAGAGAAGGGAAGGACCGGGGACTGCGGACGGAAATCATGTTATATTTTTGTCTTCTCTTTTTTTTTAATATGAAAACACCGCGCGAGACTTTCTCACCCCTGCTCCCATCTCCCCCCAAACTGTGCAGAAAATAATACCAGTTCAAGGTTACATACTGTCCCATACTCTTTCCCCGTTATCGAAAAAAAATTGAAACGCCATTGTTGTTCCGTTGTCGGATTGATCCATTTTGCGCCAGAAATGTAAAAATATGGAAAGGCAAAAAAAAAGATTACATGCCTCCAGCGTTGCTCTCGACAAACCCTCCCCTCCCCCCACTGGTTCTAGTCGCGTGTCTGCAAGGGACTCTCCGCTCTGTGGCTGCGTAACTGTTTCACGAGCACGCGAGGCGCTTTTACCTGTTTTGCAGCTTCGAAATCTCTTCGAGGAGCTCCTGCAGGTCCTCGTCCTTGATCTTTTCCGTCAGCGAGGGGATCAGCGTCTTGGCCTCGTCGGCGCTTTCGCAGCACAGCGATCCTGCTCTCTGCGTCAGATGGGGATGCAACAAATGGATTACGCCTTTTCCCCCCCGTTCTTACCCAGCTGTGCGCGCTCAAACTTGGCCAGGTCCTTGTGCGTGCTGAGCAGCCGCTCGACGGCCTCGACGTTTTCCTTTTGCGTGAACCGCGCAAAGTGATCGAGGTAGCTGAGGGTCTGGCTCAGCATCCTGCCAGAAAACGATCCCAAAAAAGGGTTTTCAATTAGCAAAAAGTTTACTCGAAGTTGCGCAAAAAAAGGCACCAGACGCGGGTCCTTTTTTTCGCTCTTCTCAAACAACGCGTACTCAGTCTCGTTGACGTTTTTGCGGTCGTTGCGACGCTTCGCGACCAGCGCATTCAGCACCAGCGAGGCTTCCGACAGCGTGAGTGTGTCGACGTTTTGGAACTCGCCGAGGTTCAGTATCGTGGAGGCTTCCTCGGTGCCGGGAGGCGGCGGCTTGGGCCGTGACGTCTTGTTGGCCGACATGGCGGAAGGCGGAAGGCAGTTTGTGGTGGTCACTTGAGCCCGATCGGTCCGTCACACGCGCGCGCGCAACAGGGAGAAAACAGAGGACAGGTCGCAGAGAAGCAGAGTCGTCGGTGTAGGCGTATATATACTGGATATTCGGTATTTAATGGCGCCGTGGTGGAGAGGCGCAATGTCTGCGTGGCAAAGGGGAAAAAAAGTTGCGAGAGGTGCGCTTCACGGTTTGGTTGGAGTGCGTCCAAGTCGATGGCTTTTAGTGGGGCGAGGTGCTGCAGTGTGCCTAACAAGAGCGGCGGCGTGGCAGCCGCCGACATAGGTAGTTTCCCCTGCTCATCATTCATATACCCTCCTGACGCCTACAACGAAACGTCATTTTGTAAATTCACTACAATTGAGGAATGTATACGGACAAGGTCTCACTCTGAGCTATTCAATATTCCATCTGTACCGTCGTCGTTGTCGTGGCTCGGGAAACCAGTTGGCGGAGGCGCGGTTCACAGCTCACTTCTTCGTCAGAGCTGAGAGTACCGTGGGGAAAGAAAAAGCAGAATAATCAAAAGAAGGGGCCACGGCTGATACCATAACCATGTACGCCTCTCTACACAGTCCGCAGCACTCACGGTAGCTAACCGCCGCAGGACCGTGTTTACGCTCATCATCATCAACAAGGCCGGTGGCTTAATCTACAACAAGATCTTCCACGAGACGGGCCTGCAAAAAATCAGCACAAACGACTACCTCGTCCTCGCGGGCACCTTTCACGGGTAAGCATCTCCCTCCCTTCCCGCCGCTTCAACCGGGCAGTGTGGCTGACGAGAAGTTCTCCCTCAGCGTCCACGCCATCACATCCAGGCTCAACCCCATCAGGCCGGTCGCGGCGCCGACCGCGCCCGGCGGCGTCCCCAACAGGCCAGAGCCGTCGTCTGGGCTCGAGGTGCTGGAGACGGAAAACTTTCGCTTGCAGTGCTTCACCACCATGACGGGGACCAAGTTCCTGCTCTTCACGGACACGACGCAGACCAATGTCGACGTCACCATCCGGTGGATATACGACCTATACGCAGACTATGTCATGAAGAATCCGTTTTATTCGCTGGAGATGCCGGTGCGGTGTGAGATTTTTGACCGCAAGCTGTTGTCATATATTAGAGAGATCAACAACCGTTAAATTTGGGCGCAAGCCCGGGGCATGAATATTACGAATGAGGAATACACTGAATATACGCACAAGTCACTCAGAGCACGGCGCTTCTAATGATAATCTTGGTAAAGAAAAATCCCGTAAATTCTGTCTAATGTACAGCGCCCGCCGCCTGGTGTTTCAGGACGTATCCATCTTGTCACCGCCATCCTTCTTATCCTTCTTGCTTCCGCTACCCTGACCTTCCTCTGGAATGCCCTCCAACGACGCCTTGGTGGCCGCCTGCTCCTCCTCGCGCGCACGCTTCTCTTGCCTCGCCTTTTCTTCTTCCATGCTCATGCGTAGAGCGAGCGCCAGCTCAGGCTCCAGCGCGGGGTCGAAGCCAAACTCGAACTCGTCGTTGCCGCCGCCACCGCTGCCCATGCCGCCGCCGCCGCCGCCGGCGTTTTCGCCGAGCAGAATAGGGCTGGATACAAGCTGGTCGCTGAGAAGCTTGCTGCTGGGTGGGATGACGACAAAGTGGGAGCCCTCGCTGCTCTTGACTTCCTCGTTGAATTTCTCGAGCTTCGTCTTCGTGGCGTCGTCATCGAGGTCACCAAAAAGAATAAAGTCGACGGAAATGTTTCCCTTCTTCATCTTTTTGGCCAGGATCTTGAGTTCTTTGTCCGCCTCTTCAATTGGTGAGCAAACAAAGACTATTATGCGCTGTCGTTGCGACCGATTCTGTCGGTGCTTGAGAGCGAGCTATGAAGGGTCAGAATAGCTACAGAAGTGGCCGCGTGTACTTCAGAGACATACAGTAGCAACTTGAATGCCCGTCTTGAGATGCGATGAGCCACCAATCCTCTTCTTTGTGCGATGCAGACCCTCGAGGATCTTGCCTTGCTCTGTCGTCAAAGTGACAAGAACTTCAGGTCCCTTGCCCCCCATACTCATTAGTCCAACAGAGGACTCGGGGTTACCCTGCGTGATGCTCTGGAAGAGGACATTAACGGCGTCCACTTGTGAATCGAATCGGGTGGGTTGGTAATCTCCGTTGCGGCTGCTCTCGCTGTTGTCAACGACAACCATGACCGCCTCGAGAACCATCTTGACTGTGCGTGTATGATGACTATCGCTCTATTTCTGTAATCAATCTGCCGTGGTTGTAAGTTGGTGGCGGTTGAATTGGCCGACGATCAGTGGTGATGGCGCAGATGGAGATGGTTGTTGTGGAAGGAATGCCAGTTGCAGCCGTCGTCAGTGGTGGTCAGCCTGGAGCTTGACTGGAACCAGGTAGGTAGCTGATACCTTACCAGCTGCAGAATTTGCGGAGCCTACTAATGAAGCATCTACTTGTACCTGTACTTTGGCTGCAGTTACCACTTGGATAGCTCCGCAAGCTGACATAATCCTTCAAGCTTGCACCTTTTGTTTACTTTGGCGCCAGTAGCCACTAACTCACAGCGCGCGACTGGCCTCGAACATCCAGCACCATACCTCTGCATTACATCCCCGGCTCTGTAACTATTTTACCACATTGCAGCACGAGAGCTTGATTATACAACATGGCTCCTACGAGGTCAAAGAAGCGAGGCTCCGACCAGTCCACAGCCTCGACGCGGCAGCGCGGTGTCAAGGTCCCCGTCAGGGAAGAGCCGACCACACCTACAGAGCGCAGTCCCATCAAGAGGCGAAGAGCTGGCATCACGCTACCTCAAAAACAGACTTTAATTGAGAACTTACAACTTGAGAGTATGTAACTCGCGCCTCATGGATTCGAGATGATACTAATTATATAGTCACCGAGAGAGCTCGACGACTTCGTGCCCAATACAACCTCCAGGCCCAGGGCCTTCGATCGCGAATAGAAATTCGCGTCAACCGAATCCCTACCGCTCTACGCAAGATGAAAATGGGAGACTTGCTTCTCAAGTATATCAATCAGGAGCAGGCAGCTCTGCGGCCACCCGTGCCAGCCAAGGATGGCCCGTTGTCGCGTAGCGCAGCTCAGAAACAAAGCTCGCGCCCGAATACCGCGCGCAGCAACAAACGTGTCAGGTACGTGTTCTTCTACGGCACCCTCCCCTCTAGCGTGCTAACATGCGCAGCACCGAAATTTCTGGCGGAGACAAGGAAAACGAGATTGGTGGCGAAACGATGAAGAGGCGCGTTCGCGCCGCTATGCAAGACAACCCGATTCGCCCAACACAGATCTTATCGCCGACCTCATCCAACTCTCGACTCGGCAACCGCGAAATTCCCGTGTCACCCACCAAGTCGTACCTGAGCAGACCCGGTTCGCCTCTAAAAACTGGAGGTGTGCGCTCCGCCGCGACAGCTACCTCCATGTTATCCAACATGGTGGAAAAGGCCAAGGCCGCCCGAGCTGCAAGCACCAGAAAGTTGACCACGTCATCCATCGCTAGCTCACGAAGCGCTGCCGCACCGCCCGCCAGCGCAGCAAAGACGAGACGGGCGGCTCCGGTGAAGCAGCAGCCTGCTCGACCGGCCACTCGCACGGGGCGCCGAATTAGTGCTCACAGTGAGACGAGCGAGGCGAGCAATGGCACCGTCGTGCGTAAGCCGGTCGCATCCAAGGCTAGCACGGCGACTACAAAAAAATCAGTCATGGGTAGCCTCCGCAAAGGTGTAGCCAACAGTAGAGCTACGGCGCCTACAACGAGCAGCTCCGGACGAGTTCTCCGCAAGCGTACGTAGGGATGGGGATGCAGGTCAAGATGGCGGCTTTTTCAGTATGGCTTTTTGTTGGATCGGGTTTGAATTGGCGTTTTCATTTTACATTGCGCTTTTCTGGGGGCATGACATGGCGTTTCATGAAAGGGATGGAATCTCGCATTCGGGAAGCACGGCCAACTTGGCTTATTCGTATTGGCATCATAGCAAATTGGACTCGTTTATGTCTTGCTCTGAATTCCCAAATATGCATCATTCGTGCGTGACCTGGGCCGCTAACTGGCCGCCGCTGCCGCCGCCGCCTTCTTCTTCTTCTTGTCGTCCACCAGCTCGATGTTGTCCTCGGGTATGTCCTTGTACTTTTCCAAAATAAACTCCTCGAGCTCGTCGCTCACGTCGCCCTGCACCACAATCTCCTCGCCGCCGCTGGGAACCTTTGTGACGGACGAGCCGGTGGCAAACTTTTTGCCAAAGTCCTTGGCGCACTTTTTCAGGTCCAGGCCAAACGTCTCAAGACCGATGACGGCCGTGACAAACTTGCGCTTGTTGCGCTCGATGCGCTTGATCGTGATGATGCTCTTGGCGAGCTTGTCGGCCTGCTTGGCCTCGGCGGCCTCGGCCTTGGCCGTCTTCTTCTGAGCGTCTTTGGCAGCACGCTTCTGGGCCTCGACCGAGAGCGAGGCCGTGGCAGCTTCAAGTGCCTCTGTTTTTTTTCTATTGTAAGCAGGAGGCCAAATACGAGGTGCCTAGTAAGGAGACGAACCTGCTGACCATATCCTGTCATACATTGCCTTTTGGTTGGTTTGCAGCCAATCTTGGCACTTTTTTACCGTGCCGCCATATTCGCAGTACTACAGTTTCGAGTCGTTAATATATTTCGCTGCCTCCTGCTTCACGGTCTGTCGAGTCGCCGGCCGAGGGTAGGCACATACTTCAGGGGGCAGAGTGCAGACTGTCGGTCCAAGGTTGTTAGCTTCGGCGCGTGTTTTTGTTTCGCGTAGCGCTGCACGGGGGCAGTGAGCGACGTACCTCCGCAATATGTTACAACTCGTGCCTGGGGCTCCAAAAGGGCGTCTCCTTGCTCTGTATCTGCCATTGTCTCGGTTAGGCAGAATCTTGGTCGGTGGTGTTTTGTGGTGAATTTTGTTCACGTTGACAACGCCCATCGCGGGGTAAATTCAGTTTTGGAGGGGCAGCTTGTCGACGTGGGGCGTATTTGAATTGTAGAGCGTGACGCTGCAACTACAAACGACGACCGGAGATTACGGTGTAGAGCGCTTGAATAATTATTGACTGATTGAAATTGGGCTATTAATTTGGCGACTCTCAATGCAGTTTTCCGTGTTTGTCTTGCGAATATGTTTTGCTGGCAACAGCTTTCAACGTAGGCTCATTGCTGCGGGAGCCTGCTGTGTTACCTGTGCCGCTGCGCTAACAGTAAGCATAGCACCTGCAATGTCGAGGGCTGAACCGACGGCCTGTATGTTTGGTTTTATATTGTACTTCATCGAAAGAGGGGTAAACATTTATATTTCTCCAAGATAGTCGAGCGCACCGGAAAATCGCCCCCACGCTCCTAGACAAGTAGAACGATTAGAGACCTGGGGATCTACCTACCTACCCAATTAGCTGCCTTTGTACCTAGTTACGATTTGTACTTTGTTTAGCTCGCCTAGCTCCAAGACTAAATTGATTAACGGTGGCACTAAATTTTCAGCTTTCCCTTTCTTGGAATTATTTCATTTTTTTTCTCGGCAATGGTATGCTCGTACACCGTCGTAGCCGCTGGTGTCTTCTCCACCTTTCTCTGCATCAATCAATGTGCCACTTACAACAACCAGCTGGCCGGCAAACAACAGTCTGCAGAGCATCCCTCAACACCCCCAGCGCTATGCATACCTCTTGTTCTACTTTCAATTTCTGCATTTCGGAGTCTCATACCAATAAATTCACGAAATCTTGAACCATCAGCACAACAGTCGATGGATGGGTGACGACCGGATGTGAGGCCCCCAAGCTACCCACGGGCGGCAATGCAGTGAACCGCATTGTGTGACGAGTTCATCGATAAACTTTCCAGGAGTCATTCCGTTTACAGCTGCCTAGTCACCCTTTTAGCTCAAATTCGGCCCAGTGTTCAACGAGGGACTGCCTCACTGATGACGAACCCCGCCCAATGACCCGTCATCCCAAGAGAAAATTAAGCGCCGGACTCGCCCTCGACACCACTCATTGGTCACACACGTGCATGGGTGCCTCCCATACATATCCTGGCAGCCACATCGCCCAACCCTGCTCGTCCAGCCCAGTCGTGGCTCTCGCCGACATCCCCCTCACGAGAGTCGGGCGCTTCGACGACCTCGTCGATTGGCTGCTCGACAGCGGATGCCCCAGCGGCGAGCCACACCATCCCATCTGCCCTAGGCTGGACGTGGGTGTTCTATTGCTCCGGCACACACAATTCAACTTGCGCTGACGTTGTTGTGGCCGTATAGTTCCCCATCTCCCATGCAACTGACCCCATGATGGATGCCGCCGCAAAAAAGGATGCCACCGCAAAAAGTCCTGGGGGCTTGGCTCCGTCGGCGCCTAACTGCTTTGTGCGAGTGCTTAAGTCGCCTCGTCACCCCAGGCCAGTATGGCCACTCTTTTCGGTTTCGCATCTTCGTTTCTTCATCCTCGTTTAATATCTCTTTTTTGCCTTTGCCTTTTTCTTTTGTGTTGCTTGAAATTTAGACGCTTCGTTGATCGAAGCAGCCTGTCATTCTATTCGTCCTACCTGGCGCCGGTCGCCAGCTCACCCTTGCACGATACCATATTTACTATTTGTCTTTTTGAATTTCGGAGTGCCACGAGACGGGATCATCAGTGACGGCTATCCGGTATAGCATAGGCACCATCAACATGGCCCAGGTCCTCCGCGCGTCCCCAAACAGCTTTCAGCCCGCTGAGCCTTCGCTGGGTCGAAGGCAAAAGAGGCAACTTAATCCTATTTTAGAGGAGGACAGCGATGACGACGGCCAAATTGACATGCCTTGTCAGAACCCAAAGGTTCAGGGTCACGCATGGTTCTCCCCTATGAGCGACCATTTTCCGACGCCGCGAGGCGTGAACTTTCTCTCTGCTCCAATTCTTCCGTCGTCTCCTTCTACAGTATCTGCCGACAGCTCGCCGATGACGTCTTCGAACCCGTGGAATAATCGTGCTAGTACCGCGACAGACAATACTGAGTTTGAGGACATTTATGATGTTTCCGATGATGAAGATGACTTCCCCCGAGGCTTACGCCGAAGCATGTCTCTCAAGAACGATCAGCAGGTAACCGCCGGGGCGTCCAAGTTTCCAGGGCGCCTGGTTATTCCTTCCAGTCACATCGAGGAATGGTCGGCGGTTGACGAGTTCAAGAAAATCACATCACCAGTCCCGCTGACACCCTCGGCCCAGCTGCCAATGTCCCCAGCCCAAATCAGCTTCATGGGATTACAGCAGGCCCTTCATATCCCGTCCGCACCACCGTCTCTCGATGGCAGCTTGACCTCGGAGCAGCTTGCAGCAATGAGCTCCCCACCCACGCCCATCATTGGCAACGATGAAGTTCCCCAGGAAGAAAACTGGCCTGGTGTGCGTCTACAGCCTGGTGCTCTCGCCACACTTCACACCCTATCTTCCAACGACAGCGAATCCGAGGATGAAGCCTCTCAAGCATTGGAATTTGCCCCCATGGAGATGCGACCCGTTTCGCAAACGCAACAACTTCCGTTCCGCCTGATGACAGACCTTTTGCAGCCCCGCCCCAGCACTTCAAATGCAACGCGCCAGTCGCTTCTGGAGCTGAGCAAACTGGATATTCCCTCTCCCGGCGGCTTCTTCTCTGACCTTTCCCCAAGAGCCCGAAATAAATGGCATTTACCGAGCGAGTCTCCAGCAGGCATGCCCCCACCTACCTCGACAACCGCTGAACAGTTCTACCGCTGCCCGTGGAACGTTCCTTCGGAGGTTCCGCCCGTTCCCAGCCGACCTGACTCGGCCGAGGGTTTCTATCGCATTTCTGGATTCTCTTCTGAGCCTGTAGAGCACATTATCGAGGTCCCTTATGGTGATGACGATGACGATGATGATATGCCAACTGCTCGCCCGATCATTCCAACACCCAAGGCGTCCGTCTTTAACAAGGCTCCTGTGACCGCATCGTCTCCTGATGTTGAAGAAGCCCCAACCGAGATTGTCATCGACTATGATCCTGCCTATGCCCGAAAGCAACAGAAAGCAGCCCTCTCCAACCTTGATCGCACCGAACACTGGCTCTTGGCCCAGCGATCATATCTTAAGGGTGTTGACGAACCAGACAACGGCGCTCTCCAGACCATTGCCGAGGACATTGACACAGAGGAACCAGAGGAGCAGGACAAGGCTACTTCAGAGTCACAGAAGAAAGTCGTGCGATTTTCCCACATTCTGCCCACAGTGCAGCCCAAGCGACTTCCTTCCACTCTCGGTCGCCAAGAATCAGCATACTACCGCGCGTTCCAAGACTACATTGTGCGCGCACAGCGTTCGGACGTGTTTATCCACCAGCTCCCACGGTTTGAAGCTTTGCAGAGCCAGCGTGTTGGTCTCCGCGAGGTTCACTTGAACCAGCTGCTTGGCAAGTACCAGTTAAGCGTTGTTCCTCAGTCGGCCAAGAAGCGTCTTAGTGCCAACGTGGTGCGAGGCGATCTCAACTTGACAGACGACCCTGAAAAGATCCGGAAAGAAAAGGAGCTGGAGGCCATGAATCAGATTGCCATGCCGTCATGGCACGTTGCCGCTGTCAAGTTCCTCAACGGGGGGCAACTGATTCGAGCTCCCATCACGAAGCGACTGGCCAGAATCTCCATGCACACCATGAGCAAGGATGGCCAGACACGCGACAGATCTCGCATCCTCGACCTCGGCGGGCAAAGCACTGGTGACTGGGCTTGGCACTGTGCTCTGCAGTACCCCAACACCAAGATTTACACCGTCACGACCAAGACTATTCGCCAGCTTTCCAACGCCAACATTCACGGACCGCCCAACCACCGTCAGGTGGCCGTCGAAAAGTTCAACCATCTGCCCTTCCCTGACAATCACTTTGACCTCATTTCTGCCCGCGAGCTCCACAGCATCCTCAAGTTTGTTGGCGAAAATGGTGAGGATGAATGGGAGACGTGCACGCGGGAATGCATGCGTGTCCTGAAGCCTGGCGGCTATCTCGAGTTTTCCATTCTCGACTCCGATATCATGAACGCCGGTCCTCTGGGCTTGGCCAAGAGCGTCGAGTTTGGCTTCTCCCTCAAGACTCTCGGCTACGATCCCAGCCCCTCCAAGCTGTGGCTGAGAAGACTTGCACGCGCCGGTTTCAGCGACACGCGCCGTGCCTGGGTTTGCTTGCCGATGGGGGCCCAGCGCAACTTTTACAAGGTGCCCGCCGCCGTGTCTGGCGCAAGTGGAAAGCGAGACGAGGCGGCTCAGGTCCACCAGATGGAAGGCATGACCATGGGGGGCGCCGGTAACATCGCAGGTGTGTGCAGCATCGTGGGCGGTTGGAGTTGGGAGCGCTGGCTGCTGCGTTGCGAGATGGAAAAGGTGGCGGGCGAGTTGCGCCTGGCGGACACGGTGACGGTGGGAGAGTCGATGAGGGAGGCGGCCAAGTGCTTGAAGGGGGTTCACGATGTGATGGAGGAAGGACGGGGCTGTCGGTCTGGGTTCCGGATGCTCAACGGGTATGCCCGGAAGCCCTTTCCGGATTCTGCATCCATTTCCATTGGATTTAGCGGATAAAATGCAGCATTTGTTTTGGGTTTTGAGAAGCGTACATAGGTTGTGCAGGATGCTGCAGTACATGGTGCAATGCTTTGGAACTAGGCAACTAGATTATACGTCAGATTTGAACATTAATCTTCTCGGTACATAAACAGAATATCCATTTAGAACAATACCATTTTCTTTAATTCTCTTTTTGTTTTTTCCCTCCTGGACATGCGCGTTCGGCTGAAGCCATCACAGAGTGCCCTATGTAGTTAGACTACCTAGGTAACCTACCAAGACGTACCAAGGTACCCATTGCCAGCCAATTAGCAATGATCAATTGGCCCCATTTTCTGCCAGCACCAGCAAACCTCAGGCCGTTCAAGCTCGAAGCCGTCAAGCTCGCCTCCAAACTCCGCGATTTCATCCCATCCCCATCACCCATCGACAATCAACATAGGGGACCGGAGCATCGATTTCGCGCCAATTCCGCATCTTCTTTTTCGATTCACCTTGCGCGTGATATCCCGGCCGAACCGGTACAACTCACACCACCATGTCCAACAACTGGCAAGAAGAGGCGATGCGCCGCCTGCGCCAGATGCAGTCGTCGGGCGGAGCGGGCGGACGAGGCCCTCAGATGCCGCGCGGCGGCGGCCCTGCGCTCTTTGGCGGCGCGCTGCTCATTGGCGGCGCAATGTTTCTGTCCAACGCGCTCTTCAACGTCGACGGTGGCCACCGCGCTATCAAGTACAAGAGGCTCTCCGGCGTCAGCAAGGAGATTTTCAACGAAGGTGAGCCTGGCAACACCCCTTAGACGACAGTGGATGAGAGAGCACTGTACTCTATAGATTTGATTCCATGAATGGATCTCGAGCTTTTTCCAGGCGAGCTGACAAACGTACCCAGGCACACACATCAACATCCCCTGGTTCGAGACACCCGTCGTCTACGATGTGCGAGCCAAGCCACGCAACGTCTCGTCGCTGACGGGCACCAAGGACCTGCAAATGGTCAACATTACCTGCCGTGTGCTCTCACGCCCGCAGATCGAGGCGCTGCCACAAATCTACCGCACGCTCGGCACCGACTTTGACGAGCGCGTGCTGCCCTCAATTGTCAACGAGGTCCTCAAGAGCGTCGTGGCCCAGTTTAACGCCAGCCAGCTGATTACCCAGCGTGAAATGGTGGCCAAGCTCGTCCGCGAGAACCTGGCGCGCCGCGCGGCCCGCTTCAACATTCTGCTAGATGATGTCTCCCTCACTGTATGCCCTCCCTCCTGTTCCCTAAGCAACCCCGGCTAACAAGCCCGCCCGCAGCACCTCGCCTTCTCGCCCGAATTCACCGCCGCCGTCGAGGCCAAGCAGGTTGCCCAGCAAGAGGCCCAGCGCGCCGCCTTTGTCGTCGACAAGGCCCGCCAGGAGAAGCAGGCCATGGTCGTCAAGGCCCAGGGTGAGGCCCGCTCCGCCGAGCTGATTGGTGAGGCCATCAAGAAGAGCAAGTCCTACGTCGAGCTCAAGAAGATTGAAAATGCTCGCCTCATTGCCCAGCAAATGCAGGAGTCGGGTTCCAAGAACAGGCTGATGCTCGACGCTGACGGCCTCGGCCTCAACGTGTTTGACAAGGAGGACAGGAACTAAAGCGCCAAACGGAGCGCACTCGCGAAGAAGGAATAGCAGAGTAGCCCTAGTATTCTGCCTCTAGGCTTTCTCTCAACTTACAATCTCCACTGCACTTGTTAAATGTATGGAGTGTATTATAGCAATATATGGATGAAAGGAAGCTTGATGATGCATCTGAACGTGACCACCATTCAGGGCAATGCCACAGCCTTGGTGAAAACTGGCACTTCAACGGTTGTGTAGTAAATTTCATGTATTTTAGTTCTCCAATGATGTAGAATCTAGACACTCACTCGTAAACGTAGCTAGGCAGACAACACGGCAGGAAATAGCGGCAGGCGACTAACAGCGAGCTACCCCACCATGCCTCATCACAACGATGACGGTCCCGCCGGTTTGCGCAACCTCTCTGACCCGATCCCACCTTTTACCTTGCACATCCTCTCATTGCGCGAAAAAAAACCAAGCTCCCTTTCTACCCCATTAGAAACACACCAAAACGCACATACGCCCACCATGTTGATCAAGTAAGAACTCGCGCGCGCCCGCCGCCAGCACGCCCTCGCACCGCGTTGGGACTCTCCTCCCCCGCCTCGCTAACGTGCAACGCCGCAGGGTGCGAACGCTGACCGGCAAGGAGATTGAGCTGGACATTGAGCCTAGCTACAAGGTGCGTGTTTCTTCACTCGTGGGCTGATTTGGGGAGGGGGGGACGCGGCCGCGTCCTATGTATGGGTTTGGGGCTGACGATGGCCGTGTGGCAAAAAACAACAGGTCTCGCAGATCAAGGAAAAGGTCGAGGAAAAGGAAGGCATCCCGCCTGTGCAGCAGCGCCTGATTTACGGCGGCAAGCAAATGTATGGTCCCCCCCCCCTTTTTATTACCGCTGCTGCTGCTTCGCTTGATCTCAACTGACACGCGACGAAAACGCAGGACCGACGAAAAGACCGCTGCCGACTACGACCTCAACGGCGGCGATACGCTGCATCTCGTCCTTGCTCTCCGTGGCGGCCGCCAATAGAGAGCGTGCCGCTTTTTTGTTGCGAAACACACACATCACAATCCTCCCCGCCACGACGACGACGAGCGAAAAAGAACAAGAAATACATGCCGAAACATGGAAAATCATGAAACAATAGCGTTTTTTTTTTAACGACGGAGGAGAGAATGAGACGCGCGCTTACGCCTGCTGCCGGAAGACAGAATAGGCTGGCATATATACAAGAATAAATAAAAAAAAGACATCCAAGATTACATGCACGTTTCACGGGAGTCAAGAGACAAGCAAGAATCAAAGGAAAAGACGAAGAAGAAGCGCTGAAAATCCATTTGCTGTGATATGTATATGATGAAGGCTCGAAATGATAATCGCTAACACCCCGACAAAAGGGGCTCCAAAAGAAGAAAATGCCATTACGCTGATATATGCCCATGTAGAAAACACACCAAAAAAAAACCTCGCTGGGTGGCGGACAAAACAAGGCACGCCGAAAAGACAAACTCCATTACGCTGTTCGCTGTTCGTATTCCGCTGTATTCCGTGTGCAGATCCCGAAAAAAAAAAAAAAAGAGTCAAAAATTCGCTCGCCTGCCAAAAAGGCAAATATCATCATGCCAGTATGGCTTGTCAACCAGAAAATTCAAAGAAAGCAAGACCGCTCAAGACTGAGAAAAATCAACCAGACAAATTGCAAGCAAAAAAAACGCCTCTAATCCCACATGAGAATCCAAAATTCCAAAATCGCTATTCATTTCAAGGGTATTGTACTGTAGTGTACACGCTGTGTGTGTGCGTGGTGCGTGTGTTGTATATGTGTTGCGCGTGTTGCGCGTGTTGCGCGTGTTGCGTATGTGCTGTGTGTTGTGTGTTTTTGTCATTTGTTCATGTGCGTCTGACGGGACGCTTCATAAAGACATTGACGGGCTTCTTCTTGCGAGGTAGCACCTTTGCCTGCTCGGGTAACTGCCCGTGTGACATGATCTTGCCCATTTCAGGACTGGGCACCTTGGGCAGGGAATGGTTGGGCGACAACAGGGCAACCTGAATAGCCGGCGGCTTAGAGGGAGTGACGGGCCGCTGCGGCTCGTCGCCGAGGTTGGCCTCGCTTCTGGAGCGCTTCTTGGCTGACGGGGGCGAAGCCGCGGCGGCGCTTATGATGCGCACAGGCTTGGGTGACGACATGGCGCTGCTCTTGCCCTGGCCAAACTTGCGTTGAAACATGCTGCAGCCGGAGCCGAGGACCTTGCGGCCTGGGGCAAGCGTCTTGGTTGGTGGTGGTGGTGGAGCGGATGAAGAGCTGGCGGTTGTAGTGATGGCCGCGGCCGCAGGAGCAGGCCGCTTTGATGATGGTTTGCGTACGGGTTGGGTGGGCGCGTCCGAGTCATCTTCCGAGTCTGTAATGTACGATGCCTTCTGGGCGTGCTCCTCGAGCGTGGCCGCGCGTTTCCTCTCCATCTCCTGGCGGCGTTGCTCGCGCTGCTCAGCCTCTGGAGTTCGAAACGCAGGCTGCGCGGCGATGCGCTGCTCATGCACCATGGCGGCCGGTGCCGCCGTTGGGAGGTGCTGCTTCTCGAGCAGCCTGATGGGCGCGACGACGGAGCGTGACAGCGTCCCCTGGATGTTGCGCACCTCGCGTGCCTCGCGGCGGGCCTTGCGCATAACGTCGGCGCCTGTACGCATCTTGGTGCGGCTGCCGCCTCCAAAGCTGAGGACGCTGGTCGACGTGTCCTTGGGTCCCATGTTCCGCTTCTTGGGCCGCACCGCGTCCGACGGCAGGAAGCGGCCCTCGACAATCGTGCTCGTCTTCTTGGCCTTGTCCTCGCGGAGGCCCATGAAGGCGGAGCGGAGCTGCTCCTCCGACTTATGGAGGGAGCGGTCGCGCTCAGCCTTGTACTTTTCCCAGACCTTGAACCAGCGGTCCGGGTTCTTGGGCTTGTACGCGTTGGCCTTGAACTCGAGCGGAAAGTCCTTTTCGATGAGCTTGAGCCACAGCTCGCCCGTGTCGCGTTGCAGCTGCGGGCAGTTGAGCTCAATAAGGCGGAGCTGCCTCGCGTCCTCAATCTTGACCAGGAGGTGCCGGACGGAAGCGTACGAAAGATAGCCGACGCTGGCGATGGAACTCAAGTTTTTGAACAAGATGGCGTTGGCCATCTCGGATAGAGACTTGGGAGGCATAGTGGTTGATGAAAATGTGGTTTGCTGGTTGTGTGGTGATGGGTTGTGGAAGGTTGCAAGTTTGAAACGTGTTCTGCAAAGTGGCGGAAAAAGTATAATGGCAGGGTAGCACACTAAGCCGTCGAGCGGGTAACGGGAAACTCAAAGAGCGAAGTCTTGTCTGTATGTGGCATTCTTAAACGAGTAGCGAGCGAGCGCGGTTCGTCATGTCACGAGGGTGGCAATCAGAGTTGATGTCAAGATAATGCGAGATGCGAGATGCGCTAACTAGCTCGGTGGCTCCAACAACACTCACTGTGCCTGGGCTAGGTGGTTAGCGCGTTGGGCGCGCCTACAGCGAACAACCTCCTAACTAACTCGGTGTCGTACACACAATGATGCGATAAACTATCAAATATATCGAATTTGCAAGGCTTTCATTTTATTTCCACTCTGTTCCAATACTTCCAGCCTAATTCGTACCATTGAGAGCTTTCTTGAATTGTGGACCATTTCAACAGACGTGTCCAGATCCTGGCATGACGTCACTAAACGACAGAAAATATGCTGGGCATGTATTATATTTTTGTCCTTTTATTATGATCGTTCTCAACGGACGGGGATTTCTAGAGATGGTGTAGCATAAGTGGCATGAGCTATTCGTGGCGGCGCCCATCGCGTACCACGTCAAAGACATTCGGCGCGGATGAAGCCAAGACGTCGAGCTACATACTATTGGCAAGCCACAAACGCGGGGTCATCTGATCCTGCATCGGTTGATCTCGTCAAGAAAGCTTCAAGTCCTATCTTGAGAATAAAATATGTGCAAGTCCGTCCGTTCTTGGTGGCTCCGTACCGCGGGGGGCAGCGTGGGGGATGCGTGGGGGATCCTCCTGCTTGAATAGCCGAGACACTCCTTCTCACAGTTTATTCCCCGCGCTGTTTGGGAAGGTAACTAGGGCTGCTGCCAGATTGCCGAAAATGCAAAATAAAGAAAGGGCTCCTGGCATGACTGTCAGCGCGTCACGTTAACGCCCACAGGTGTCACGTAACAGCAGGCGCGTACTCGGATGCCGTGAGTGGCAGCGTAGAAGAAAATAGTGGCGCAGCTGCCTAACGCACGCCTACATATTTCGAATACCGTGAGCCTCGTCGCATTTCGATCAGTATTTTCCCCGTACAAGCAAGACTTTTATTCTGAGCATGACGATACTGAACGAAAGCAACCTAGCCTTGCTGCAAACCCAAGATTCGCGATCCGCTTCGCCAGAGATCTCGCAAGAGCAGCAAATCGCTGAGATCGAGCGTGAGTGCAACGCGATGGCCAGGCGGCTTGAGCGAGAGGGCCGAACACACTGCATTACTCGTCACCGGTTGATCTATACCAAAGGGCGGTTACACCAAGCAGATGGAGCAACGATTGGCAAACAGATGGCGACGTGGCAACGAATAGAAGGGTGGCTTGCCGCCGAATTCGAGCCCCTGCCAACCAACTTGGTCCCAAAGCACAAGATGCCGCGTCAAGGCAGCCAGGCGCAGCTTCAACAAAGTAGGGCGGACGAAAGCCACAAAATACTCACTGAAAAACTGGGAACTTGGCTAAATGACCAAAAAAATGGTAAGCAACAACGATGAATATTTTATAACAAACAATTTCTAAATTATAACTTGGAATAACTAGTATCCGGGGCTTCACCGTCGGCTCGCCTGATTAGTCGAACACCACCCAAACCACGGAGAAGTCAAAGGCTTTCAGGTAAAGCCCCCGAGCTTTCCGCAGCAGCGCTGGAATCTCTCCCGAGGCGCGTATAGCTAGTTTCCCATCAAAGAACGGAATCTGCGTTCGCTACACAGATTATGGTCGGAATTACATATCCATGTCCTTCTCTCCAGCCTAGGCGCAACTACCCGGTAGCGGGCAGCGGAATTATGTTTCACCGCCCATCCAGGTACAGCGGGCCGCTAAAAGCTTGCACGCCCAAAACTTCACAACTCAGTTTCTCTTCCTTCTCCCATCCACCCACAATCGGAAAACTTCTGCGCTCTTGCTTCTTCCCGCCGCACTTGATCCATGCTCATCCGCCATCCGCAGCCGAGTTTTTATTCCTGCCGAGTTGTGCCCTCAATATACCGAGGCCCATTCTACTCGAGCGAAAACACCGACACGCGAATAGATGGTGATGGGATCTGCTGCTGGCGAGCACAAGTATAATTGACGAGCACAGAAGCGTCTGATGACCCGTAGACACCGCCACGGGTGACTGTGACCTGTGTGTGACTTGCTGATTGAACGTGATGTTGCAAATGTATGGCATTAGTGTGTACAGCAGTGGGCCTTTACTCCGTGCTCCAATTGCTGAAGGAATTCTTCATCGTGCCAAGATTGAATATACCCTACTATTACCAAACACCTGAAATCCTCAATCCCAAGGACTATGGTGCATGAAGCTAGGGTGACATTGTTGATCAATTTTATTTTTCAAGTGAACGTAGTTAGAATCAGGTATATGATTTTTTTGTATATTAATTCCCAAATGTCAGAAAAGCCAGTTTCCATCATTCACTACCAACAGTATTGTTGACTGTCTTTTTTGCAATTTTTTTGCAATTCATGTCCATATCCATATCCGCTTAAGCCTGGTAGGTAGAGGCAGAGACGTTGCCACCACGGCCAGTCCAGTTGACGTGAATGTCCTTGCCGACCTGGTACTTGGCGTTGGCAGCCTCAGGCTTGATGTGGAAGGTGTGAGCACCAAAGTAATCACGCTGGGCCTGGAGCAGGTTGGCAGGCAGGTCCTTGGTGCGGTAGCCGTCGAACCACGACAGAGCGGTAGAGAAGGCGGGGGTAGGGATACCAAGCTGAGCAGCCTGGGCGACGACGTCTCTCCAGCCGGGCTGGGCCTTGTGGATGGCCTTGTTGAAGAAGTCGTCGAAGAGGAGGTTGGCAAGGTCATTGTCCTTGCGGTAGGCGGCGGTGATGTCCTTGAGGAAGACGGAGCGGATGATGCAGCCGCCACGCCACATGAGGGCAATCGAGGGCTTGTTCAGTTTCCAGCCGTACTCCTTGGCAGCCTAGGATTTGTCAGAAGATGTTGAACCAAGCGAGAGTGTAAAACGTACCTCCTGCATCAGCATGAAACCTTGGGCGTACGAGATAATCTTGGACGCGTAGAGAGCCTGCTCAAGATCATCGAGGAATTGCTCCTTGTTGCCCTCGAACTTGCCGCTGTTGCGCGAAACGTACTGGAGCTTGGTCGAGGCAACCTCACGCTCCTCCTTGATGCCAGACAGGCATCTGGCAAGGACAGCCTCAGCAATGAGGGTGACGGGCATACCGAGGTCGAGAGCGTTGACGGCAGTCCACTTGCCGGTACCCTTCTGACCGGCCTTGTCGAGAATCTTCTCGACGAGGGCGGTACCATCATCATCGTTGAAGTACATGATGTCGCGGGTGATTTCGATGAGGAAAGAGTCAAGAACACCCTTGTTCCACTTGGCGAGGACATCGCCGATCTCCTTATTGGAGAGGCCGAGGGCACGCTTCATGATATCGTAGGCCTGACAAAGTTAGCTGAGATTTCCGTTGTGATATGAGACGTAGCATACCTCGCAGATGAGCTGCATGTCACCATACTCAATACCGTTGTGAACCATCTTAACATAGTGGCCAGCACCCTCGTCACCGACCCACTCGCAGCAGGCCTCACCATCAGACTTGGCAGAAATGCCCTGGAAGATTTCCTTGATATGAGGCCAAGCTTCCTCATCACCACCAGGCATGATGGAGGGGCCGTAACGGGCACCTTCCTCACCACCAGAAACACCGGAGCCGACGAAGCGAAGGCCCTTGCTGGTGAGGTACTTGGTGCGGCGGTTAGAGTCGGGGAAATGCGAGTTGCCACCATCAATAATGATGTCACCCTTCTCCAGGAGGGGCAGAAGCTTCTCAATCCAGTCATCGACAGCCTGGCCGGCCTGGACAAGGAGCATGACGCGGCGGGGGGTCTTGAGCTTGGAGACGAACTCTTCGACGGAGTGGGCACCGACGATGGACTTGCCTTTGGCCTCATTTTCCAAGAAGTGGTCGACCTTGGAGACGGTTCGGTTGAAAGCGCAGATGGTGAAGCCGTGATCGGCCATGTTGAGGATCAGGTTCTGTCCCCTAGACAGCAAGGTTAGCGAGTTGACGAAGCACGTCGGGAGCTCCGGAAGGGGCCCAAACTTACATGACAGCGAGGCCAATGAGGCCGAGATCCGCGCTGGGGGCATTGTTAGCACTTGAGAATGGATGAGTACTGCCAGTGGCAGGAGACGTGGACGAGGGGTTGTTGCTGTCGTGGGAGCCAAGCTTGATGTTGGCGAGTCGAGCACTACCACTTGGCAGTGAGCAGATGATTCAAGAGGTTTGGAGGCCACGAATCTACTCCGCAGTACCACAAAGCACGAGCAGTACCCCGCGAACCAGAAGAGACGCAAAAAAACACCAAGAAAAACTGGCGATGCGCTCAAATGCCGATTGCGGGAAATTGAGCGTTCAAACAGCTCTCGGCGGGGTGGTGGGGTAGTCGAGATAAGACCAGATAGCAGAGCAGGACGAGGACGAGGACGAGGGGAGGCTTACACAGGACCAGACATGATGATTGTGATGATTGGTATTCGGGAGGGTAGCAAGACGGAAGGGGTCAAGGTGAAGACGAGGATGAAGAGTAGAAAAAGGAGCAAGAAAGGAAGGAACGAGGTTGAAGGTTGTATGACCGTGCTGGGTAAGGAAAAAGCGGGCTCAAATAGCGATGGGGGTTCTGGATTGGCGGGGCAGCAGACTGAGGGAGTGGGAGTGTCATCACAATCGCCGAAGGAGAGGATTTTTTTTAGCTCTCTTTTTTCACGCTACGGTGATGGGCTGAGTATAGGGATGGCTTGAGAGATATATTACAGAGCAGAGCTTGGAGGGACCTTGCCGCAGGCCAACTACACGATGTTTGAATTGGTTATCTCGTCCCAACATTTGCGTCACCCCACTACCTAGGTAGTTAGAGAGAATGCCGATTATTGTTTCCTGGGAGAAAGCTGTCGACCAATTCGACCCTCGAATAATACAGCTTGACACATTATTCTTACACCAAACGCCGTCAACACGCCGTGTCAGATGAGCGATGTTGCTGTCAGACGAAACACATCAATCAGTATTCACCCAATCCGGGGAGGGGCCATGACGCACTGGGCGGCGGGCGTAGCAACAGTTTTGCACAGCACCTAATTAGCACCTGAGCCGCGTGTGGCGGCGCTGTGGCGGACGGTACGGTTTTGGGTGTTAGTGCGGAACCCCCAACCCAGCATCTCCGGCACCGCCGCCGCATATTGGCCCGAGTCGGCGGTCGCCAAAGAGCTCCTGGTTTCACGACGGCGTCATGTTACGAGTTGATTGGGCAGAGGGGGAATCCGAGCGAGTAGTTGCATCGAGCGGCACAAGTCATACCAACTACTTTTATTTTCCACAAATTGTCCGGACATATCCGACGGCGGAGCGGTTGTGGTTGTGCCTCCCACGTAGCGCTTAATAAAAGTGCCTCAGCAGCCACTCCCAGTTTGTCAGCATCCGGCGAAGCTGCCTACTTTCGAATGCCGACGTTTGGGTGCTGTCTCACGCTACTAACTTGGCGATACCCGTCGCAGGAGACGTCGAGCTATTGGCTGGCTCTTTGTGACGTATGAATTCTTGAGTTGGCCTTTTCATTATTTGGGCTTCATTTCACGCTCTGTATTTTTCTTCGCAAAGGTTGTACTTGCCATCTCACACCGTTTCTCCAGCATTAAAATTAGAATAAGCGCCGGCATCCCGGGCGGCATCTCTGGGCGCTTCAGACACCGTCTGCCCGTGGTGGGGGGCTGACGAGCCGATGATTGATGGTTGATGATTAGGTATACAGCATCCAACATGCATCGTATCTTCGGGCTGCACACCAATGGCAAGCCGAACGACGTGCAACCTGCTTCCACGCAACTGTGGCAACAGCTCGCTCGTATGATTATAGCTGGGTAGCGTCATGGCAGCGCGGGCTGCCTCGTCTTGTGCAGCATGCCACGAGCCAATGCCGCCCGCTGCCGTGGTATCGCCTGTGCCTCTTGCCTCTTGCGTAGAAACGGTACTCGCGGCCCTTCCGTTGCCGTTGAACGCATTGGCCAAATTTTCAGCGACTCTCCAAGAGCCCAGTTTCTGGCAAATAGCTATGCGATGCTGGCCGGAGAAGATGACAGTATCTCCTGATGCTGGTACCATGTTCCGTTCTTGATCGCATGAACATGCCTGGATTCCCTGGTCACTTTTCTTGTCAGCTCCTGGAAATCGTCTGGACTAGCACCTACTAGTTCGTTATTAGTAGATACTCATGCCTGGGATGGGGAATTACAGTGGCATAACTAAGCAGACTTGGCTGAGAGCCTGTGACGTATGTTCGCACCACTTGGTTCGATTTTAGATTGCGAACAGCTCAACCATCGATTTAGCTCCGGCAGGAAAATAGAACGATAGCTGTGGAGGCCCATAGCGTTGGGCGGACAGCGCCACGAGGTCCTCTTGGGAAAATATTGGTAGATGAGTTGGTGTGAACCAGGCCCTTGAGCAGCCTCGTCTACTATTGATAGTTATTACTAGTTCAATTTGGAATGCCAATACCAGACACACAGCAACAAATTGCAGCGCCATTGGAAAGAAGCCATCCGTGGAAGGCCGAAGAGCCGGCAAGGTGCAACCGCAGCGCTCAATCGCTTTGAAACGGTGGTCTGGCAAATGGAGAATGGACAGAGTTCAAGAAAAAAAGGCATCGAGGCATGGCCCCATTCCTACATGTTGTGCGGATGGGACGGAGGAAGCCATCTCCGCAGGAAAAAACGCACAGGTGCTTGTCCAGCTGGACTATCGCCCCCCTGGATGCAGGATTGACCGCAGCCGTCAGCCAGTGTGTGCCTCTTTTTTTTTTCTTTCTTTTTTTTAATGATTATTTAAGCGCCAGGTGACAGCACAGAGATGCCAAGATGCCTCCACTGGACACAATTCGGCTGTTACAGAGAATAGGTAGTCCATGCTGAAATGGCGTGCGTGCTGACCCAACTTGCCTCCCTTGCTACATACCTGGTAGGTACCTAACTAGATTATTAAGTAGGTAGGTACTGGTAGGTCCGTCAAGCGATTGTCGATGGGAGGAGGGTTGCCCATCGGAATGAGCGATGCACCCGTCATCAGCATGCAGTAAACGAATGAGCTCTGCAGATGTCCATACATACTCCGTAATATACAGCGACTGTTGATAGTTGCCCATCGCGGCTGATAGTTGATCTCCGCCGCCAGCTTATAAGCTGGCTGGTCCGTGGCCGCCCAGAAGACGCCCTGTACTATATCTCTCCGTGAAGCTTTCCCCAAAGAGGCACACACCAATATTGCTGGATGGCGGTGGCGGGCGCGCTGCCCCGAAAAAGCCCATGGCAATAATTCGTACGCTGGGCAGATTAGCATGATCTACATTTTTCGCGGTTCTCTCGGCCGCGGGCCCTCTTACGATGAGGGGGCTTTGAACGATGATGATCAGATTTGACTCCCTTTGCGCTGCATGTGCTGGCCACCATCGAAGAGGGCAGGGATCACGTCTGTGTCTAACTACCTACCTGGCAGAAGCCGCCAGCTCAGCGCCAACACGTTGGGGGCCATGTAGGACAATGACCCTCTCTCCTGGACACTGACTGGTACCGGTGATATGAAAAAGGGCGAAGGGGTCCGATCGTCCACCAGAATTTGCTCGTGCGCCAGGATTCACTCGCTGTGGGTGGTCCCCTGCATCTAGGGCCCTAGGACCCCAGTCCCAGCCCCAGCCCGCCCAGGTTGACTCGAGCGCCCCCGATGCTGAATTATGCCGTCTGTAACTGGTACGAGAGCATCTCCTTTGTACATACATAACTACCGTCTCCCTACAAATTAGTTCACTACCTGTTAAATTGGCCGGTGCTGGCTCATGAACTAGTTAGGCTGCCCCCGTGCAAGACGCCATCCCCGCTTTCTCCTCCTTTGGTCTGCCTGTGACGTTGTTTGGTTCTGTGTCGGGCGGCCTGTGATTTTTTTTTTCTTTCATTACTCGCCTTCTCTCGCTTCTCTGTTCACTCTTTTTTTTTTCCGTCTTCAATTGGTTCGTCCTTCGTCATTGTGGGTTGTGCTCGTCGCCGTCGTAGCTGCCACTGCCACTGCCAATCTCCATCTGCGACAGCCTCACCACCACCAGCCTCAGTTGCCCGTGGCTCTCCCATTCTCGACTCTTGCAAGACGCAATTCCCATCCTCGCTGGCTCCTCTTGCTCATTTTCCGGCGCCTGTTTCGTTTTAGGCCCACGCTCGTGTATAACCCGAATTGCACACCGGCCTACGCACCTCGCCTCCAAGCTCCAGAAAAAAACCACAATTTTGCACGACACAGGTCTCTCTTCCTCCGTCTAGCCGCCAATTGCTCGCCCTGTGTCCTTCTCCAATCTTTCTCTATCTTTCTCTTGATTTTTTTTTATCTCTGTTTCCCCGAGTCTGACCATCATTTTCGCATTTTCAGCATCGGCATCTTTCCTTTGCTCTCCTTGACGTGCAACCACCGGCTACCCGCTTCATAAGTCGACCACCCCCCGCAGCGTTTGAACCCATTCACCACGGTCAACGTCAACGGTCAACGGTCGACGGCCAACGGTCAACGGTCAACCCTCTTTGTCTGCGCAATCACACCGTCCAAAGCGCACCCAATTTCCGTCTTTGGTAATGTTTAGCTACGTCTAAACCATTTTTCACGGCTGCCATCACGCCGAGACTCCGTCACGGTGTCCTCAGCTGAAGCTGCGCTGCGCAGCGTTGCAATCCGCCAAGCCGTGGCCTATTCCTCTTGGTCGACACCAAGCCCAAGGTCAGGCAGGTAGTTAACTTGGTCGTCACACACAGCCCGTTGCATGCTGGAACGAGGTCCATCGACCAGCCATGGCTCCCGCCGCCACATCGGTGCCTTCCGCCACCTTTCCTCGCTCCCACTCGTCGCCCGATCTCTTGTCGACATCCTTCGCAAACCGCCCGCCACTTCCGCGCAACTCGCCCTCGCTCAACAAGAAACTTCCAAGGCTTCCATCTTTTGATTCCTTCGATATCCCGTCGTTTGATGACTTTCAAAACTTCGATGCCAAGCTTCCTCTTCCTGCAACGACACACCCCAAACTCGATTCTTCCCCGGTCATTACACCTGCGACAGCCACGATACCCAATATAGAAGCTGAACAGCCAGCCAGCCGCTTGAGGCGTAGTCTTCCTCGTTCCAAAATCAACAGTCGCCCCAAATCTTGGCTACCAAGCTTCAAATCGAACAAGGACGATAATGCTCAACACGCGCAGTATCTAGAGCTACCGCCGGCAAATGATGGTGGTGCAATGCCGCGACATCCATCGCTCAAGGAGCGCAGCCAGTCTGCCACCGACACTTTTGCCAGCTTTGCCCGCCGCTCCTGGGTCTCCCGCACGCCATCCCCCAATATTGCGACCCCACCACCAACTGATACCTCGGACAAGACGCCCAAGGCCGCTTCTAGGGGCGGGCTGAAGAAACAGCGGCCGCCGGCCCAATGTAGGCCTTCTGAGCTCAATGCACGGTCGGAAGATGAGGTTGAGGCTCAAAAACCTGCCCCGTCCACTGCCAGCAAGGCTGGGTCCTATTTTTTCAAACCCAAGCCTAAAGCTTCGACCCTGGTCGCTGTCGTCCAGGACTGGGGCGCTGATTCCGACAGCTGCGCCTCGTCAGCTGCCAGCCTGAGTCAAACTGGGCCACAAAGCGTGGCCAGCCGTACGTCGCAGTCAACAAGCTCAGAAAGGAGCAACGCGACTCCCATTACCGATGACTCGTCCAACGAAATGACGCCACAGGTTCGCGACAGCCTGTGGTCGCCCTTCAAGACGCTTGACCTTGATTTTAAGAGTTTCACGCTCAAGCAGATGACGCAGCGTATCGCTCAAATCCAGACCGTTCTACTGCCATTTCTCCGCGGCACCATGCACCACCCCTCCACCAGGAACTTGCGGCCCGAGGACGTCGACCATCGCGCTGTTATTCTCAACAAATGGTGGAACGCCATTCTCGATATGCTCGACTCCCAGGCCAACCAACCAATTCCCGGAGTAGACCGTCCAATTCTGCTCGAGGCTGCTACCATGCTTATGATGCGACCCGAGTGGCGACGGGCCACGCCGGCTTTCCAGCCTCTGCTTGATCGATGCCCTACTGAAAAGCTCCGCACGCGATCAGGTACCAGCTCCTCCTGTGACTCGCAGAATTCTATGCTGGTCGATGAAACTGCCGAGCACAGCGTGCGAACTATGTTTGTTGCCAATTTGGTTCGCCAAATGTCCCTTGTAGTGGACAAGATGTCGCTGCGGCATGCTCGCCTCACCTTGGTCAACTTTGCCGGCAAGGCATGCGCGTATGCCTTCTTCTTCGCGCCTGGCGTCGCTGATATCTTGCTGCGTCTGTGGGTTCTCACACCTGAGCTCATCCGCAGAGCTGCAGATGAGTTGGGCCTGCCGCGGTCCGACAATGGGGATGGTGAAGATATTGCTGCACTTTTCCCGCCCAAACTTGGTCCTTATGGTTGGAGTTCTCCACGAGCTGCCTGTAACAAATTGAAGCAGATTCCCAAAATGTCGGTCCTGGTGGCCCGGATCCCATGGACCAATTCTTGGGTGTCGAGATGGAAGGGCCGAGATACAGACCTCTTCTTCATTTTCTGCAAGTACTTTCACGTGCTCACAGACCAGTTTCTACTCCCTGGTTTGCCATTGGCGTTCAAAGCTCGCGCACCAGCCTTTGTCCTTGTCCAGGCGCAGTTGCTGTCTATCATGGACTCTACCATTCATCGCCAAGCCGCTCTCGGTCAGGCATATACCCCGCCTCTTGTCGACTCATTTCCCGGTGCCGACGCGTCAGCCATGGCCATGCCTTTGCCCCCATCAAATTTGATGAAAGGCATGGCCGAGAACAGATTGGTGGCACTGCTCAAGGACTTTTTGCTGGATGAATTGCCCGACTTCGCCAACGCCAAAGCCACATTCGCCGAAACGTTTGGTGCCCTGATGAGAGCTGCTACGCAGCGGACCTCCAAGTTTAACAACGCTGCGTGCTTTACTCTATGCGACTTTTTGGAAGAGATTCTGGTCATTTACGACAAGTATGAGGTTATGGAGGACGTCGCCCCATGCATTGATTGGACATTTTGGATTGAGGTATTCAAGCGTGTCATGAGCTCGATGAATACAATGTCCGAAGTGCGTGCCCTTTCTTTCCTTTACACTGTCTGGAATATTGCCGCGAAGCAATCGTCGCGCAAGGCTGAACTTTGTTTCGACTGGTTGCTGACGGAGGATACGTTCAACTCCTTCTTCAATAATTGGTGTCCGATGGTGCGCGCATACTTTCACCGGCTGTTATGCTGGAGAATCTGCCGCTACGATGGGTCGCCCAGCGATGTCGATATTGCCGTCTTTCGGCTCGTGGCGCGACGCCTGAGGTCTGTCTGGAGCCACTATCTCTATTTGAGGGAAACGGCGGACGAAACGGGTCGCGCAAGGCCGTCGTCGACACCCATGTCGCCTACCGTGGGAAAGCGCTTCATCATTATCCGCCAAGAGGTGCATGCTCCCCAGCCAGGCCTCGTGGTGGGACTGGACACGTTTGCCCGGACACCGTCTGGTACCGATCTGGCAGCCATGAGCGATTACTTCGACTCATCTCAGCAGTCCAAGGGTGATGCGAAGAAGCGGTGGTCACTGCTCGGTAAAGTGCTCTCTTTCACCAATGTCGCGTCCGCCGCCGATACACCCAACCCAGCAGGTCTGCCTAAGAGTCATTCCTTCGATGGGCTGCAGGTGGGCCGACGCGACACGGCTGCCCCTCGCTCCCGCCCGTCCACACAGTCCTCTACGCATTCGCAAAAAATGTTTCAAATCGGTGGAAGTTCAGCGGCGTCAGACACTGAATCACGCAGCTCCACGCCCCAGCTCGACGAACCCGGGTTCATCTTCAAGTTTATCTTGGCCTGGCAGCAGCAAAGCGGACCCAACCGCGAGCGCGTCCTGAGCCTCCCGCAGCTGCCCGGCCCCGCGCAGTACCGCCTGGGCGGACCGAGCTGCGCCAAGCGACCGGTACCACTAGACGCGCTCCGCCAGGTCTCGAGCACGTCGCAACCGGGGCTCATTGACCGCGCCAAGAACGCGACACCCCTCTCATCTTCGCCGCTTGAGGAGAGCACGCAACGACTCTCCCTCGCCGAACCCCTGCTGCACGCACACGACAGCCCGGCCGCGATGCGCACGGGTGTTTCGAGCCCAAGCGAGGAGAGCGACGCCACACGCACGGCGACGCCCAATACGGGCTACTTTGTGCCCGAAGAGACGAGACCAAGCAAGCCGGTGGGCGCCTTTGTACGCAACGCTGTCTACTCGGGCCAAGCGCTGGCCGAGTGGACGCAGGTCGTCAACGAGTGCAACAGCTTTGTCGATCGGCGCACCGACGAGGGCGTGGACCGCCTGCGCGATATGGAAGTGCCGCTTCTGACCGTCGAGGGCTTCCGTAAACTCGGGGGCTAGTTTTGCCTTTTTTTCATCGCATTTTGCCCTCTCTTTTCATCTGCATATTTCTTTTCACTGCGGTGTAACTAACATGTACGGCGTTTTTACTTTGGGGGCGATTGACTTTTTTTCTTTTTGTATACTCTTGATATATGGGAAAGCATGCACTGGAAGGATTCATACTTTTAATACTGCAATCATTTGTTTTATGCAGCCACAAAACACATCGCATATAGCATTGGGAATGTATAATTTCTTGTTTTCGGGCGAGGAAGATGATGGCCACGTGGTAGTTGAATAAATATACCATGATGATGATTGCTGGCTATACTCCTTCAACCTTTTTTCCCACTATGTGGTGCTCATTCTGCAAGTGACTACAGCGGAATTAGATATATACCCTTCATCCCGTTTGACTGCGCGACGCATACCACAGGTGTGACAAACCTAGCATCACAATGTGATGAGGGGGAGTGTCTGCATGGCAAACGCAGTATGAGCAATTCCATATTAGTTAGTTGAAAGAAAAATTGCCGTGGTTGAAAATGGTGCGGCTAGTGGCACGTTATTTATTAGAGGCGCCGTTCAGGCCGTTGGAGCCGCGCACCGTTGGCAGTTGCCCCGACGTGGTGTGGTGGAGCGGCGCAGCAATCATCATACCTACAGCTTCTCTCTCCCCCTTCACGAAAGCAATTCCATCCACAACCCATCCCGTTCATCCATCCACGTGCTCGTGCGTTTTCCATCCTCGCCGCAAACGCTGACCTCATTCGCCGCGCGTCCCCTGTCGCCCAAACGCCGCGTCGTCCGTATTCTCGCAGGGCAACTTTGATGAGGCAGGACAGCAGACATCAGCGTACTTCAATTTAGAGACGGAGTTGTAGGGGCTTGGGGAAGTCTGGGCCGGACTGCCCGTCGTCGGTTGTTACGGCCACCGAGGAGTCATGCCGAATACCGGCAAACCCAGCCAGGACTGCCACCTCTGCCGGCAGCGGCGCGTCAAGGTATGTAGTTGTTGCTTGCAGGCATGCTGCCACCCCGTCCATTCGGCGCCTCTATATAGCTCCAGACTTTCTGCCCCAATCACCGTGCCTCGCACATTTTCAACTAAACTGGCGGACCTTGTCTAGTGCGATCTCGCTAGGCCGGCCTGCCAACGGTGCACAAAGTACGGCGCCGTCTGCCCGGGGTATCGCGACCAGCAGGCGCTCGTGTTTCGCAACGCCGACCCGTCCACGCTCAAGCGGCGGCGGAAGCGCGCAGCGGCGGGCGGCGCCCAGCCAGCGCCAGCATCTAGAGCAGACCCGTCGTCCTCTGCTTCGGGGGGCGGCGATGAGAGGAGCCAGGCGCTGGTCACGGGTGCCGCGGCCCTCGGGCGGCAAGTCGCAGAGCACTGGACCGCGCAGTCGGTGCCGCTGCTCCTCGACGTCTACTCGACCATGGATTTCCTGCGCCACGTCTACACCGCCAACCACAGCAGCAGCGGGCCGCTCCTCTGGTCGGCGCACATCTTCACGCGCACCTATGTCCTCAACGTGCGGTACCCGACGCACGCGTCGGCCGGGCTGCGCGGGCAGGCGCAGCGCGAGCTGGCCATGTTCATGGGAAAGACGCTGCGTGCCGTGAACCGGGCGCTGGCGGCGCCCGGCGGCGCGTGCCGCGACGACATCCTCGCGACCATCTGGCTACTCGCCAACCACGAGGTGCTCGCCGGCACTCTCGGCCGGCAGCAGCCCGTCAACACGTGGCAGCTGCACGCCCGCGGGCTGTACAGCATCCTGCAGGCGCGCGGGACGGCCGCGCTGCTCACCAGCGCGGGGCGGACCGCGTTCTGGCCCGCGTTTAACATGGTCCAGCTGCAGGCGCTCATCCTGAACACTGCGTGCCCGGCCGAGACGGACGAGTGGCTGGGCGTCTGCGAGAGACGTCTGTTTGAGGGGGAGGCGCTGACGCTGCGCATCGCGCAGTATATTGCGAGCGTGTGCGCGGTGCAGGCCCGCGTCATGGGCCACCTCCGCGCGGCCGACGGCGCGCGCAGCGCCTCAGACGAGTATCTGTCGCTGCGGCAGGCCTTGCTCGACGCAGACGAGACATTTGCCGCGTATGTGCTCACCGAATCGCCGCTGGCACCCGACGCCGGCGCCGGCGCCGATATGACCATGGACGTGTATATGCGCAACGTGCAGTGCGCCGCCGTCATCAAGAGCCACCACCAGATGCAGATGCTCTGCAACCTGCTCACGCACTACGCGCCGTGTCCCGTGCCGCACGCAACGCTGCTCGCGCACCGCCGCCACGCCCTGCGGCGCGTCTACGAGAGCGCGCAGGCCATCATCGACAGCCTGCCCGCCGCCATGGCACCACTCGCCCGCACCACGGTGCTGCAGAGCCCAGGTGTGCTCTTTGACGCCATGAGGCTGATATTTCCGCTATTTCTGGTCGCGCACGTGCCGTGCACCCGCCAAGAGCACAAGGAAGTCGCCCTGCGCGCGCTCACCTTCATCGGGACAGAGGTCGGCATCCGGCAGGCGCTCGTCGGGGGCGGGCCGACGATGTCGCTGCCACGTGAGGCGCGGGCGCCGCTCACCCTGGACTCATTAGCCGAGCCGCCGTGGGTGTCGTCGCCGCCGCCGGACTATACCGTGCTGGGGTTCTGACACGAGCGTGGACGGGCCAATACGGACATGATCTGATGGGAAGCCTGCTGCTTGACATAGGAGCTTCCTTCCTTGGCTGCTACGCGCCATGCCGCCGTGTATATGAAGGCAGTCCCATCTTGTTTGAGACGTGCGACTGATTCGTGAATAACAAGCACACCATATCTTTTCTTGCCATGGCTTATAGAGAGTCGTGCGCCTACGCCAACGCAATCCATGGAGCCACAACCTTGAACCTTGGGGCCACATTTTTCACCTCCGCGTATTCGGCCGAGTGGGTGCGCCATGCTCTGTTAGCCGTTTTCATAACCGAAAACAAGATGGATCAGTTTTTGGCCATCCCGAGCCAAAATGCCATGTCGAACCAAAATGTATAACTGGGCTGCATTGTTCCGGAACTGACGATGCTGACAAGAGCCCCGCGCTTGGCAAACGCAGTTTTCCCTGGTTTTCAGTGGGGGTGCCCCCTTCGTATTTTGCATCGGCCCGTTTTACTACTCTCTAGGGGTTGATCTCGCGAAGGCGGCCCCGTCTGATGCCCTTCCGGGAGGATAAAAGCTGCGTCCGAAAAATTCTTTTCGGGTTTGCCACTGAGGTTTTGCATATTTTTGCATCATTTGTTGGTTCCTGAGTTTGTTGGCGGTTCGCCCCACCACAATGCGGGCCCCGCATCGGGAATCTAGGGGGGTGTCGCGGTGACGTCATGCCATCATGCCTCTGGTCCGTTTTGCAGTCCAAGTGTGTCCAGGTACAATAAATGCCTCTGGGAATCGACTCGGCTTGAAAGTAGAGGTAAATAAAGTTGATGCGGCCTGGGCTGGTGGGAGTTTGTATTGCGGCGATTGTGTTCGCTACTGTCGATCATCCGCTACTGGAGAGGGTGACTTGCAGGCGATCATGGCTTGGGGTGGACGCCATAAAGTTTTTGCACTTATGCCAGTCTGTTCCAAACGAAATCCTGCTCTCCTGTTCCTGGCAAGGATCAACGCCGCTTGTTGCTTTGATTTGTTTCAACTTGTCGCATTTCAATTCCCGAACCTGCCGAGTGCAGTTCGCTGCCGTTTTCGGGCTCGTTTGCCAATTCTTCAGTCCATAACTTTGCGGTTGGGTGTTTGGTCGAAGCTTCCTGCGAAATAAATGCGCATCACTGTAGCAGCCAGTAGGGCTGACCGTGACCAGCGAAGTCTGCCCGCGCCGCCGCTCCACCATGTCATTTTGCTTGGGCGGTATCCATAGCAGGCCAAGAAGGAAATAGCAGCGCACAAAGGCGAAACGAGATAGCTGGTTAACTAGTGGCGGCCGACTAGTTTACTCGCTTGGGCTGGATGGTGTCGGGCGAGCCAACGGGTCACAACCTCATGTAACATGCCGAGAAGCCATGGCGTTGAGACGTGCATCGCGGCCACTGTGAGGTCATACGAGCAGCTTTGTCCGCCGGTACCCCTGTTTCCCGATATGGGCTGTGCTGAGCGTCTCGTGTGAAGTAGTAGTAGCGTTCTTGTCGTGTCTTCTGTAGCGCCCGTATCTCTCAGCTCTAGCTCCCAGCGCCTCGGGTACCTGTAGGTATGTAGGTCAGTAGGTAGGTAGGTAGGTATCTCGTTTGTAGGCGGCCGCCCATCATCGTCAGCTCGCACACCTTCCCTTCGTTGGCAAATAGAATTGACTTTCTCGGTCTGGAAAAAGGATTGAATTCTCACTGGACGGAAGAAAAATCCTATTGATACGAGAGAGATGGCCGTTTCCCAGTTTTTGGACCAGATTAGCGTCTTGAGAAAGTGTGATCCCCCCACACAACCCTACTTCACATCGAAAAAGGCCCGCAAGGTGGTGGAACAGGGGATGCTCCTGCCCTTTAACCCACTCGCTCAGCTCTTTTATTCCCGTTCACCCTCACATCTATCTAGTTACCTTGACTCTTGACTCTTCTCTTCCTCTTCATACTAACAACTTCATTGCCTCCCTTCTTTTTTCTTTCTTTTTTTTATTACTTGCCTTTCCTTTTTTGGAGTTTCAACCCGGGGTTCTCTTACTGTCAACTTCATCTACATATTTTCATACCCCAGTGTTTCGCCCGTCTATATCACACCACTCACTCCTTCGCCTTGTCTACAATCACCTGCGACCCCAATCAACACCGACTTTGCGATCAAGGCCCTTTTTTGCAACCCACACCCCGAATTCAATCCCAACGAACCCAAATACCACCAAATCAAAAGAAGAAAAGATGACCACCATGTCTCTGGCGGCTCCCCTTCCTCCGTCCAGTCGCCCCAGCCCGTCGTCCCCCACAAGCGGGAGACTACCCGTGCCTGTCCGCCCCAAGTTCAACTCACACATCACCTCGGACCGCCTGCGCGAGGGCGCCGGCCTGCGCCTGCCGCCTTTTGCCTTGCGCGCGAGTAATATCCAAAAGGGTCGCACGTCCGTCTTTCGCGAGCTGGGCCTCGAAGACGACTTGGCCTTTGGCGACGACACCTATCTTGTGGCGCGCGACGACGGCACCAACAAGTTCGCCGACGCCGAAGACGACGCCATCTCAGCGACGGCAGGCCACCGCAGCGTCAGCAGCCCCCAGCAGCAGACGTCGCGTCCTTGGTATGCCAAGCTGGCCGTGCGCCCGGCCCTCACGAAACGCCAGTCCAGCCAGGGACGTATCGCTGTTCCTACTGTCCATGTCGTCAGCCCCGACGCCCAATAGAACAAGCCTGCAACGGCATGAATTTCGTCTACGACATTCGTGCTGTGCAGCCATGACCGCATATGAACGCAACGTGTCGCATCAGCCTGGCGCTGTACACGTTGATACACACCCACGAAATACTCTATATACTATGAGCACACCCAGCATGATACGACGTGCTTTCGGCATAAATCATCATAAAACAGCGCATACTCTTGCGAGGGAGGACTAGGCCTCTGAGGATTTGGAGATTTGTAAATTCTATGTACACATCACTCGCGATATCTGTTTGATTTACTATTTAGCCCATACATGGGCAAAGAGGGGAGAGCAAGAGTCAGACGCAGAGGACTCTTGAATAATGCGGATGTCAGTCTTTGTGCTGCTTTGATAGCAGAATTGTACAATTCAATCGTTCTGGCCTTGTTTCCAATGTGATGTTGATTTATGCAAATTGTTCTGCGTGCTGCCCTGTGCCATACCTATATTCCCGTCCTTTGTATCCAATATGATCCAATCCATGACAAAACTCCAATCCATGATATGCTAGCGAAATAAAGAAATAAAATGCAAAGGAGAAGAAAACACTACCAGCGAAAATGCAGCAAGGATGCAAGAAAGCAGACAACGGATAAGGTTTACGCAAAGTCCTCCAGATCATCATCGTCCATGGTGCCCACAAACGCGCGGCGAAGGAACTCAATCCACAACTTGTTCTTCTTTTCCTTCTTCTTCTTCTTTCCGCCCTTCCTTCCCTTCCTTCCCTTCTTCTTCTTCCCCGATGTGTCTGCATCACCCCCACTTGCGTCTTCCTCGTCCTCACAGCCCTCGCTTTCATCCTCCCAGTCCGCGACGTCTTCGCCCGCGGTGACGAGGTTGCCGCCACCACCACCAATGCTGTGCGCCAGCTTGAGCATCTCCCGCACTGTCAGGTCCGCGAGGCCGTACCAGTCGTCGTCGCGCGTGTCGTACTCGACCTCGAAATGCATCGGGTTGACTGGGTGCCCCGACTTGCCGTGCTCCGCCTCGTTGTTGATGAGGGTGAGGTTTGCAAAGTACTGCGTAAAGGCGACCCAGGAGAGCGTCTGCGGCATGTAGGCCGGTCCGGGCGGGGCGTCGGCGTCGGGGCCGGGGGGGATGACGAGGTAGGGCGGGCTGTGACCCTTTCTCTTCTTTCTCCTCTTCTTCTTGCCGGCGTCGTGCGCGGCGCCGTCGTCATTGTCCTCAAAGAGGTCAGAAAACAGTGCCTCAAACTCGGCCTCGGTCATGGTCGGCGCGTCTTCGGACCGGCGCCTGAGTTCTTGCGGCGCAAAACCAAGCTCGTCAGCCCGCTGCTGCTCGGCTGCTTGCATGGTAGATGGTGTGCCATGGACATCTTTCCAGACGGGGTTGTCTTCGATGCCGGTAATATTGTATTCGTACACGCGCATTGTGGGAAAGTAGTTGGGAATGACGCTAGGCCCAATCATCGAGATCTGGTATCGTTCGGCGTACTTGCCGCCAATCTTCTTCAGGTTCCTCTTCTTCTTCTTTTTCTTGTCGCCCTTTTTCTTCTTGCCTTTACCCTTCTTTTTCCCAAAGATAGATTCAATGTCGTACTCATCGTCCTCGTCTTCTTCATCATCTTCGTCGACATCTTGAAAATCCTTGTCAGTGACATGCCCAGCCGAGGTGGGCAGCTTGGACCACTGCTGGCGAATATCCTGGAGATAGTCTGTTTTGCCAGAAATTCCGACCTCCTTGTCGTTGCCAAGATCCATGCTTTGGCGAAAGTTATACTCGCCCCTGGCCAGGATGCTGTCCTCGTCGAGGTCGTTGGTGTCTTGCAGCACAAAGTGATCAATGTTCATATGACCAAAGAGCGAGCCGATGACAATATCGCGGTACTGTTTAAGCCATAGTGTATAGCGCTGCCAGCACGTTTCGTCCCAGTTTTGCTTGTTGTTGGTGCGGGCGGGCGGGACATGACCCATGAGGATGGCCTTGATGCCGCTGGCGCGCAGACGTTCAAACTGGACACGCAGCCATTCCATGTGCTTATACCCGGGTTCCGATATGAGTGCACAGCCATCGACGGCGGCATTTCGGTCAAAGAAAAACATGGTGTTGAGGCTGAAAACAACGAGCTTGTTGGGAATGACCTCGGTGTAGAACCACCCACCGTACTCAAACTGATGGCGCTGCTCCTCGGGGATAAAAGGGCCCCAGATATCTGCATAGTCTACAAACCATCGGTTGGGACCGGGGACCATGATATTGTGGGGGAGAAAGTCATTGTTGCCAAAGGTAGGCACAACAGGTAGCTGGAGACTCAGCCCCAGCGGCGTGTCGGTTGAGAACGTCTCCAACATCTTGGCGGCAACCAGGCGATTGGTGCCGAGAACCTGTGCCGAGTTACGGGGGTGGTTCTCGTCATTGTCGTGACGGGCCGTGTCGCCGGTCCAGATGACAAAGTCAATCTGGTCGCGGAGGTTGTCGCGGACCCAATCGAGGGTGTGGTTGGCGAGTGAAATTGGCGAGTCGCAGTCGGAGACCTCGGCGCCAAACTTGCCGGCAAGTCCCTTGCCGCTGTGGCAGCTCTTGTCAATGTCGGCATGAAATTTGTAAAACTGGTCGGGGTGGAAGTCTGGCGGCGCGGTCAGTGAGCGGCAGCTGCGTGTCGCGAACAGAGGAGCCAACCTGTAATGTGCAAAAATCGCCCGTGTAGCTTTCGCGGCTCGTCGCTGGATGCAAGAGTGCCTTGCTTGACGTCGAGCACTTGCAACCCAGGCGCGGCCAAGACGGCGGCGGCCAATGCCAGCAGCATTGGGAGCCGCACCGTTGCAGCTGCCGAAAGCATGGTGACAAGCCGTGATGTGCGTCCGTCTAGTCGCACAGCATGTCACGTCACAGGGAGCAAGGTTCGTGGCGTGGCTTTCGAACCGGCGAGCCTTTGGCGACCGTCGACGAGTGTAGATGAAGAATTCAACCACTGAGCGATTGATTCGGTATTGTCGGCGCAAATCAGACCATCAGTCGAAAAGTAGCTTTCAACAGGTGGGTCAAGGTTGGTCAACCCGCGGCGGCCAAGACGGGCGCAGTAAATACTGGGATAAACCTAGCCAACACTCTAAAACAAGCCGCTATAACAAACGTTGGAGACACTGCAAGTCGGTCCCAAGTCGGGTCTGCAGCTGAGATTGTGGCTGGCGCAGATCACTCGGACCCTGGACGCTACGTCGTTTCCGGCGGATGTTTGGTCCCGAACTCGAGCATGTCGAATTCAGGTCTGCGGCAGCACAGCAGCGTATATAAATACATTGACGGACCGGGCGAAATAGCACATCATCAGCATGTTTCGACAAGGCCGAGCTCTCACCATCGTGCCATCTTGGCGTACTCGCCCGCGCGGGTGACCGACTTGACTGGTGACAGCAAAACGCGACCAGCTGCTCCACGATGCGAGGTACTCTATCTGGCAGGGAACCAATCTCGGGTCGCTGACAGCCACACGTGCTGAGACAGGGTGGCCAGCAGGGTACACACAGCGGCGCCGCCTGCATGCGATGCGCTTCGGTGGCTTGTTCTTGGTGGCTTCCTTGCGTGGTACTGCGGCATCATGCGGAGGGGAAGTGGGTGGTGTGGAGGAGGAGAGGCTGACAGCTTGCCGCGAAATCACACCAGACGGTGCTCGTAGGCGGAACAAAAATGACAGAAAAGGTGAAATTTTGATCAAATTTATATTAAAACACCAATTACATGTCACGACATCAGGAGACAAATATTCGGCTCAGCTCATGCACTCGACCATCAATCCTACACGATACCTACATAGGTAGGTAGTCAGATGCGTCATATGCCGTGCGTACGCCCAATACAACCCTCACCAAACAATAAGGGTTAGATGCCTCAGGCACGGGCATATGTTTTGCCGTTCTGTCCTCTATTAGAGTACCTAAATTCCAGAATTTATAGAGCCTTTTGGCATTAAATACGTGGCAAGTTCATCATCTCTCGGCACTACGCTAACATGATACCACTACTGATGAAGCTGACGCGAGGTTGAAAAATATCTAAATACTGTATAGAAAAAGATGTGAAATTAAAAGTAACAGTAGCGAAATTTTGACGCAAATACCTCGACAGTACGGACAAAATGGGCCTTTGATACCCCTGTTTGCGCATCCAGGACAGCAACGCCTGGCCGTTGTCGGGTCCGAAGCCCCCATTCATATGCTCGACAGTCTACAAGCCAATATTACCATAATATCTCGCTTCAGGGCAAACTCAAAGCGAGAATACCCTCAAGAAATTCGGTCCTTCGACTTCGGTAGCATGCCGCATATCAGTCAACATAACATGATACAGACAGCCTGCAACGCAGTACCTGTGCCACAGTGTTTGCACTGTGCTCAAGCTCTCCTGTCCACCCAATCAGCACTCGCTCATCTGCCCCACCGCTAGCTTCCCTCAACCCGCCAAATTTTCCCACGACTTTTTTCCTTCTTCTCCTTCCTCTCCACGCAACGACCAAGACCTCGCGAGTGATCCGCTCAGCGACACCGACGCGCCTTCTACTATTCCGATAGAACACGTCATGCATCTAGGGTCTTTTAGTTGCTAGAGGAATTTGCCGCTCGTTTGAAGGAGGCTGTACGTATTACGTGTGGCGGTCTTCTATGGTTTTATTGTGGCTACATTCCTGCCCTAGCAGGCAGTTGTATTTGAAGACATGCGTAGATGGCGGGTCAAAACTTGCGCAGCGTCGCCGTGCACACCTGCTCTGTCGAGTTGATTGTCGCCAGCAAGCAAGACGTGCACCTGGTAAGCCTTGTTCGATATGAAAGGATGTGTGTTGTCAGTAGGTCTATTACAGAATGCTTCTTGCAACTTTCGATGCCGATTCCAGCAACATACGTCAAATACGTACAAACTTTTTCGTAAACCCAACGCCAGCTGATGCATGTGTATGAATACAGTCGTATTATATACGCGCCTACACGCCCCCTTACTCAAACAAGATCCTCCACACCTGGTACCATTTGATCGGTGGCGGCGGTGGCAGCTCGGCCGCCATTACATCTTCCATACCAGAGTGAAGATCGATTTCGTGCAAGGGAGCCATCCACGGATCATTTCGCCCAATGGTAAATTTGTGCCCAAAATACAACAAGGCAAAGATGACGATGCCGATGTAGGACGTGATAAACGTCGGCGTGTCCCATTGTCCCTTGACAAAGACCTTGAACCCGTTGAGCAGCAGCAGCACAAAGAAAACAACGCCGCTAATCCAAGCTGCGTACGGCTGGAATCTGGAGCGATATGGAAGCTGACCGCTGGCCACGGTCACGTTTTGCAGCTCTGTGGCCTTGTAAAACCGGACGTAGATGAAGCAACAGCAGATCCAGCTCTGGAAAGCGCCCGTGTTGACGATATTGACGAGCCAGTTGAAGACGACAGAGCCTGTGCTCCCGAGATTCATGTAAGCCAAGGCCGCAAAGCAAGCGCTCAGCGCGGTGGCGTATAGCGGGATGCCATGCTTGGTGCAGCGCGCAAAGATGCGCGGCGCGTGGCCCGAGAGCGCCAGCGAGTACAGGGCGCGGCTGGCGATGTACAGGAACGAGTTGCCCGTGGACCAGGCCGAGAGCACAATGACGGCGTTGATGATGGAGTCGAGCACCGGGATCCCAGCGGCCTTGATGCCCAGCGCCCACGGCGACGCGGCCGCGGTATTGCCCGGCGAGAGCAGCCCGGCATTGTCGCTCCGGACGAGGATGCCGATAGCAAACACGCCCAGCAGGTAGAAGAGCACGAGGCGGTAAAAGTAGCGCTTCGTGGCCTTGGGCATGTTGCGGCGCGGCGACTGCATCTCGCCGGCGGTGGCGACGAGCATCTCGGGCGCGAAGATGAAGGCGTAGACGGAAAAAGTGAGGGTGCCGACAAAGGCGCACAGGTAGCCGGCGCCGCCCTCGAGCAGATATGTGTTGACGGGCCCCGGGCGCGTCCAGTTGGAGAAGTAGAGCGGCTCAGCCGGGCCGCCGCCAAAAAAGAGCACGGTGGTGAGCAGCAGCAGGCCGAGGATGGCGACGACCTTTGTGGACGCGAAGCAGAACTCGGCCTCGCCGTAGACGGCGACGGGGAACAGGTTGCAGGCGACGATGACGACGGCGATGAGGGTGTACCACGCGGCCGTGGGCACGGGCGACGGCCAGTACTGCAGGACAATGGTGGTGATTGTGATTTCGCCGGCGATGCCCAGCGAGAAGATGTACCAGTACAGCCAGCCGAGCGTGAAGCCGAGGCTGGGCGAGACGAAGCGCTGGCCGTAGTAGGCGACGCCGGCGCCGCGCACCGGCAGGTACGCGCTCATCTCGCCCACGCCCGTCGCGACGCCGTACAGCAGCAGCGTGATGATGGCGTAGCACGCGAGCAGCAGCGCCGGCCCGCCCATCTTGAGGCCCTGCCCGGAGCCGACAAACAGGCCCGTACCGATGGAGCCCCCGAGGGCAATCATCTGCGCGTGCCGCGACTTGAGCCCGCGCCGCGTCGACTCGCCCGCGCCGGCGGCGTCGTGGGAGCTCGCCGGCTTGCCGACCTCGACGTCGTCGTCTTGGTCGTGGTGCTTGTCGGAGCCAGGGGGGCTCACCGCGGCGATGGCGGCGGCGGGCTGGTTGTCGTCGCCCTTCATGGTATAAGAGGGGGTTGGAATTGGGAGAGGAGGATGTAGAAATCAAGGAGACGACATGTCAATCGGGAGATGCGGGGAGAAATGCCGTATAATATGATGGCTTTGTTCGCTGGGGGCCGCAAATCGAAAAAAGAGGTGCATAAAACCTGCAGGTCGGAGTCTCCGTATCGAGTCATTCAGCGCCGCAAAGGCCCGCTCCCGGTTCCGAGCGGCATCCACGTGATGCGGAGCGGTAGCATTCGATGGAACCGCATGTCCTATTTTCACGATACTGAATTACGCAACTTATTGCTTTTTTGGCAGCATCATGCAGGTCGGTGGTCAACGTGGTGGCTTGGACGGTTGTCAAAAAAGAGGCTTTCGGAGGTCTTAGATCAGCGACGCCACACCTAAAATTCCGTCGACAGGGTGTGTGGATCCGACCGTTGGTGCACTGTCAACTGTCAAACAACCAATCTGACTTCTGCCATTTATCATTTTGCAGCAGAACTTCAAGAGAAGTAACTAATCTCCTCAAATGTGATGAGTGACCGATCTATCGCAAAAAATAAATCAAAAAAAATTGGCAAGAGAGATGGGACTTGCAAAACTTTCATCATATCATCTTTGACCACTGCAACGACCTAGCACACCTTGGCTGGGACTGGCCATGTACTACTACTCGTTCTTCGCGGTCTTTCCAAGGACACCGCAATTCATCGCAGGCACACTAATGCAGAATAAAAGTCAATGCGGACATGAGAGACATTCATGAGTCGACAGGCCATGGCAGCAGGTAGCCCTTTGAAGTGGACCATGCCCGGCGAGAAAGCTAGATAAGCATCACCTCATTTCTTCTCCAGGTACGCTTCCCACCCCAGCTCCTCCAGCTTGCCCGCCTTGGCCTCCACCTCGTCTCTCATCGTCTTCATGTAGCCCGCCATGGCCGCCGCGTAGCCCGCGTCGGCGCAGCCGAGAATCTTGACCGCCAGCAGGCCCGCGTTGGTCGAGTTGTTGATGCCGACCGTCGCCACCGGGCAGCCGCGCGGCATCTGCACGATGCTGAGTAGCGAGTCCTGCCCGTCGAGGTGCGTCGCCTTGACTGGCACGCCAATCACGGGCAGCACCGTCTCCGACGCCAGCATGCCGGGCAGGTGCGCCGCGCCGCCCGCCGCAGCAATCAGCACGCGCACGCCCCGCGCCGCCGCCGACTGGCCGAGCTCAACCATGCGCTGCGGCGTCCGGTGCGCCGACGTGATGGTGTAGTCGTACGGCACCCCAAACTTCTCCAGCACCTCGAATGCGCCCTTGAGCACGGGGAGGTCCGAGTCTGAACCCATGGTCACGACCACCAGCGGGTTGCTGCGGCTGCGCGAGGATACGGGCTTGGCCGGGGCGGCTGCGGCAGCACCAGAGCCAGATGGGCGCAGCATCGCAGCGGCGCTGGCGATGCGGCCCTCGCGGATACTGTCTACCTCCTTGGTAAGGGAGCCCGCCAGTTGCTCGAGGCTGCTGATTTGGGCGGACGGTGACGTCACAGTAATGTGGCCGATCTTGCGACCGGGCTTAGACGCCTTGCCATACAGGTGAATGTAGACGTCCATGTCCTTGTCGTAGCTGCGGCTGGCCTCGTCTAGCAGCACATCGTGGGATTCCTCGGCGGCGCCGCCCAGAATGTTCAGCATAATGGCAGACTGGACACGTGGCTCCAGTGTCACCTTGCTGGGGAAGATATCAAGGATAGCGCAGAGTTGTGCCTTGAACTGCGACATGTAGGGGACGGCCTCGGTGAAGAGGTGGCCTGAGTTGTGTGGTCTGGGGGCGACCTCATTGACCACGATACCGCCTGCAACCTGTTAGAAGATGATTCCAGTTTTGCTTATCAGCGCTATAAAGGCGTACCATCCTTGAGGATAAACAGTTCTACCGCGTAGATACCACGTCCCTTGAGTGTGCGAATCACGTTGCTCGCCACCTTGCGCGCCTCCGCACATGCCTCAGCCTGCACCCCCCGTGGCGGCAAGAACACCTTTGTGCAAATGCTGTCCTCATGCACCGTCTCGACAGCAGGGTACGGATGCACATCGCGCAGCTTGCCGTCGTCGTCTTCCGTCCGCACCACCATGACGGACAGCTCCTTTACAAACGGCTGAAACTTCTCCGCGTACAGCGACAGCTTGCCCATGGAGCGGATGGCCTCGTCAAAGTCGGCGGGCCCTCGCACCTGAAAGTTGCCGCGGCCGTCGTACGATCCCTTTCGGGCTTTGAGCATGAACGGGAAGCCATACTTGTCACCGACAGCCTGCAGGGCCGCGGCTGTCAGCGCCTCGCCTTCAATAGCCAGCTGCGGCGCCACGGGGATACCCGCGCGCAAAAAGTGCTCTTTTTGCAGGAACTTGTCCTGGATCAGGCGGATCGTCTCCCAGGACGGGTGACAGGGCACTTTTTTCAGCGGCCGGCCCGCGCCGACCGAGACACCTTTGGTGGCGATCTCCTCGAGCACGTCGGCGTTGACGTGCTCAATCTCGACGGTGAGCACATCCACGCGCGCGGCGAGCTCGCGAATCTTGGCTGGGTCGTTGAAGGAGCCCGATACGTGCTTGTCGTTTTCGCAAATCTGCTTCGCGGGGGAGCCAGCGGCGTCGAGGATGGCGAGCTCCACGTTGAGGGGTGAGGCCGCTTCCTGGAGCATGCGGCCGAGCTGACCGCCGCCGAGAAGGCCAATGACCGGATACTTGCCCATGCCTTGAAATTGTATATCGAGTGTTTGGCCCAAGCGCCGGGATTGGTTGGACAGTGTAAGCGTCAATGCGTCAAGAACCTATCTTTTTTTTTTGTGAGGTTACTAATTTTCATAGACAAGGTGAAGAAATTCGATGGTGGGGACCCCGCTAAGGTCGTGGCCGGACGAGGTCCCTTGGCAGCCGGACGGCTTAAAGGAGTAATTAATTACTTAGTGTAATAAGTCTACGGATAAAAGAGGAAACGCGAGAAATATATCCACCTATGCACTGGATTTTAATTCGTCAGAAACTTTTAGCCGATTTTGCCTGACGGGCTGTACACCGCAGAGGCTGAGGAACCAGTCGGAGATCGGCCATTCCTAATAATAATAAGTACGGGATAGTGCTACATATTCATAACTATAGGCACAAGAGCACTAGAGCGTTTTGCTAAGGGCATGAGCTTCACGTGACATGCACCGCTAGGGACTTAGAAGGGACCACAGTTGATTAGCGTGTTCCTAGGAAAATTAAGTACCTAGTAAGAACCGCCAAAACAGGTAGTCTGTCTTTTAAAGGCCTATCTATGGCTGCAGAAGAGCCATTTTCCAGGCCAGTTGTACACGCCTCTCTTACGAATAAAAGCCGCGAGAAGGTGTGTTTCAAGCGAATTGGTGAGTGAGAGGCTCGACGGCGGTAGTAGCGGTGGTGGTAGTAATACACTGACTTTTCAAAGATACCTCTATATTATACATGATATGTATGCACACCCAAAGCCATGTGTACCTCTGCAAAATCTGCTAGTACTGGTAGCATCACGTGAGGCTCGTGCCTCTAGCAAAACGCTCGTTACTCTTTTTATTTTTTTCTTGGCTCAACAAACTTCCCAACAGAAAATTTGCGGGTGGCTGGACGTGGGGTTAGACTCCAGTGCCGGGGCTGGGCGGTGGATGCGGAGGAATGCAGTGACCATCTGCCTTTTGTACTAAACCTGGCCAAAAAAGAAGGGGAAAAAGCGATTCTACCAATAGAAAGGATCCTATTTCATCTCCTATATCCGTACTCCGTACTCTCATTCTAACTAATTCATTGCTCTGTCGTACGAATGGAAGCGTCTAGGCATTCAGGCGGAGGATTGATCTGGCGGGAGGATGTGCGCTCCTGCAAGTTAAAAAAAGGTATCCGTATGTCTTGCCAGTTCTTGCATGTGCCAGCTCAGCTCGTGTCTGTCTGGCTGTTCCTGTGGCTGGGCCTAGCGCACACCATTCCAACTTTGATTCCTCCGTAGCGCAGATTGGGTTTGGCCAAACCTCGGCCGGCCGCAACTACACGTGCATGAGCAAGATGGCTGTCTGGAGGCAATCAGTTTCCTAAATTCCCATCAACGAGGTTGATAACTAGAAGGCTGACACAGCCTGGCAGCACGGGCGTCTGACGCCGACTCTCAATGGTGTGCACTGAGATGAACCATCGACTCTGGTCGCTGGGCTGGCGGCTCGGCTTCACATGAAGTGGCGTGCCCCTTTTTGCATGAGTTTTTTTGCACTAAAAGGTCGCTAGCGATTCGCAGTATGTACAGAGTACACATAATTAGGTACATGTCGCTCAGTAAACTGGCCGTACAGTCAGGGCGGAAGCGGTGTATGTATCAGCATCACACCACCGGCAGCCATCATTGTAGTTGCAAGCCGGCTAACAGGTAGGTACGCCAATGCTGTGTTTGCAGTGGCGTGTGGCCATAGTTGCGAGCGCGCCAGCTCACCAGCCTCCTGGCAGCGCTATCAACTAACAGGTGTCAGTTATTAGGTACCTACCTCCTGTTCTTCTTCATGATACCAGTAACAGGTACTAGGTAAAGTTCCGACTTTTCCCTTTTCCCTACCACTGACTCCATCTCCACACCAAGCCTGGCGCTGTGCTGCAACTGCCACTGTTTGTTCCCCTGACTCTGACTCGGTCCACTTCGGTCACGCCTTGGTCCAAGAAAAAAAAAAGCTGATCATGGCTTGTTGATACACTTCAGCATCTCCTATAACATGTTGTTATTTTTTTATTTTTTTTTCATCTTGTTGCCGTTTGTTGTGGTCATGTTCAATAAATGCGAGAAATACTTACCCTTTTGGATGCACACCCCCTGCACCTTTAATTTTCCTAAAGCTACCCCACGGGACCCTGTAATTGGACCCCAACAATTTGGAGCTCACTGAATGGCTCAGGTACACTTTTCTTTTTATCAGTCTAATCAACAAGTCTAGATGACGCTGACGCCCCAAGCAGACATTTCCGTTCATTCGCTCGTAAAAACAGAAAATAGAGTATAAAATCCAACGAGATAAAACTATTTCCCCACACGCACGGTTCGATCACAAAAGCCTCGCCTATGAATGGCCCATGTCCTCCCATATCCTCACACTAACAAGCTCGCACAACCTCCCCTGCCCGATCGTCCTCCTCTAACACCCCCCACCCCCCTCCTCTCTTTCCTCTCTCATAAACCTGTCCTCCGTCTCTTCTTCACCCCTAGTTACTAGTTACCTCCTTTCCTTCTTGATCCCTCAGAGTCTCTCCCCTCTCGACATCAATTCTCACCACCTCATACCTGACGAACCACACCATCACGATGGCTGCCGCTTCCACTGCCGTCGCTGGCAGCGCCAGAGCTGCTGTTCGACGCAACGTCCTTGTAGAGTCCTCCGAGTCCTCGGCCGCCGTCTCACCAGTCGACTCGCCTCGCCCCTCGCCCTCGTCGACCTCGCTCTCCTCCATGTCCGAGATGGACGCGGAGACCAAGCCCGTCAGCTACGGTCGTCTCATTGACACGTACGGCAACGAGTTCACCCCACCCGACTACACCATCAAGGACATTCGCGACGCCATCCCCAAGCACTGCTTCGAGCGCTCCGCCTTGAAAGGCTACCTTTACATCCTCCGCGACATTGTCTACCTCTCCACCACCTTTGCCATCTTCTACAACTTCGTCACTCCAGAGTACATTCCCAATATCTACCTCCGCGGCGCTCTATGGGGTGTCTACACCATCCTCCAAGGCCTCTTTGGCACCGGTCTGTGGGTTATTGCCCACGAGTGCGGCCATGGCGCCTTCTCCGACTCGCGCCTCGTCAACGACATCACCGGCTGGGTCCTCCACTCCGCCCTACTCGTCCCCTACTTCTCGTGGCAAATCTCCCACAGCAAGCACCACAAGGCCACCGGCAACATGGAGCGCGACATGGTCTTTGTCCCCCGCACCCGCCAGGAACAGGCCTCCCGCCTCGGCAAGCTGGTCCACGAGCTCTCTGAGCTTGCCGAGGACGCCCCCGCCTACACCCTCACCGTGCTCATTGGCCAACAGCTTATTGGCTGGCCAAGCTACCTTATCAACAACGTCACTGGCCACAACTACCACGAGAAGCAGCGCGAGGGCCGCGGCAAGGGCAAGCACAACGGTTTCGCCGGCGGGGTCAACCACTTTGATCCTCGCAGCCCTCTCTACGAGGCGAAGGACGCCAAGCTCATTGTCCTCTCCGATATTGGCCTGATTCTCGCTGGCTCTGCTCTGTACTTCCTCGGCAACAAATTTGGCTGGACCAACCTCGCTGTCTGGTACTTTGTCCCCTACCTCTGGGTCAACCACTGGCTCGGTAAGTTTTGTCCCTACCCAATTCAATACTGACCTCATGCACTTCGCTAACAACGCCCAGTTGCCATCACCTTCCTCCAGCACACCGACCCTACTCTCCCTCACTACCACACCGAGGAGTGGAACTTTGTCCGTGGCGCCGCTGCTACTATTGATCGCGAGTGCGGCTTCATTGGACGTCACCTGCTTCACGGCATCGTCGAGACACATGTCCTTCACCACTACGTCTCCACCATCCCCTTCTACAACGCCGACGAGGCCTCTGACGCTATCCGCCCCGTCATGGGTAAACACTACCGTTCCGATACCCGGGGCGGTTTCTTTGGCTTCCTTGGCGCCATGTACAAGAGCGCCCGTATGTGCCAGTGGGTTGAGCCCTCGGCCGAGGCTACCGGCCAGGGTAAACACATTCTCTTCTTCCGCAACAAGAACGGCCTCGGCACCAAACCTGCCAAAATTGCTGCTCAGTAGCCCAAAAGAATTGTGTATTTGAAATGAGTGCGGTTCCGGAGTTGGTTGATTTTGACGTCTTTTATGTGTTATCATTGTCCTTGCATTTATCAGCCTTCACAATGGATTTGACCGAATTTGCAGCGACCTTTTGCGGTTACAAGACAAGCTTCTAGACCTTATAGACTAGACTGGCTAGGCCATAAATTGCCAACTTTGAATTACTTTCCCATTTGGATGGACGTGAAGTGATGAGGTGCAACCGGCAAGCGAATTCCAAGCCAGCCGGGTATCCCGGTTTCAAAGACGAAAACCACAATTATCAGGCATGCTTTTTACCTAACGAAGGACCTTGCTTTAGCGCTGGGCGATGATGAAGCTTTTGACAGGTTGAGCAGGACTCTGTGTGAAGCGAATATCAACAGGGTAAACATTTGTGAAGCTAGTGGCCAGGCGGTCCTGGCCGCGCAGTTGTGAATCTGCCAGCTGGCGACAAACGCCTCTTGAAAGCTTGACAACATGAGCTGAGAATTCACGGTTCCCTCACCTTCGTCTCATCAACCATTTTCACTACCACTATACACTGCGCTCATAGCTCCAGCCAGCCCTGTGAAACCGGGCATACGGCAAATATGCTCTCTGAGCCGGTTCCTGCCAACGACTATGAAGAACAAGAAGATGACGTGGCTTCCACCCGGCAGGCCAGAGGGTGGCAGTACACTCCTACTGTTCCGATTCGGATCGAAATACAAATGTTTAAAGAAGTCAGCGGTGTGACGGCTCCCATTCTGGAAAAGCTCGTGCAATTCTACCACGCCGTAGCGGCCAGCCTGTCCCGGGCGGACCAGCGCGAATACCTCGCCATGCTCCGTGGTCTCGAGTGGCGCATCACGCAGAGGCGCGCGCCGTCGGCGCACACTGTGTTGCGGCACATGCGCGAGCAAAACTCGGGCGCCGCCGCCGAGACCGTCTTCTTTACCGATCACATGTCCCTCCCAACCCTCGCCATCCTCATGGCGACGTACCCAAACGGCCTCGGCCTGCTCGCCAAGCTGGGCGTATTTGCGGCGTTTGCCCAATACGGAATCGGGTACACGACGTGCCGCGAGGGGTATGTCGAGTACCACTCAACGGAGCTCGAGGCGTGGGAGCCGCCGAGCATACAGGAGTTGGCGACCATGGCGGATGTCAAGGTTCGGCTTCGTCCGTGCAAGGAGACACCGCGAAAGAAGCGCCGGCGGCACTCGCGGGGCGGCACGACGGCGGATCATGTTCCAACGGAGGAAACGCGGGGCGACGACGCCATAAACTCGGGTATGGGCTTTACAAGCTGACAGCCTCTCCCCCCGTCTTCATTCTCTCTTTTACTGACATGTGATTTATCCTATGCAAGACAACCAAAAACCGATGGGTGCAAGTATCCCGCAGATGGTCGCGGGAGACGACGTCGACGTTGTGGCACGCAATGGTGCTCAGTGTCGGCAATGTCAACAGCAGCGCGCCGCTCTCGCGCAGTGCCAGGATGCGCTCCGAAACGCGCTGGGGAGCCAGCATTCTCTGGAGGAAACCGTGGCCGCCATGTCGGAGCGCATCACTCAGCTGGAGCAGGACAAGGCGTGTGCGTTTGCCGAGGCTGCGCTCGACGCCGCAGAGAAGGAATCTGAGAGGGCAGCCAAGCTCCGTGACGAGGCGCGGAGGCGCGCGATGCTGGCGGAGTGGCGCAACAACCAGGATGAAGGCATCATACCCTTTTATACCCTAGAGGAGGAATGAGGCGAAGAAATTGTGATTTATCACCTTCGAATCTTGCTGCAATTCTTTTATCAATTGAGTTGAGTAGACAAGTGAGATGAAAGAAGAGGAAGAAAACAATAAAGTATGGCTTTCAAGATATTCGAGAGATGCTACATTCGTAGATTCTCTGCTGTTGGAATAATTGACTGTGGTGATATAAATTACATGGTCTCTATGTACCGACTCTCGGGTCTCCCTCGCCTGCATGCCGGTATTAAATGTTTATGGAGGCTAGAGCTCTTTCTCACTACCCAGCTAGTTACTTGCTGACTTGCTTTGCTGAACACGGCCGAGACACTCAGCCCAAGGGCAGCGAGGCTTCCTTGCACAGGAATGCCTTGATTGGCCGCCTGAGCAACCGCAGGACAAGAAGGTCTGCCGAACGCGGCACGTTGACAAACATGACTGGCCTGTGCAGAGCAAACATGGCCTCGCCAAGGGAACCATTTAATCCGCCCGCAGTCAACAATGGCTTTTTTTTGGCAGCGGTGGGGGAGGGGAGAGGGGGGGTTTTTGTTGGTGCGTTCGTAGCGTCTCGGACTCGTGTCCCGACTTCTCCTCCCCACACAAACGACGACGTTTCGATCGCGACTAAAATGCGCCACTTTCCGAAATTCTGATTACTGGAGACTTCACCACCAAGCTCTGCAGCTGTCCATTGCCATCTCGAGAAATACTGCTGCCTAGTCTAGGCCCCCTCTCTTGTGCGCCACGCCCCAGCCCAATGCTTGACTGGTGGCGTTTATCGCGACGCCCGCAAGATTGGCCCGCCCTTGGCTTGTCATTGTGACTACCGCCGACTGAAATTTTGCCTCTTTTGACTGCTATTGAAAACTGTGATGAACTGCTGACGGCCTCGACAATGGTTTCGCGCGGTCCACTGGCATCCACCGACATCCACTGCAGCTTCTTTCATGCCAAATTGCAACTCCTAGGAGCGCCGCGCCCCTTTGCTTTTTCCACAGTCGAGGGCAGCAGATGAAGTGCGGTCCATTTGTTACCAACTCTTGAAGCGCAGTCTCCTTGAGGGGACCGGGGCTGGCCCACCAAGTCTGTTTTCGGGTCCAGGGATGCAAGTGTCACTGGAGTTTACCAGCCAGTTTCCCCAGCAAGTTTCCCCAGCCAGTTTCCCCAGCAAGTTTCCCCAGCCAGTTTCCCCAGCCGGGGCAACTCGTACATTTGGGGGCCGCTCTAGCAAGCGTCTGGAACGAGGCCATCGAATATGCCCTCCCCGCGCTGTCAGCAAAGGCAAAAGTCCTAGGCTTTCCCAGCCTTTGCAAAGAGAGGACATGATCAAGACAGTCACAACCACATAATAGCATGTCCTCATAACATGGAACAAAGTAAACAGACGAATACAGCCATGGGGGCTCGTTCGCGAACAACCTAGCCTGACGCCATGTCTCATTTCCGCGGCTGACCGAGATGGGAAAGCTTGGGGGCTCCCTGGCGCCACTCAGCCTCCTCGCAGCCCGATTGGAGCGCACGTCTGCTTGCATGCAGCTATGAGCTGGTCAGACGGGCAAAAAGGTGCGGTAACGGCAGGGCCCCCCTCACGCAAGCAGCTGCTCGCTCCAGATATAATAAGGTCACCCCGTCGCCCACTTCTCTGGGGAACCTGGTCTTGTTATTCACTTCTTTCTCGTTCAAGAAACAACCCTTTTGTCGCTTGCCGTGACCATGGACCCTGAAAAGAAGATTGTCCTCGAGCAGGACGAGGTTGTGTAAGTCCTGCCCCCTCCTCATTCCCCCAATGCAACGCTCCCCCACACCGCAGCGGGGAATCCCGGGCGCAATACCAGTCGTTGCATTTTTTTTTGTACTAAGACCTCAATGTGAAAGCAGCACCGGACCTGCGCCGCTGACATCGGAAGCCGCCAAGAAGCTTGCCGCGCTCACCGTAGAGGCCGAGATCCAGAACCCCCTCGTAGGCGTTCCCCGTGATGAGCTCCTCGCTCGTGTGACGGCGTTCCAGCAGGGAAAAGGACTGCCCGAGGATATCCTGCCGCTCCTGAAGAAGGGCGCCCTCGTCGCGCAGAACCCTGCCGGCTTTGAAGAGCTCGAGGACCTGGATGAGGATGACAAGGGCGCCTTGCGCAGCGAAGTTACCCACAGATGGAACCATCCCTGGGCCCTCTACTACACCATTATCCTCAACTCCATTGCCGCAGCCATTCAAGGCTGGGACCAGGTCAGTCGCATGCTGCCATTGCCAGTCAACCTTCCACTCACACGGCTCCGCAGACCGGTTCCAACGGCGCCAATCTTGGCTTCCCGGAAGCTCTTGGCATTCCCGATTTTAGCCCCGCTTGCGGCCCTGATGAGACTTCAGGCCTCTGCGCCAGAAATGCTTGGCTCGTTGGCGTCGTTAATGCCATGCCTTACATCACCATCTGTCTCTTGTAAGTGCCCACCGCGATTGTGTATAGCTCACGGACTGACAAATATAGCGCTTGCTGGATCTCCGACCCTCTCAATGAGCTCATGGGCCGTCGTGGCGTCATTTTTGTCGCAGCAATCTTCTCTTTGCTCGCTCCTTTCGGCATGGCTTTCTCACAGACCTGGGGTCAGCTTGCGGCGTCTAGGTAAGACCCCCATCGCTCGTGGCTTTTGCGCTGCTGGATAGGACTAACTCTTGTTGCGCAGAATGCTGCTCGGCATCGGTATGGGATTGAAAGAGGTCACTGTCCCCGTCTTCTCGGCTGAGAATGCCCCGTCAATCATTCGTGGCGGCCTCGTCATGTCTTGGCAGCTCTGGACTGCTTTCGGTACGTAGTACACACGTTGACAACCTCCCAAATGTCGCTTGCTGATTTTTTTTTTTTTAAAAAGGCATCTTCCTCGGTACTTGCGCGAATCTCATCGTTGGAAAAGTTCCCGATATTTCGTGGCGCCTCCAGCTCGGCTCGGCCTTTATTCCTGCCGTGCCCCTTGTTCTGGGCATCTATTTCTGCCCCGAATCCCCTCGTTGGTATCTCAAGAAGGGCAATCACATCAAGGCCTGGAAGTCGCTGCTCCGCCTTCGAAACACGCCGCTTCAGGCTGCCCGCGACTTGTTCTACATTCACTGCCTTTTGGAGCACGAAGCCAAGATCATCGAGGACGCCGGCCTCAAGGTCAATGGCAGTGTCTTCACTCGTTTCATTGAACTGTTCACAATTCCTCGAAACCGTCGCGCTACCCAGGCTTCTGGTATTGTCATGATTGCACAGCAAATGTGTGGTAGTAAGTCCAACCGTCTGCTCGCTCTGCCTGGCCAAATCACTGACGAGTTTCAGTCAACATTATTGCATTCTACAGTAGCACTATTTTCCGCCAGAGTGGCGTTTCTGCTTACAATGCTCTTTGGGCCAGCTTCGGCTTTGGTTTGATCAACTTTCTCTTTGCCTGGCCTGCTGTATGGACCATTGATACCTTTGGTCGCCGTGCTCTCCTGCTTTTCACCTTTCCCAACATGTTCTGGACATTGCTTGGTGAGCCTTGACCCGTTGATTTCCTCGCTCTGAAGCCTGACTAACGCTGGGTAGTGGCCGGTCTTTGCTTCCTCATTGACAAGGACCTGGAACAAAGCACGCCTCGCATTGCCGCTGTTGCGACTTTTGTATATCTCTTTGGCGCTTTCTATTCTCCTGGTGAAGGCCCGGTACCCTTCCTCTATTCCTCGGAGAGCTTCCCGTTGTCTCATAGAGAAGTCGGAATGTCTTGGGCTGTTGCAACAAACAACTTCTGGGGTGCCGTCTTGAGCTTGACGTTCCCTCGCATGCTCCGAGCGATGACGCCGACTGGCGCGTTTGGATTCTACGCAGGCATGAACCTCGTTGCATTGGCCCTCATTTTCTTCTTCATGCCGGAGACGAAACAGAAGAGTCTCGAGGAACTGGACTACGTCTTTGGCATCTCTACTCGGGTGCACGCCAACTATCAGCTCCGGACCGTGCTGCCGTGGGGTTTCAGGCGCTACGTCCTCCTGCAGAAGGATGCCATCTGCCCTCCTCTATACAAGGAGGACAACAAGGTCGCCCGACCCAACGAGGGTAAAGTCTGAGACTCGAGGAGATGTGTCTGGCCCTGGTTTTGGCATGACAACCACTGGACTATGAAGGAACGGAAAATGACGCTGCAATGTTTTGCACGTACAGATTGAACGCTTATTGATATCCAGACTAGTATCTGTTTTTGACAATATACATGATTTGACTTGCCTATAATGCTGAGTGAACCTCGCTGGAGTAGTATTGTTGAAACTGCCTGTTTATATCTACATGATCATAGTGGTTCTAATCGCCATGTAGAATACCTAGCTAACTCGGTTAATAGTACTCCTTTATTACGGTAAAATCTTTTTTTTTGCTAGTTCGAGCGTGAGTGGGAGGCACCCCGCGCTCCGAGTCATGTAGAAGTGGTGAATTAATACCGTACAAAATTCAGAAAAAAAGGGTGTCACGCCTTCGAGGCTATGATAGATCATCTCGTCTATTGAGAACGTTACGTGGCGTTGGGACAATATTGTTGCATAACTTGCGTACGACTACGGCCAGTTTCTGATGCGTCTTGATGTAGTTACTTATGTGTCGCTTAAGAGTGGGCATCAGCCACCATGTATTTCTAGTAATGGACAGGGAGCCCATTCAAGCTCGTAGTTTAAAACTTTAATAAGTGGTGCTGCTTTCGGTAATTTGAATCTTTGTACCCCAGACGGAGCTCTAAACAAACAAATTGGCCGATTCGTCTGTTTCCCAGTCTATTTCATTCGACATGGCTAGACTTCCATGAAGTAGCAAGCTCTTTGTTATGAAGTTTTATTTCTAACAGTATTCTACGAATTATTAGGGACGGACGAGTAAATGTACATTCAGTCGTGGAGGTGGCAAAGTATTCCATTGAGCTGATCATGTGGAGGGCCGTGGCGATGCGAGGCGACGCCACACTTGCCGAATATTCGCACAGAGACTCAGTCGAGAAGCTTATTAAATCCTTAAATCCTTCGATCTGCGGGCGCTGTTGCGCCACTCGCCGGCCTGCAATAACGCCTCGAGGCTTGGCTTTGCGAACTAGAGCTGGTGGCCCTACCCGGTTCGGGAAGGTTGGCAGCGAGCGGCTGCAACGTCCGCGACTTGCCGTTTCTATCCCCCTCTAACGGCTGAAAATAAGGGCCAGCTCTAGGGTCTTGGGATGGGACAGGTCTGCTTCCCTAGTCCGCGCGGGAAGAGGGCATTGCAACCCCAACTACTAGCTGGTCCGCGGCCTCGCACTGCCTTCCCGTTTCGTCCATGGTATATAAAAATGAGGCGAGTCTGCTCCGATAAGCCAGAAAGCTGCTCTTCCTTCAACTTGTGTTTCATTTTATGTATTCGAGAACAATGGCAACAAAGTCAAGCATCGAAATCACCAAGGGAGGTTCCCTCGTGGAAGCTGTGCCTGGACACCTCCGCAACTTTGACTCGGACTCGCAGGACGAGACCACCTCGCTCGGTCCTTTTCCAACAGAGGAAGAATGGGACAACCTGCCTCGTGTTCCTGGCAGCATTCCATGGACAGCATGGACCGTAGGCTTTGTCGAGTTTGTCGAGCGCTTCTCCTACTACGGGACCAGCGCAGTGTGTAAGTCGAGCCTGCCCACCATACTACATGGCCATGTCCCCGATACGCTGCTGATGACTTTCCCTTGCAGTCGTCAACTTTATTCAGAAACCGCTGCCCAAGGGATCCACGACGGGCTCTGGATTTCTCAAGCATCCCTCCGGGGCCCTCGGCATGGGCCAGCGCGCGTCCACCGGCATGACGACCTTTAACCAGTTCTGGTCGTACTGCACGCCGCTCTTTGGCGCGTATCTCGCGGACCAGTACTGGGGTCGGTACTTGACGATCCAGTACTCCAACATTGCCGCGCTGGTAGGCCACATCATCCTCATCATGTCGGCGATTCCTCCCGTCATTGTGCATCCCAATGTGTCCATTGCCATCTTCTCCGTCGGCATCGTCATCATGGGTATCGGCACCGGCGGCTTCAAGTCCAACATTTCGCCACTCATTGCCGAGCAGTATCGCGAGGGCAAGCCCTATGTGCGCACCAACAAGAAAGGACAGAGGGAGATTGTCGATCCCGCAGCGACGACTGCACGCATCTACATTTACTTCTACCTGCTGATCAACATGGGCTCGCTCACCGGTTCCATCACCATGGTGTACTCGGAGCATTTTGTCGGGTTCTGGCTCTCCTTCACGCTTCCCACCGTCTGCTACCTCCTCTGTCCCGCCATTCTCCTCTACTTCAAACGGTCGTACAAGCTGTCGCCGCCGACGGGCTCCGCGATGGGCAAGGCTAGTAAGCTTATTCGCTTCGCGTACAAGACGAGCAGCGGTCTGCGCGATCCCGAGTTCTGGCAGCGTGTTAAGCCCAGCGAGCTGCGCGCGCGGGGGACCCGGTCCCGGCATGGATGACATTCGACGACGAATGGGTCGATGAAGTGAAGCGCGGTGTTCTCGCGTGCAAAGTATTCCTGTGGTATCCTCTCTACTGGCTGGCCTACAACCAAATGACGAACAATCTGGTCTCGCAGGCGAGCACCATGGTGCTCGGATCAACACCGAATGACATTGTGGCTAAGCTGAATCCCATCTTCATCATCATTGTCATTCCCATCATGGACTTTATCGTTTACCCGGGGCTGCGCAAGTGCGGCGTCCGTCTCTCGCCTATCCGCAAGATCACCGCCGGCTTCGTGCTCAGCTCCATGGCCATGGTGTCGGCCTGCGTCACTCAGTCTTATATTTACAAACTATCCAAGTGCGGAAACAGCATCAACGCTCAAATGAAGGCCGGTCGCAAGGACTGTACAGCTCCGATCTCAGTATGGATCCAGATATTTCCGTATGGTCTCATTGGCGCGTCCGAAGTTCTCGCTTCCATCACGAAACTCGAGTAGGTCCCGCAAAAGCATAGTATTATCCACTACAGCAGACTGATATTTAGCGACAGGTATGCTTACACAAAGGCTCCCCAGAATATGAAGTCGACGGTGCAGGCCATAGCCCTTTTCACGTCTGCCATATCCGCTGCTCTCGGCCAGGGTCTTGTCGGCCTGTCTGAGGACCCTCTCCTAGTCTGGAACTACGGTTCGGTAGCCGTCATTGCTATGGTTGGTGCTATCTGTTTCTACATGACGTTTAGGAAAGCCGACAGAGATGAAGATGCCATGAACAACCAAAAGGAGAGCTCTTACATTGGAAACGGCGGGGCAAGCGAAGCTGTAGACACCACGACGTCGGTGGCAGAGAAGGAGCGGATGGCATAGTAGTAGTATTACCAGTATTGTCTTGAATGTATTTTGCAACTACTGTTCACGGATTGCCGCAAGTGCATCCCTTGGAATACTCCAACCCAGCAGCATACATCGCGGTGCGGAACCAACACCCTGTGGTCCCCAAACGTGTCTGGGCGTCGTTTATGATGCTGTGAGTTACTTACTCGTTCACTACTCCACTCGAGTCTCCATCCATTCGCAGCCATCTCTGAGGAAATAAGGTCTTGAATTTTGTCGCGACAGCCCGCAATGCGGTGGCCGGCTGGACGACTTTCCGATGCAGCCTAATTGAGCTTCCAAAGTTTCCGCTCAGCAACACAGTCTGTTTTCTTATCGCCACTTAGCCCCGTGAGACATGCCTCAACATTCTTGATCTTGTCAGCTGCAAGTCTACCATCTCCTAGCTGAAGGACGTAAACAAGTCCTGCTGGGCATGGCCTCATCAAGGGTCACCCTTCGGATTCGGAATGATGGACGTTCGGGATGCGAAGGGGCCGACCTCGAAACCACATTCTAGACCTCGGTTTTCAAAAGGCTGACTTTTAGATGGGCCGCCTAATGTCACAGTACCTGCAAACTCAAGTCCATGTATTTTCACCAGTCGATGTGCGTGCCAGGTTCGTCATGAGCCAATCAATACGCTAGGGGTGTCTCGTTGCGGCATTTTGATTTGTTAAAAGTATTAGGTTGCTTTTTCTTTTCAAGTCTTCACTTTGTCCTGTAGTTACACCGTCTCCGGTTATTTCGAATGCATTTTGGTGATGTGTTATAACTTTGCCATCCAGTGGAGGCAACCTAACTTGCCAACTTTGAAGATTGCGCCAGTCACATCATCGAAAACATGTCAACTTTGTTGGGCAGCGCATCAGTAAAATTACATTGAAACCGCCAGCGTGAGCTTTTCAAAGTTGCTCAAAATTGGCCCGCGCAGACAACATTCGTTATTCTGTCTAGTTACTCTTTCTTCCCCGATGTGCCGCAGTACCGAGGGAGGATCTGCGAGAGGTTGCATGCCAATCAAAAGAAAGCAGCAGTCTGAAACCCGATCCTGGAATGCCCACCAGTTCGTCTAGTGGAAGGTGGGGGAGATCAGCGTGGCCCACGCAGAAGCGACGGAAACGCTCAAGGTAATGCTGCACCATGAGTCTCCAAGAGTTGGTTACAAGTGTAAGCGAAAGAGAGAGAAATACAAAGTGACGTCGAGCAGGCAGAAACGAGCATTCCTGGCCGAAAAAGGCTGGTTGCTGGTTGCTTGCCCGGAGGAGTGTTATACCCGCCACAAGTCGCCATGGACAGACAGCACCGTCGTGTCTCACCGCGAGACATGGTCGAAAGGTCGTGGTCATGATGCACCGAGTGAACATATAATTGTACGCTGTCGCTGGAATGCTCAAAGCTTCAAGACCGCCAGCACCGGTGAGTAATTTTAAGCCGTGTTATCACGTCCTCCAAGGAACGTCGCCGCTTCAAGAAGTTCAGTCGGATGATCGCCATCTTGCGAGGCATGCACTCCTTGGAGACGACTCCACGAACGCCTTGTTATGCAATGCATGTGGTCATTATCAAGGCCTTCCGGTCATGATGGCGCATTCTTCCCGGCCGCCCCTGGGATGTTCCACGTCATGCACCATCAACGAAGCGCCGCGCTCTGAAGCAGTGGTATCGGGTATAAAGAGACACAGATGCTGCCTCTGTTTCTCCCCTTCTCTCCATCAATCCATATCATACTCTTCCCCTCCAACAACACCTACAAATACCACTCTCAAAACCTCCAACCGCCACCATGCGCTTCTTCCTTGCCATCACGGCCCTCGTCGCCGCTGTGACCGCCGCTCCCTCGGCGGATGTCGCCGCCGTCAACCAGATGGCTGCCATGACCCTGGCGGAGGCCGATGCCTCGTGCGGCAATGGCGCCTCGCTCTACTGCTGCGACAAGAGCAAGCAGGGGGGCGACACCGGTTCCCCGGGCCAGGCCGGCGGCGTCGGCCTGCTCGGTGCCATTGTCGGCGTTAACGGTCTCCTCCAGGGCCTGCTCGGCCAGTGCTCCAAGATCAACATCAATGGTAAGCCTTCCGTCGCACACGCTTCCAGACTTGTACTCACAACTCCGCAGCCATTGGCGCCGCCGGCGTTCTCAACCAAGAGTGCACGGCTCGCGCTGCCTGCTGCCAGAACACCCCCTCGGTCGTAAGTGGCTTTCCGGGAATATACCCTGCCGCTATCTCACGTGCTAACACGATTATAGGCTCATCATGGTCTCGTCAACATCGCATTGCCTTGCATCCCTATCAACAGCCTCGTTGGTTAAGCGCATGCACCGACAACGGGAAGGAATCATGGCGGGCGATGTAGCTCAACCGATGGAGCATCATTGGGCGGCTCAGTACTGTGTCAAGATAATTGATCTTCGATAGGAATGTGATAGTTATCCAAACATATACCCTACTACAGCACATGTCGTCCACCAGAGTGAAATTGAGCAGAGGGGCTTTTTGCAAAAGACGCGGGGTCGGCCCGGAGCATCGTTTCGAACATGATTCGGCACGAGACTAGTGTAAAGAGTCGTCAACTCATTTCGGCGACGGTCCGGGTACTTTGTTCTCTCGCAAAGGTCTCAATACTGGAATGCTGGCGTGAATGTCTCACCGAGGATTCGTCGACCACCCGAACAGCATCCAGGCGAACCAGGCTGTTGTTAACTCGACCACCCGGGTGGTTGCATAGCGGCACCATGGCCTCGAGACAGTCGAAGCGACATTCTTGGTCCTTTATGGCAGCGACAATCTCCATCCTCGTCTTACGCGACGCGTTCGCCCTACGCGCACAACACGCGGTGGGGACAACCTGGTGATGCAGGGGCGACAAGCCGGTGATGAAGGAAACAGTGGAAATCAATAATTCCGTTATTTGTGGCGCGCCTCGGTAATAGCGCAGCGGACGCCGCGGCGATGTAAGCCAGTAAGACTATTGCTAATAATCGTCGGAAGATGCGTGTTATGTTCCTGTCAGTGTCCCCGATCGTGCCCGAACGCCAACTACCTTACTTAGTCTTTCCCAACTGTCACATATGCAACGTCCGCAAGAATGGTCCTCGTGAATAATAGTAAAGTCTTACGGACTCGTAATGTCAGATAAAATAATGCGCACTCTTGTTTTTTTCGAGGGTTTGGTGGTTATTTCGCCAGACTCGTGATGCGCAAACGCAGCGCAGTGATGTACTGGTGTAACTATATGAATGTGACCAGTATGTCAAAACTGATCCGCGGCATACCGGCGCGCACATAGCGGAGCGTCATAAAATCAAAACGCGTAGATTTGAAACATTCTGACAAGAACTCAGACAAGAAGTACCACGAGCGACTGTTGCTCGCGTCAGGAGTGGTGATTTCTTGACGAGCATTTCTACAGGGTAGCAGTGTCAAGAAGCAAGCGAGGGACTAGTGTGCGTCGGGCGGTTACCCTTTTTGTCGCCATTAGCACCGCCGCGAGGCTAACAAGAGCAAGAAGCTTTCAGTATAGCTCTGTCAATAGAGTACATATTGCATTTCAGCTTTGCGCACAAGATATTCTAGCCAACGGGCCATCGAGGGGTGTGGAATTGTTGGTAGTGCTTGTATAACGAAATAGGCGAATTCGTCTCCACTGCCTAATCGGCTTTGGTGGCCAAGTGGTAAGGCGTCGCACTTGGTTAGTAGCTCTGATCTGCCACTGTACATTCCCAAATCCCATTCTAACAACTCGAAAAGTAATGCGAAGACCGTGGGTTCGAATCCCATCCGAAGCAATTCTTTTTGCTCCCTGACTCTACAGTTAGAGGCCTTTTCTTTTTCCTTTTCACAGATTGGGGTTATACCTAGACTTTTTGCACTATATTGACTTCTCTTTTGTATGGCGAGTATATTTGTCCTTCTTTTTAAACCTGAGGTTATTTACTTTTTGAAAGTAACTTACTTACTGTGATGATACGCTGAGTGCTGTGATAGTACCGATAGTAATAATATATAGGTGCGACCAAGCAGCAAGCTTGCTCGCATTTTGGTTACGAACCCCTTTTCCTTTTCCTAGTACGTGACTGAGGGGCTTTGGTCTATTCCAAGAATAGTAGCAATGCTGATTGCTGCTGGAGCCCTACAAGTTCGTTCCATCACAATACTCTGTCTTATTTATAAGTTATGCTGATGGTAGCTGGAACATATGCTGCGCCGAAGCACAATCTCAACCTGTGTGCCTATTTCGCAGGCTCTACTTGAGCACTTGGTCCTGTTTATATTTCTAGATAAAAACAATCAATATCTGGCAGCGGCGACTTTTCAGATTCGCCTCGGAATGGAATGCCAAACTTTTAGAAAGTGGAAGTACTTCTCTGCCAAACTAGAAACATCTGTATTGTCCAACTTCTTGGTTGTTTGTGTCCTGTCTCACAAGTTGTCCACTACCCAGCCTAGAACTCGCCGACTTTATTGAGAACAAAGTTTTCTTAGTTATTCCAAGTTTCATACTGAAGATAGTGCAAGTGGAAGCTTAGTCTGTGCACTACCTACTATCTGGATGTGATTGGAAGCCAAGTCGTTTCCTTGCTTATTTATCTAATGTAATTTTTTTGTCGTCGAGGCCAGTATAACTGGTAATAATCGCTCACACCCCCACACAATCACCTCGCTTTGGTGGCCAAGTGGTAAGGCGTCGCACTCGGTAGGTCCCGCCTCAATCTGGCTCCCCACAGCAGAATTATCAACTAACAATTATCCAGTAATGCGAAGATCGGGGGTTCGATTCCCCTCCGAAGCAACTTCAATTTTTTGCCGTTTCGCGTTCCTTTTTAATTTTTTTTGCCTGGTACTATTATTGGTGCCTGTCTCGGTTGTTTGCGTGCGCAACCACGCAGTGTGCTGCCTCTGCCACTGGGCAAACTTCTTGGCGCATGGAACAAACAACCACGCTTAATAGATTCCAGCTGATGGCTGCCTATAATAAGACACGAGTCGTCAAATATTCTTAGCTTGTGGAATTATTAAATGCGCGCTCGTCGGGTGCTCTCTCGTGTGACATTGGCGAGCGCAGGAGTATTCTTTCGTGGCAAGGAGTCACTACGTCATGTCCACCACACAGTCTCCTCAGATGAGGGAAAACAACGCAGAAAGTAGCCATAATGCAACTTGACATTTATTGAACCTCTACTCCGTACTCTGGCCTACTGCTCCAAAGTAATAAAACGACCATTTGCGACCATGAGGAACCAGCCATTCTTTTTTTTTGTAATTTGCCCCGACCATGAAGAAATTGTCTTTGGCCCGCAACCCTGAACAGTGCACAGCTTGCCGTACGGGTCGAAAAAAAAGGGCAAGGGAAAGCTGAAAAGCATCCACGATAGAAACTGGAAAACAAACAAACAAAAACAAAAACAATAAAAAAACGCCCATCAAAATGCTTTGCTGAATGGTTGCGTAATGATGCAGGCTCGAGATCCAAGACTCGACGCACGATTATGCTAGACGATATAGTACAGAGAACAGTGATATTGGTGTGGCAGCCGATAGATGGAAAGAAATCGTATGCAACAAGGTGGAAAAGCGCCAGACGCAGGGGTATCGTGCCGCACAAGTGTGGGCATATTTTTGCAAACTGGCGCTCCAAGTGCTCGCTCGAGACGAACCGAATCGTAATGGAGGCGTAATGTGAGACGAATCGGCGAAAAGGCTGCCTAGTCTAGTTGAAAGAGTGCCGATAGAAGAGAGATGAGGGCCTGCGGAACGCCGCCGGTGAAAATCTGCTTCGAAACGAGCCTATCTGGAATGAAAGGCTGGTAGATCTGGAAAGGCCTATTTCTTGGCTCGACTGGTCGAGGCGGTAATCTTGCTGGTGCTCATTAAGTCACCAATATATTTCTGCAAGAACTTGTTGTTACTGTCGAGCTTGTCGTGCTCCTCGCGGACGGCCTCTATACGGTTGAAAATATCGATGAGCGACTCCTGAAGAGCTTTGGCATGCCTGTTCAAGATTAGCAAAGGGTGCATTGGCGGCGTATTGCGCGTATGGGAGCTAACCGGCGCAACTCTTCGCGAGCTTCCTTGCCAAGCTTGTCAATATCTTCGCTGGTTCGGCGGGGGCTCATGGCTCTGACATCGTCGGGCCCAAAATGCGACTCAACAGGGCCAACTTCTGAGCTGTCACGAGGGACAACGAGCGGCCCACTGCTCTTACGGCTTGGTAAGCGCGGCCGGGTTGGGATGGGCTGATGGATGATGGGGTCGTTGTGATCAGAAGGGGCAGTCGAGGCCGAAGAATCAGAGCGCACAATAGGATGGGATCCGGTTGAGTGATTATCGTGGTCGTCGGCCATTGTGGTGAGCGCGTTTGGAAGAGGGAGGAATGTCGGGTGCGGCAAGGGAGAAATCGACCAACAGCCAAGATGACGGCCAAGGTAGAAAATTCGACAGAGCAGTGGTGGGCTGACAGTTATAGAAGAGCGGTGGTATTATTATAGCGTATTCCAAGGATTCGGGTTGCCTGTTGAGGTTGCACCTTGGGGCAACTTGTTTGCCACCGACGTAATAAGGGTCTTTGCTAATAAGGTGGCCGGGGCGGGCGAAACGTGACCGGTCTAGGGGGCGGGTGACGACAGACAAGACGGACCGGAGAGGCCAAGGCGGAGCGATATGACGAGCGAGACGCTGGAAATAAAAAGCAGACGAGGAAAATGAAGCGGCGACTGAATACACCAGACGGGTGGAAACAAAAAAAGAAGGATGTGGAAAAGAGAAAGAAGCAGGAGGAGACGGGGAGATGGGGAAAATGCGGTCGGATAGGTACCTAGGGAGGCAGGGGGTTGAAGGGAAATCGGCCTGATGAAAGTGCTGGTGGTGGCTTGTGAGGCGAGCAGCGGTCGGAGGTTGCTGCTGGTGGGCGAACGAAACACAGTTGCATCAGCCAAGTGCAAGTGGTGGTGATCGACACGGCACGGTCTGGTTGACTAGGCAGAATGGAGCACGGACAAGACGTGCATATGCTTGGTTGGAAATGGAGGAAAAAGAGGATGAAGGGCAAGAAGAAAAGACAAGAAAGAGGGGAGATGAGAAGAATAGGAGAAACGAACGGAAATGGAAAAAGGGCAGCGAGTCGTGGCGACAGGGAGCAAACGAGTTGCACCAACGTTATCACCGTACAGCTGCTGTGCGCCTGCAGGCTGCTCTGCTTTTTGGTACTGTACTAAGGTACCTACTAAGGTACAGACAGTGCCAGTGCCGGTCAAGGAGCCAAAGGAACCGAAACTCGCTAAAAACGGGTTAGTGAGAAGCGTTAACTACTACATATTTAGGAGACACTCAGTGCTTGTTCAACTTGTCGCCGAGTGACCGGAGTGGGCGGCGAGAGCGACTCAAGAGCCCCAGGTACCGCGACGACAGACAGGCTTGCTTGAGGGCCCTGGTCGCGAAAAAGGCCCCGGCCAGGGGTGGTTGCGGCGAGCGGTTCAGTGCTTCCAGTGCTTGCAGCCAGTGGAGTGGCAGCCAGCTGCCCGTTCGGTGCCAGGCTGGTGGGGAGCCTGGAGACGCGCTGGAGCCGAAGGAGTCAGGAACCCACAGGGGTTGCAGGGGTAGACGGGGGCCCGTCGGGGGGCCGCTTCGGAGGCGTTGGGAGATGTTCAAGGCGTCCCGCTAGCGGAGCGTCCCAGCTGTCCTGTGCGCGACAGGCCTCAGTCCAAATTACAGGGCAAGTTCTGCGTTGGCCCATCTCCCAAGTGCCGATATAATACTGGTCCCCATTGTCGCCCAAGATAAGGTAAACCAACTGGCATGGGAACCTGAGTAGCAGCACGACGACACCATAGAAAAATGCAAACGACTACCGAGATCACAGATGCGAGACAAGTATCAGGATTTAAGTAAATCTCGATAGGGAAAGGAAAAAAAAAAGGAAGAAAAACCCAGCATGGGAAACCCCCCAGCGTCGCTCAAGGTCGATTACCATCCCACCAAAAGTGTGATCTGCGCATGTCGTCAGGCCGTGACAATGCACTGTTTACACTGTAGGCACGCCACTGTACACCCACCACCTGCCCTCTGCCCTCTGCCCTCGCATCCCTGTCACACCAATTCCCACCACCCACCACTTCCCATTATTACGCTGCACCCCGTGCTTCCATGCTTCCACGACTTCCATTCGACACGCCATCGCTATTCCGCGCTAGACACGGTAAACTATTTCAAATTGCTTTTCCATCACAACTACCGCCGCAGCACCTGCCACCTGCCCACTGCCAACAAACTCTTGCAGTGCCTCGCTGTTGGCAACCATGCCGCTGCTGCCAAGCCAACGTCTGGTCTCATCCCTTGGCAAACCACGCCTGACGATCGTCAGAACATAGACCAAGACGAACAGGAGGCCACCGCCATAACTAACTAGTCACGATGGATTCTAGGTCTAACCGAGGACCAGTGCACCAGAAGCAACGCTGATCTTGCCATATTTCGGCACCGGCTCTAGTTGTGCCAAGTGCACATCCGTGTCGCACAACGCAGTTTCAACATCTGCATTTGTCAACAGAGAATGATACCATGAAAAAAATAGAAAGCAGGAAAATCGCAAGACAACAAGGGAGAGACCGGAATATCCCGTGTCACATTCCAAGAACCAAAGTTGCGGTGACCCGTCTCAATAGCTGCGATAACATCATTTTTGGCTAGTTAACTAGTTAGAGAAAAAGCAACTTGCAAGGCAGCCCGCTCGACCAAAATCCAGCGAGACGAGAGGAAACAACAAAACTACCTGACTGCTAACCAATGCTACCCTTGCCCACATTGCCCAGCCTCACGATGCAGGGTCTATCCTACTCTGGACAAATCAAGACAATCACGGATGCGTTGTACCACATACCCGCCGCCCCCCCTGTCCAGGCTCATTCTGCAGAGGCCTCATGCGACGTCGCATGCGCAAGGCTCGTTTTGCGCTGCGTGCTGCTGTTGTCGCAGCAAAACCTACACCTACACCGATACTCCATGTCACCAGCCTCTCAAGATGCGTTCTGGAAGTCCGGCCGTTCTCATGCGAAGCGCATGGCCAAGAGAACCAAAGAGGAAACTGCTTGGAACGGAGGCTTGGTGGCGTGGAAGACCGGCGCACTGAGACGCCACGCCTCTCCCTCGTCGGCACTAATAATAACAACTGTCACCATGCGCGGCATCAGAATGCATCTGGCCGGGAGACGATTCTGAGTGAAGATGTGCAGTCCAATAATGGCAATCCGGTTTCAAGCAACTACGTCGTCCTAACAGTTACGGCGCTTTCTTTGAGGCAAGCAAGCCGCCGCGCCCTGCAATAGCATGCACCCTGCGTAACTATTACCGGTTCTCTATGGATACCTAGTGGCTTGCATCGCGGTGGGCAGGCGGGCAGGACACATGGCGCACCCGCCAAATATTTAGTCACAGGCTCGAACGACCGCTGGTCCGGCGCCTTGGGGCACTTGAGTGGTGCTGGCCGTGTCAGAGGAGGTTGCAACTTGTGAGCCGGCCGTGGGCAATTACAGGTTTCGGCCCTCGGCACTGTGACGCCATAGCTGACAGGCCCTGTTCGAACATGCGCCAGGCAGGCGTATCAAGTCGAATCTGATTGCTCGGCATGGCGATCCAGAAAAGAGGCAAAAACCTATCAGTGCAACCGAACCACTTTTTGATAACGAGTTAGCGCTGTCAGTACCACGATTTATCACTGGCGTTCCCGCTACAGATTGTTTGATACATACAATAAGCGATTATCTGTGGTGTGGGCAACAGTGTCCACCGCCATAGAGGACAACCGCACGGGTACCACAGGCTTTGATGCCCAATGTGCGGAAGCTGGAAGCTGCCAGTAGTTGAATGGTTTTGTTCGCTTGATGTTGTCTTTCGGTCCTCGCGACGGCAGTTCATCCCTTGCGGCCAGTCAGGCTCGGCTCGTTGGGGGCTGACATGTCTGAATGACGGGACGACCAAACCAGTGGCTAGACTGCCGACAAGGCTGAGATGGTGATCGTTTCTTGTCTACTTTTGGTCCCTGTCATAAACTACAAATTAGAGCTGGCAAGTTGGCAATCAAGTTGACAACGCAACTTGACAGCCTGCTTAGAAACAAGAAAGAGAGGAAGGCGACATGGCTTAAATGAGAAATACCTGACTCTAATAGGGCCACAGCACGCCGCCTTTTTTCCGGTTTGGAGGCTCAGCTCAGGCTGGTGAAAGGGCTCACAAACAGTTGAATACCCCCAGCCCAACAGGTGCATAAATTTCTTTGGAGATTTTGCTCATGATGACCCGCAAGTCTGTCCAACGAGCGATGGCGGCGAGGCTATTGCCCTCTACAAAAATCGGACCACATGGTCATGGGAGCGTGGGAGTAGGTTCCTGGCATCAGCGCAATGCTCACGCCTCCTCAACGCCTCCTCGACGCCTCTTCAACGCCTCCGAGCCATCTACGGTATCCCGCCGCACGTCTGAATCTATGGCTGCCTTATTGCTGAGACTCACCCGCGTGACCTTGCATCACCAAATGCACCTGTCCTTGTTCCCTGGCGCCGCCTCTTTGTGGCTGATGAGGCAGTGTTGATGGTCGATGCTAGTCTGAGGCAGCATTCAATATCCTCAAGATAGCCATCAGCCTGGTTGGAGGCTATTCCATAAATCGTCTGGCTTCAGCTGCCATTGTTCACCGACAACTGTCAGCCCGCAACATGTTTAAAGTTGCATCGGAGAGACCCGAGACCACACTTGCGTGGACTTTGGGGGCTAGTTATTCCATTCCGCCGATACGCCAGCCTTGGAACGTGCAGGAAGGAAGAATCGACAAAGAGAGTGGCCGTTGTTTTGTTTGGAACACCAAAAAGACAAGACAAATTATCGTCATGTCCAAGTGTCATGCCTGAGACGTGCTTTTCAAGTTCCGGAGCGCCATAACCTAGTTACGGTCAACGGAGAGTGTTCATATTAACTGCATAGGTAGTATCATCATGCACGCTAAAATCACTGGCTCTCACGATTTTGCTGCATCGATTCGTGACGCGCCGGATGGTCAGCCAGCTCTGGCTTTGGCTCAGTATTACCCGGCCTGCTAGGCAGACGACGATACACGTCGTTCCATAGGGACCTGCTACTGGCCAAAGGATGGACAACCTGGGACGGCGCATGCGTACACTGACCCTCCCGCTTCCACTTACTGTTTTTCTCGCCAACCACTTGCACAAAAGTGTAGAAACAGAAACAGGGCAGGTGACACATGGTGCTGACAGACATGGAGGCTCTCTCCAGGTAGTTACTCTTGTACTACTTTACTATTGGGCCTTTTTCCGCCCCACGAATTGGTCGCCTCACTGCTGCTCATCTACGGAGTAGTCATGTTCAGCCTTGACCTGGGCAGCGACACTGGGTCGTCACTGTGACGGTGACGGCAGACCACCTCACGATGCTGTCATGTCAAGACACTAAAACTAGTAGTTAGGGCAGCTGAGCTATTTGCATCACTACATACCTACCTTGAACTCTTGGGTAAGCCCTGATGCTACAGCACGACTAACCGAGAGAGACAGCGAACCATGGGGAAAAAGGCCGCAAGTTTTGCCTTGAAGCACATCGTTGTTCAGTGCTACTCACACCTCTCTCCCTTGGCATTGCTGCATTGCTGCACACCCCCCTGTTTGCAGCACAATGTAGCCGCCAAGGCATGCCCCTGCCCTGTCTTTCATGTCTTTAATGCCGTGCTGCCCAATACATCATCATGTGCACCTTTTGGCGCGTAGGTGGGATGCGCCATCGTGAAGCGTGCATATTTCTCTTCCTTTCTCTCACTTTCACTACTAATGATTAGTCTTCTGGGTCTCGTTCCTGTTTTGGCACGCTGATGGAGCCTGCAGCGAGCCGAGAAGCTGCGGGCAATTCTGGGTCACCGCCAGGGGGGTTGCGGGAGCCAACTTTGCCTCTTTCAGCGAGCTGGGGGCTGTCCTGTATTACTGGTAGGATCGTGACTTTTTATTCATCATTTAATAGCTAGTTTATCGCTCACCAGAACACGCCTGTTGAAACCGACAAGTGATTAGTCGGACCCTGGTTCCTGGGAAAGATAAGCATTTGATGATTTCCGCCTTGTTCTCTTGGCATAGCCAATCAGTGCCTAGGGTTGGGAAATTGGAAACGGGGGTGGAAGACGTGCGACAAAAAGTCCCATTCCGAGTCCCAACAAGCCTTGTGTGTGCCATCTCACGAGTGCGGGGAAGTGAATGGCTCGTACGGACGGACGATTCCATTTAAACTGAGGCAGCTAGGATCGAAACCCATAACTAGTTTGAAGATGAAAAAAAAAAAAAAACTCAAATCGCAGTGTAAAAATAGTTCATAAAAACTCGGGACTCCCGAAATGTGGGCAGGGTCCCCGTTTCAAGATCACACGCCGGAGAGAATGCTCCAATCGAGAAGAGTCTATTTCACCACGCTCTTGCGCTCACCCATGCGCGCGCGTCCATCAGTCGAACGTGCCATTTTCTAACGCGTTCTTCTTACTGCTCGACCGACGGGACCATTTTCATCGAACCATGCCAAGAACTTGCTTGCATGAAGGGAAGGGGGGAGCGGCGCAGATTGCGGGCGCTGCTGCGCTGCTGCCTCTTGCACCCCGACGACGCGAACCACTTTCTCGGCCGCGCACCAGCATGCATCCAGTTTGACGCCCACGAGCTGCAGGGGCTGTGCACGCCGGCAAGAAGCTCCGCGGCGTCAAAGGAGCGCCGCTCGACGCGACGATCGCGACGGGCGCCGCCCGCGTCAAAAGGCGCAGAGGGCGAGGCCCGGGGATGGTTGGTCAACAAAACGCGGACGAGGGGGCGCGCTGAGGGAGTGTGTTGGTTTTCTCTCCGGCCCAATACTTTGCACATATACTCGGGTTAGGGTAGGCCGTGGGACGCATCGCGCTGGAGGAGGAGAAGAAGGAAGGAGCAACCGAGCTTTACTGCCAGAGACGACGCAGTGCCCGCCCAAAAGGCAACCCTGAGATCCCCTCGGGCGTCGGCGCGTCTAGGTCGAAGCGTCGCCGGCGGGCGGCACCGGTCTATGCGTGATGATGGACATGTGTGTGTTGGACGCCGCGTTGCTTGCGGGAACAAGGGGGGGGGTACATTGCTTGTGCGCACCTCGATGTCAGGCTCATGCTGGGACCTGCGACGCGGCCAGCGGATTGCCCTGCTGCACGGTCGCCTAATCGCTAAAGGACACGGACAGATCCGTTGTGGGTGCAACTGACGTGGGCGATCAGAGCGGCGGTCGCGCCAGGTCACCAGGTTGGCCTTTTCGAGGGATGCTGTGAGTTTGGACATGATGACACTTGGTGAGCGTGCAAATGAGATGACGCCTTTATTGACTGGAGTCTAGAATCGGAGCTCGGCTCTTTTGTAAATGACTTTGGTTCCCGCCGTCTGCCAATCCAGCCCGTGGGTTCGTCGATGTCATTTCTTGCGTATCAACGCAAATGTAGCGTAAAATTGTACATAAAAAAAAGGTAAATCACATTACGCGACGGCGACATTCTGGATATCAAAGTTCAGCAGCACAGTGCACTTGGTCTCTCTGCCCTGCATGTCGAGCATTCTTACAAAGGTCCATCCCGGCCGCGTGTACGATAGCCGCACCGCCGCGACGGCAAACATGGGGTTACGTGCCCATGCATCGTCACTCTTGATAAGCATGCGCAAAAACACCAGCTCATTGTCCTCATACGTCCACTCCAGCGTCTCATCCCAGATGGGGTCCGTGGCGGGCGGGTTCTCGCCCTTGTGCAGGAAGCCCAGCTTGTGGTGCTTGTACGCGTCCGTCTTGCGCTTCGGCACGTCGCTATTGTTCTCCGCCAGCGCACTGTGAAGCGTGCACGTCAGGTACGGCTTGAGTGTGTGGCTCTCGCGGTCGGCGTGCAGGGGGACGTCAGTCGCGCCGCCGACATGCAGCCGGAGGCGCTTCTTTTGGCCCGTCGCCAGCTCTCCGTTGCCGCCCTGGCGCAGCGCCGGCGGCTTGAGAATGTACCCGTCGGAGCCGGCGAAGAGGGCGTCATTGAGCTGGTTGCTGGTGCCAAAGGTCTGCCAGTTGAGGGCGCAGATTTGCGCGCCGAGGCCCCAGAAGCGCACGGGTTTGAGGTTGGAGGAGCTGATGCGGGTGCCCTTGGGGTACACGCGCATCATGTGCCTGCCGTTGTGGACGGCGATTCTTGCGGCGTTGGCGGGGAGGTGGTTGGAGAGACCAGACTCGGAAACGTTGATGAGGTGGTGGTGCGGCCCTTCGAGCAGCTCGCCGGGGTCGAACCATGTGTTGTCGCGGGGCTTGACAGATTGCGCATATACGCCGAGTGCCGCGAGCTCGGGGATAATGATTTGGATGTTCTTGGCCTCATCCTTTTTGTTGGCTTTGTACGCCTCACGGGCTTTGCGCTCCGCTTCGTCGAATTCCCCGTCCTCTTCGTCCTCGCTCTGAGAGTCGCTATCGAGAACATCTTCGCCAAAGTGGTGTTCGACAATAACGGCAATTTTGTCACCCAGCTCTTTGAGAGTGACATGTTCGGCTGGGTCGTGGTCGCGACCGTCGGCCTGGTGCTCCTCGGCGTGGCGTTCTATGAGCTCCTGTCGCAGCGGCGCGGAGAGCAGACGATGTTGAAAGACTTCGTGCATGATTTCGGCAAGGCGTTTCTGGCCCTCGGGGCCACAGTGATTTTCCAAGGACAGGATAATCGGCGTAGGGGCATGATCGGGGTGTTGAGCGGCAATGGCCGCCTCTTCGTCGTGCATGTCGCGGATCGTCTCGCATACGGCGCGGAAGGAAATGTGCGACACCAGAGTGTAACCGTGGGTGACCTTGGGCTCGCTCTTGTCATCGCTGTTGTCCCATGCGTCAATCTCGACGCAGCGGGAGCCGGTGCGGATGGCCGTCTCGTACGCCTCGGCGGAGGACTTGCCATAGAGCTGGTGTGCCATGAGGTAGGTGTTGTGTGAGGAGCTCACAAAGTACTCGGGGAGTGGATGGTCGCGGTTGACGAGGTCCGGAGGCGCGACGAAGTCGCCCTGGGCGAGCAGGGCGGTGAGGGCTGGGGTGCGAACGTCGTCGCCCTCGTCGTCGAGGTTGGCTTCCTTTTCCGAGAGCACGCCACGGTCGACGAGAAAGGCACGCAGGGCGTGGCTAACGCGGAGCTTGGCAATTTCATGGTCAGCGCGGACGGTGCTTCGGCCACCACCGCCAACTGAGTCGAGGCCGATGGCGCCGCCTAAGTCTTCGTCGACGACATCGCCTCCCTTGAGGGAGACGCGGAGGTTATGGAAGCGCGAGGACAGGTCGGACATTGCGAGTATATATAGCGGTTGCTGTTGATCAGTGGCTGAGGGGGTTGAGGGTCGGTTGGTTGAGGTCGTCGACGACCCCGCCTGCACGTGCCTAGTCAGACGTATGTAAAGCTGGAGATGGGAGGAACAAGACGGATCGAGAAGGTTGTGGGTAGTTGGGCAAAGTTTAAAGCTGCAGAAGAGTCGTGATTGTGCGCCACGGCTGAGCTGCGTTGTAGCGTGAAGCTAACAGATGCCGAGCTTGATTAACTATCGTGGCGATGCAAGGCGGGGTCCAAGCCCGAGGGCATGGGTATGGGTAAACTATGGTGATGGCTGTGTATTGCATTTTGGGCGTTTTGGTATGACATGTCGATGCTATATTCTCCTTTGTAATCCCTTGATTATTGACTTGTCAAATTTCCTTGATCCTCCCATCTACCGTTACCCCTCTCGCGCAACGAACCCTACCTACCTACGTAATGAGGGGCAGCTAAAAGCAACTCCTGACCTGAGGGGTCCATCACGCACCACTTTGCACCACCACACACACACACGCAACAAGGACAAGGGACCAAGACCGCTCCCACTACCACAAGCCCTTATCCACCCCGTGGATTTAGCAGATGCAATGCGAGCGCACAATATCCGTAAACCTACTCCCTGTGCCAGGCGCTACGGTTATCGGCCTGAAACGCCCTTTGCTGGCCGTTGCCACCTTGTTCGACGCCTGACGCTGCTGTGCCTAATGACTGCATCCATATGCGCGTCAACGCCACGCCAACTCTGATCGTGTAAAAGGACTCGACTGGCCTGCTTCTGTACTGCTCCGACTTGGCATAATTTGGGCTTTTTCTGGAATCCGGATGCCTCAGTTTGGCCTCCCGCAGTCGCCTCGCAAACCCCTTCCATTCTCGCGCAATGGCAGGCCGTCTGTCTGGATGGCTTCACGGCTTCGTCAATGACGGACCGCCGGAGCTGCCCAGGAAGCGCAGGCATCTGCTCACACCAGCGTCCTCTACCACCAACCTCGCGACCCAGCCCAGGTCTGATGCCACAGTCAACAGCGCTCTTTTCCAGAGGCTCCCGGCCGAGATCCGCATCCAGATCTTGACGGCCGCCTTTGGCGAGCGCACCCTGCACATGGACTTACTTCTCAGCTACCCGCCATGGCGGAGCAAGCCCGTTGCCCACGACCGCGCCGTCCCCGGCCATGCCGGCTTGTTCGTCGAGCCCAGCCGAGCCGGTGACGGAAAGTACTATCCTGTCCTTGACACGACAGCACGCCAGGCCTGGCTGTGGCACGGTTCCGTCTGCCACCGCAACCCACCTGGGACGGATCTTAGCAACGGCCACACCGTCCAGCCATGCCAGGACCAGTGTCGCAGCGGCATCACTCCGGACAATACATGCAACTTATGGCCGGGCATCGGCCCGGACAAGTGCCGAATTGGTGCCATGGGCTGGCTGCTATCTTGCCGACAAGCGTAAGAAAGATACTGACATGTTCTACACGATATGAAGCTTTTCTGCATATGCTAACGCAACGTCATAACCAGGTACTTGGAGGGCATCGACATTCTGTACGGCACAAACACGATACATACCGCCAGCAAGGCCTTGATCCTCAACGCTGATCGTCTCCTGCTGCCCCAGCGCGTGGCGGCCATTACATCCCTCGAGGTGCTGTGGGATTTTGGACCGTATCCCCCGTGGGCGGACAGCTTTCCCAGCAAGACCAAGGAGCTGCTGGGGGCTTTCGAGGATATGCTGCGGGCCGTGCTATCCTCGTTTCGCGGGCTCAAGGTGCTGTACATTTCTGTGCAGTGGACTGGACGAGACCCTCTTGTTGTCGATCCGGGAAAGGTCGGCAGCGGCTCTGAGGATATCGTGGAGCAGTTGCTGATGCGTCGCGTGGACGCCTTGGTGCGGCAGCTGCCAGCGCGTGTGGCTGACTTTGCTTTTGCCGTGCCCAGCTCTATTTACGCGGAACAGTGCCAAATCGCGCGTGAAACGCCAGGTAGGACAGTGGAGCATGTCTCAGACGGCGCCACGTATGAGCGCTTCTGGCGACCAGTCGGAAAGAGCATCGCCCACGCTGGATATTGGGTGCGTCTGGGCCAAAAGGACATGAGGATAAGCCAGCACAGCATGATGTTGGACAGCCTGCCACCCCATGAACGGATTCTGTACGCGCAATGATGAAAGAGTATATACGACTGGATGGGTACATGAATTTATGTTTTCAGATAGAGGTATGCAAATGTTGTCATTAATAATGGCTGTGTGTATGTATGTATGTGTATGCAGTAGAATGCGCAGCGCGGGCGTTGGAGTCGTGGCCATGAAGAAGAAAGGACCAGAGACTTGAATGTCTCGTGTAAATGCAAAAATAAACCAAAGAAAATCCCCAAGAAGATGTCTGTTTACCGTCTACTCGAGGTATAGACGATGTAGCTTGATATACTTGAAGACAGCGCCGGGAATGTCCATTGACTGCTCGCGGTTCTGTATCTGGGCGCGGACCTTTGTCGAACTGATGTCGTTTTCAAAGGCGTCAACGACCCAAATATTATGCTTGTACTTGCGCAGCGGCGCGATGGCGTCGCGCACGTCGCACTGGTGCGGGCGCTCGACGACAAAGGCGCCGTAGTAGCCGAGCAGGACGTCAATGTCGGCGGGGGCCCAGACGCGCGGGTTGCTCATGGTCAGGGCGAGGTCGGCGCCGATGAGCAGGACGATGCGGGCGCGCAGATGGGCGGTGCCGTCGGCGCTCACGATGCCGCCGAGGACGTCGTTGACGGCCGAGTCAAAGTGGCGCAGCACGTCGGCGGTGCGGCTGTAGAGCGGGCGGCCGGCGGCGTCGACGCGCGTGGCCTCCCAGTCGTCGACGTGGATGCCGAGGCTGTCGACGGCGAGGGCGCACATTTGCAGGCGGTGGTGGGCGGGCACGAGGGAGGCCTTGTTGTAGGCGTCACTGTTGGTTCCATGACGGGTCAGCGACGACGGAACGCAGCTTTGTTTGGGGGGGACAAGAGGAGGAGGAGGAGGGTGCTCACCTGCACGGGCTCAGATAGTTGCCGACAATCTCAAACTCGGTCCCCGGGACATGACGGGCCGCCAGCGCGAACATTTCCACGTGTAGCTTGGTGATGGGCGAGAAGCTGCCGCAGGCGACGAGCACGAGCGGCGTCTTGCCGGGCTGCGTGAGGCGGCGCTTGAGCTTGCTCGTGGGGAAGGCGTAGGTATTGGGCGGGGGAGACGGCGGCGGCGTTAATTGCTGCTGCTGCTGCGGTGCTTGTGTCGGCGGCGCTGGCACCCCATCGTCGCCTTCATTCGCTGTTGGTGGTGTTTTGGTGATCGGCGCCGAGGCCGGCGTCACCCGGAGTTCGGCGTCGGCGCTGGCGGCGGCGTCGGCAGCGGGGGTCAGGGACAGCATTGAGCCCATGTCTGCGGGGGTGCGGGCGGTGACGACGACCCGAAAAAGAGGTTGTGCTGTGTGTTGGTTTCTCTGTATTGACGTCGGGCAATGAAGTTTGGTTGGAAAAAAAAGCAAAGGTTCTTCCCAGAGTTGTCGCGTGCCTGGGAGTGGCTGTGCGGCTGGCGCGGTGTTTACGGCAGTTTTTTTTTTTGGCCCTCCCGCCTCTGACGCAACAAGAGTCTAACTATCTGACGAACAAGAGATTTGAGGAGAGGGGCACCATGAGTTACATAGATGGGCGGGCCTTGAAAGAGGGGCAAAGACGAGCGACTTTTTTTTCACCCTTCCCGGCAATCCCTCAGCTTTTTCTTGTCTCGGGCCGATATTACAAGACAACAGGGATTTGTTTTGAGTGTCTTTTGGGGTGTCTCTGACTAGCGTAATGATGTGCTTGATGCACGCCACTCTGATTGATTGTGCAAAGAATCTTGACACCACCAGTTGAAAAAGAAGGAAAAAAGGCTTGCATTTTGGATTGGATCCAGCTTCGCCACAATTGGTATAGGCTGTGTGGCGCACACGCCAAAGCACGCCTTCTAATATGTAGCCACACCTCGTCTGCAACCACGATGGTTCAGCCACCAATACTTTGTAAATAATAATAAAAAAGAGCCATTATTGCAAACGTACCCGAAAAGCGACTCGTTTATTAGTGCTGTGGAGAGGCTCGAGTGCAACTTGACCTTTCGGCGGTTCTGTTATCAGCGGCTGGCTGAGTCAGGCTGCAGCTGACGATGTGTGGGTTTCGTGAAGAAGCGAATGAAACGGATAAGACGGAATATCAGAAAGGGAAAGGGGCAGCATCTCAATTGAATATGAACGAGGAAAGAAGAATTGAAAATTGTAGCAGCACGGGAGTGGTCATGACCAGCGCTGCGTCGGCACCTTGTCCGCCCGCCTTTCCGGCGTCGGTCCGGGGACCGCCGCTGCGGACAAAAGGCTGCGGAGAAAAGGCTGCGGAAAAAAGGTCCCTAATAATTATTAACTTAGTCATGAAAACACCGCTCCGTGGCCTCGATTGGCCAGCAGCCCATCCATATCCTTATTGCTTCTTCCTGCCGCGATATTGACAATGCAAGTCGCACATCCCATGTCGCGAAACTGCCATGTTTCCAGAGGACGACGGGATGTTTTGCATCTGCCAGGATGATGCAATCCCTCGGACGATTGGGTTAGGGACAGAGGAATATGGTATTGCGCCGTTGATCAGGGCAAAAGTCTTGTCCATTGATCCGGTTTAGTACCCGGTCGGCTCTGGGCACCGGGACGATCATCCGCGCGACAGCGTGGGGTAGGTAGCTCTAGACCTTGGACGTTGTCTTCATTCTGGGAAGAAGAAAAAATCGAGTGTTGACCCTGTGCAAGCAGGCAACTTAAAGCTGGCCTCTTATTAGCCAGCGCATAGGCAAGAGACCCACTTTTAAGGGCTATAGACCTATTAATCCTAGCTATTAAGGAAGGCAGTGTTTATATTAAAGTTAGATTATCTTAATTATTAAGAACTAAATTAATATTATTATTACTTTTATTATTATTTAAATATACTTTAATTTTAATACTAATTAGTAGTTATTAAAACTATAAATAGTTAAAATAAAAAAAAGATAGACTAATTATAATTTCTTCTATATTACTTAAAGTAAAAGATTACTATTTATTATAACTTATAAAGATTACTTATTTTATTATTTATTATAAAAAAACTTCCTTTAAAGAACCTAATTAGAATATTTATTATTAAATTAATAATCTATATTTAACCTAAAACCTTCTTAAAAGGATTTATTAATAAAATAAGTTTAATTTTTATTATTTATTAATATTAAAAATAATAATAAATATACCTTTTATTAAATCTAAAAGCTAGAAAATAAAAATAATAAATAATTTAAAAGAATTCTTAAGATTTTTATCTTTAATAAATAATAATAATTAAGACTATTAAAAAGATTATTAAGAATATAAAACCTTAAAATATTTATTATTAAGCTAATCTTAAAGAATAGTAAATAAGCTAAAGATAGAAATTAAAAGTATTATAAAACTATTATTATTAAACTAATTCTATAAAGTAATAAAAGCTATAATAAAAAGATAAATAAAAAACTAGCTATTAAAAATTAACCTAAATATAATAATAAAAAAGGATTTAAATAATATAGTTATATAAATATAGTTATATTTTAAAATATTAAAATAAAAATATTAATTCTTTAATAAAACTCTTTTTATTTTTTAAAAAAAGTTTAAAAAGTAATAATTAGTTATATTTAGTAGGCTTAGTTAATATATTAAAAAAGAACTTTATAATTTTCTTTAAAGTAAAGATATTTATATACTAATTAGACTAAGTATTAAGATATAGAACTAACTAATAGAATTATTAAAAATAAAAAGGCTATTAAAATAGTTAAGAGAAAATAAGGATTACCTAAATTATATTAAAATATTATAAGCCTTTATAATATATTACTAACTAATAACCTTAACTCTAGCTAAAAGACTTATTAATAAATAGGTATAAAGACTATTTTATTTAAGACTTTAATAAAGGTAAGAATTAATATAGAAAGAATAGAATTACTAAATAAAGAAATATATATATCTTAACTAAGGAAATAAAGGTATATAAGAAGATTTAGATAAATACCTTATAACCTTAGAATTCCTAAGAATCCCTAAAGGCTAAAAAGGTAATTATTAAACCTTAACTATTAATAACTATAATAATAAATATTTTATAATTAATATTAAAAGTAGTTATTAAACCTTAACTATAAATAATTACCTTACTAACTACCTAATAATAAATATTATAGTTAAAAGTAAAGAATATATATTTTATAGAATAATTAAAAATAACTATTTCTAAGGCTTAAGATATAATAGAAATAGTTACTAATAACTATTTAAATAATAATATAATAACTATAATCTAGATTAATATAACTTTAACTATTATAACCTAACCTATAATTAATTAAGATTTAATCTATATTAAGAAGACTATAATTTTTCTTAGCTAAAGGTAAATATTCTCTATAAACTAGCTAATTTTAAAAAGAACTTCTAAGATATTAAAAAGTTTTTTAAAAGCTATAAAAATAACTTTTTTAATATTAAATTCTACTTATTCTTTAATAAATATAAAAGGTTTAAGATCTTAAAAGATATATTTAATTAAATATTCTTTACTATATTAAAAGATTAAGCCTAGAATTTCTATATTATAAACCTTATTAATAAAGGTATAGAATTTAAAAAGTTTATTATAAATATTAAAGTATACTTTAAGCTAATTATTAAGATTAATAGATATTATTAAAAATAGTTAGCTTTTTCTTTTATAAATATAATAAAAAAGAATAATAATAAGAGTATAATTTAATACTTAATAATTATAATTAATAAGATATAAAGCTTATATTAAGGAATATTTAATAGCTAATTATATAGCTTTTAAGATTTTATATAAACTCTTTAAATAGTAGTTTAAAGTATCTTAGCTTATACTTTTATATTATTTAAACTAGTTATAAGTTTTAAAGAGTTATTAATTAATATTTAATAATTAATTACTATATATAAATAAATTAATAAGTTTTTTATAAATATATTTTTTATAAACTATAAATTTAAAGGTAATAATAATAGTAATTATAATTAAAACTAACCTTTTAATTATTATTAATAATTATAGAAAAAGAATAACTTTTATAATAAAAATAATTAGAAAAGTTAACCTTTAAAATAGTATTTTATTTATAAGAAAAAAGAATATTAATTAACTAACTATTTTTAAAAAAAATATAAAGAGGCTAAAAAGAAGTAGTTTAATAAAAACTATTTAAAACTATTAACTATTAAAAGATACTAAGTATTCCTAGCTAAGAATAAAGGTATTAAGAATAATAAAGAGATTAATAATATCTAAAAAGTAATTAATTAATTCTATATAAATATAGATAATTAAAGTAAAAAAGAAAAAAATAGATAATAAAGATAAAAATAGGTAATTAGCTTATAGTTTAGTATTAACTTTCTTTATAATAGAATACTTTATAGTAATAAAAGCTAAGCTATTATTAAAAGATATACTAGTTAAGCTAGCTAATAATACTATTTATTACTTTTATATTAAAGAAAACCCTATAAAATAAAGAAATTATAAGGATAGCTAAGTCTTTATTTCTAAAGAAAGATACCTATTAAGTATATTTAAAGGTATCTTATTTAATATAAAAATAGCTAGTTAATCTAATACTAGTATACTATAAGCTTAAATACTAATAAAGATTATATTAATAGTCTAAATTATATTTAAAATTATATATCTAGAATTAGTATATACTTATAGTAAGCCTATAATATTAATAAAATCAATAAAAAGTAGGTAAGAAGTAAAATAATATTAAGCCTAGCTTAGAAATAATACTAGATAAGAGCTATATTATAGTTAAGGTAGGTAATAGTAAAAAGACTACTAGAAATATATCTAAATATATTAAGACTAATAAGACTTAACTAACTAAACTTAAGGTAGTACTTACCTAGAAGAAACCTAAAACCTAATTAACTATTATAAAAAAGCTTCTCTTCTTAGTAAATAAAGATAATAAGCTTTAGGTAAAAGCCTTCTTAGAATAGTTATAAGTATATACTAGCTTTAAGTTAAGACTACTTATAATTACTAAAGTAATTTAGAATATTATAAAGAAGATAATTATATAACTAGGCTTTATATTAAAGGGGATTTATATAAATATAGTATAAAGAGGAATCTAAAGAAATACCTAGATAAAGCTAGTTTTAGCCTAATATAATAAAGAACTAATTATTAGTATTAAAGACTACTAGATTAAGGTATAGGCTATAAAGCTAGTAAAAGTAGTTATAATAATAAACTAATTCCTTTAAAAAGATACTATAATAGCTACCTATTAGCTCCTATCTAGAGATATAATACT